ATCAACTGATATCCCCCAATCATAACGCATAACAATACTGCTCAGACAACCAATGATGTTTCTCACTGAAGAATTGCGTTATAGTTGAATGAACCAATGAAAGTGTAACGAGGGTGGTGATTTCCGATTAGCCTGAGGTAGAGCCAGCGAAAAAAATGGGGATTACTACAGCTTTAGATTGAATTATATAGGAAATATAATGAAAACAATAGTTTCCCTGAGACCAAAGCCTCCTACAGTACTGACCAAGAGATCGGGGTTTGATCGTCCTTATAAAATAGACAAATTTAAATTTTCTAAAAATACAACCATGTAAAATATATAAGTTATCCCCATTACCCTGTTGTCATCACACACACACACAAGAACGTGCCATAAACCAGTTGTTGTCATGGGTGGGCGAACTGACGAAGGGACGGACAGACCAATTGACTCTCACCTCTCTGTGTATTGCTGAACCACGTGATCATAACATAAGTACATCTGATGCTTCTTTGTCGTGTCGAGTAGAGCGAGTCACCAAACTCCTACTCACCCAGAAAGGAGGTAACCCTGACCCACTCCACTCCCATCATTCCACTCAGTAACAAGCGAGTGATTTTTAAGGCATTCAACCACACTCTGATCCATATAAAAGCTAAGCATTTTTATAGCATTCGGCTACATTCCACAAGTGAGGCATCCGGCTGTGCTCCCCATCAGAATCATTGACCAGGTCCAGCCAGTAGGACGTCCCAGGGAAGTATTTGTGTGTTTGTCTGTCTGTCTATCTGTATCGGCCGATGGTCCACAACCATTAATAACCCCGGGCTTTAACTTGTCAATATTTTTGACGCGGACGAGTATAAATGGTCTGTGTTTGTAGTGTCTGGCCACCGTTCAAGTGTGTGTGTGTGTGTGCGTTCTTGGGTCTGCATTTAATCTGATTTAAGGCATTAGTGCCATTGCTTCACTGTTTATGATAAGGGGTTTCTTAAATATATTACGGTAAATGGGAATGTTATGAATGACACAGTTTCTAAATTTAAAATAATCCTTCGTAACCGTAAGAAAGCTTTACCCGAAACAAGTAACGTTAAATTAGGTAAGTTTAAGTAAGGTTTGTCAAGTTTGTAATAATGTTCTATAATTGTAGTGTGTATATTAAGATTATTTTTATGTCGAAGTTGTCCTTAGAACACTGTCTGTCAACAGTAGACTCTTACCTTCTGCACTTGTGCTGCAGTGGCAAAGATTACGACCGTCAGCACACGCCATCTCTTCCATCAAAACTAATAACTTTCTGCTCTGCATTATCATAATTCTTCACTATCTTATACGGTTTCACCCCTCTAAATTATTACACCACCAAACAACTAAGTTAAGCAAGATATTCTGTACATAACGATAGTTTTAAGTCTGTACCAGCGATCGCCTCCACCAAAAATGTCTAGTTTCTGCACTGTGTTCATCATAATTTTCTCTGTATATGATTTAATTCCTTAAAGCTGTTTGACCATCATACTGTTCCAAAATCCTACCCTATGAAACCCAATTTACTGTAGAAAATTCAATCTTACTCTACAGAATTCAGTCCTGTTGTGCAAAATTCAATCCAGTCTCTCTACTAAGTGCAATCCTAATTTACAGAATGTAGTACTTCACGTAATCCATTCTCTTGATTCTTAAAAATAAGGAATTCAAATTTTCTTTCGTGAAAAAGTTATATAATCCAACTGTACACTATAATCCAAACGTATTGTAAAAGATCCAATTGCACTTTCAAGAAACCAGCCTTAATCTTAAGAATTCATACTGGTCAGTTCTTTTGTTTATGAACTGATAAATTGATTGATTAATTAAATGGTTGTTCTTGCTTAGCCACTTCAGCCCACCAGTCAAGTTAGCATTCTACACGAGCGAATGGATTTTTTTTGTGTGTGTGTCATTTCACCATTACAGTACTGTGTAATCAAATATCAGTTTCATTTCAAAGCTGTCATTGGAAATCGTTTTACTGGTCGTCTAAATTATGCGCCCGCCCCACAAGGGGTCACACAGCTCAAGGTTGAAGAAGCCGCAAGTCCAGGAAACTGTGAGGGCGAACTTTTTCGGAGTGAGAATTGTGAACTCTTGGAACAACCTGCCAGAGTGTTGTGACGGCACCGAGTGTGAGCTCTTTCAAGACCAGACTTGACCAACACTGGAGCAGGTTCAGATACATTCAGGAGCCAGTGCATGCCCAGTACTCGCCAACAGTGCTAAAAAAGTAAAAAGTGCGTAAAAGAGAAGTAACCAACCGCCCAAGCGGCTAACGAACCTATCACAGGTGAAGAGGATAGACGCAAAAAGTAAAGTCAAAGTTATTAATATTTTCGATGCCTGACTTTTGCCTTTCACCGTTTAATTTTCTTCCTGGTATATTTCGTATACAATTTAGAAAATTAACACTTGCGAGGCTCGACGGCCAAGCAAAACACACGTAACTGTTGACTGGCAAACAAAATAAAATCCGGACATTATGTCTACAATGAAATGAGGAATAAACAGGATTTAGGGATAAAATAATGAATTTATCAGCTGTCTTGCCTGCGTTAGTTAGAGATTAAAGCATGATAATGGAAGAGACAGCGCCTGAGTGTAAAGTGGTGTTGTGAATGAATAATGAATGAAGCTTGATGAAAGCTGTCATTAATTTTAGCTGTTTCCGCGGGAGGGAGATTTTGGGTTCGTCCTCGTTAGCTAAGCGACAGTGTTGAAGGTTTTTTGTCTCATACAAGGTGATTAGTTAGAGATACTCCAGTAATTCCTTGCTGGGAAAATTAAAATGCTCTCATTTGTAGACTGCCATGATCAGTGTCGTGTTTAGGAGTGTTAGAGTGTGCGGTCGAACAGGCCCCCGCATTTTCGGGTCACCCAAATTTAAATAGAGAAAAATTATATATATATATATATATATATATATATATATATATATATATATATATATATATATATATATATATATATATTGATAAAATCACACAGGAAAAATGGAAACAATGGAGCACTTTAGCTTTCGTATTTATTCAAGACGAATCTTGAGAGGCAAGTGAATTACAAGGACGGAGAGAGGCTTATGTACACGGGGTGACCTTACAAATCATGAGGTCAGGTCAAAAACATGACATCCACTAATCCACACACCACCACCACCGCAAACACAAGAGGAGCTTATAAGAAAGGGCGACGTTAACTATTCATGTTAAGTCAGGTCAAAAATATGAGACCCACTAATCATCATCCTACATCTACCTCATATGCTTTCAAAGCATTTTTAACCTTGGGCCACTGACAAATAAATTTGTGTAACATATCAGTTTTGTACTGACCATCACTAAGGTTTGTAGAATTAATTTCTCTAATCAAACTTGATTCAACCAGAAGTCTTTCTGTGACACACGATGATTTATACACTTCTAAACTGTTTTCCCATTCTATGTTATGATTATTGTTCCTTATATGAACCTAGCTTTCACCGTACACTCACATCCGCCAATGGCATTCACGCTCCCATAAATCATTCTTCTCCTTATATCAGATAAAATTAAAGGCGACTTAAGACACCAGCTTCCTAACCCGGCAAAAAAGTAAATTAGAAAAGGTACACAGTGCGTCCTTCCTTTTAATGTACTCACAAACAGCTCTTACCTATATTCTTAGCACTAAACACGTATTTCTGTTGCTACTCAATAAATTGATTATCTTTGTATGTATACTGTAAGGCTTATTCATTTTCTATGGTGATTTACTGTGATTCCTTCAACGTGTTCGTGAACTATATTCATTAATTAGACTTACATACTTGGTCGAATTGCCTTACTGTTTACAATTGTTTATGGTATTGCCCTTACTGTATAACAAGGGTAAACGAGGTTATTGCAGATCATAAGGGAGAGGAAAACTTAGAAACGAAAATAGAGGAAGCTGGATCCTTGTAGGTTGCCAGTCTAGAGGTGATTGGTGGATCTGTTTACGGCTGTATCACTGTAAACTGTTCATCATTATTTTAGATCATAAGAAGTTTCCAAATGTTCATATATTTATTTAAATAATGCAGAATCTTGTGGCAGCTGTGGTTGTAGTTGAGTTGCCAAGTCATTAATATAATTTTGTTCATTATTTAAGCAAATACGTATACGAAAATTTGGAAACTTCTTAGGCCCTTAATAACAATGAATAGTTTATTATTATAAAAATTATACCTTTGGTTTGTTTAATAATTATCCTGACAGTGATACAGCCGAAAACAGATCCACCAATCACAATCACCTTTACCAAGTATTACCAGGTAAAATTGCGAGCACGAGACCCAGGGTGGGGTCGGTGCATCTTTGGCCGACTGTACATATACCTGGAGCTGGCGGACACTCGCCCCACAAGGGGTCACAGCTCAAGGTTGAAGAAGCCACAAGTCCAGAAAACAGCGAGGGCAAACTTTTTGGGGGTGAGAATTGGGATATTTTTTTAACAATCTGCCAGTGTTGTGATGGCACCAGTGTGCTAATTCAAGGCCAGACTTGACCATCACTGGAGCAGGTTCGGATATATTCAGGAGCCAGTGAGTGCCCAGTACTTGCCAACTGTGCATAACAGGGGTGTTACCGACAGCCCTAGTGGTTAATGAGCCGATCAATGGCTAAGAGGATAAAAGTAAAACTAAAAAATAAAGCTACAGTATCCACATTGATTAGAATCTCTTAGATCAGTGCAGTGGTTTCCAAACTGGGGGGTGTGAGAATGGTAGGAGGATAGGGGGGGATGTGAAAATCATATGTATTGACATTCTTTTTTCTTTAATATGAAATTTTCAATGAAATCCGTCATTTGCAACACATTACCTAAATAATGTATATTAAATAAGTGAATTCAGCTAATTCATATTCTTTGGGTAATTTGAATGGTGGTAAAGCTCTGAGGATGTCGAATTGGTAAGGTTCAAGTGTATTGTATTCACATTAAGGATTAAGAAAATTCAGTAGTACCAGTATAATATATCACATGTAATTATCGTTACAAAAAATAAAGGGATCACTGACAAAGATCCATGTAATTTCTTAATCATCAGCTATTAGCGTAAGTAACTATAACATAGTACAGTTTGTCACTACAATATCTGCTGAATACAGTATTAGTCTATCATACTTCCACTCTGGCAGAAAATTGCCAATCCTAAGAGTGAATTTCATGTAACGATAAACAAATTAACTACAAATAACTCTAGTATCAGCCTTGTCAAAGTGGTTGCCATAGGCTGGGTTGACTGGGGGACACCCCACAGTGGTTGGTCAAAGAACTCAAATCAGTGACCATTTGTTTCAGGAGAGGAGTGCTACATTTACTCGAACATTGCACCCCAAAACTAGCCTTACAATTTACAAGTATCAGTATATACCCCACTTATAGTAAACAAAATCCTGGCTAATCCACAAAGTTATGTTCCAACAGACCATGAGGATTATGAATTCCACAAATTGTAAATTAGTGGCACCTATGCTTGATTATGCTGTACAGTGGGATTTCAGGATCGGTCCCTTTTTAATATCTTAAGCAAGGATCAAGCAATACATGTACATTATTTGAAACCAGTTAGTACAGAAGAGAACATGGAGACACAGAAGCTCCAGGTTTTAGCACAACTCACACCCATGTATGTTCATCGGATTAGGACAACTAACATTACAAGCTCACAAGTTGTACATACAGTAATTCAAAGGTAAAGTTGCCAATGCTCATGCATCCCCTTAACCCCTTCACTATGGGGACCACTTATTACTTTATTTGGTTAATGCCAGATACTTATATAATTTTATTTAAGAGAGGACCCCATGCACAAGGAATTATGGTAGTAAACAATCTGTTTCCACTAACCTTTTCACTAAGGGGACGTTGCTTTTAAAATTTAATTTAGCTGACGTCAGAAGATTTTATTCATCACAGAAAGAACCATATACACAAAAGGTTAAATGATTGAGTTCAGTGATATCTCTCAATCTATGTACAAGGTAGCCGAGTTTAATGGCCATGTCCACTGTGCAGGAGAATAGCCCTAAAAGGTTCCAAACTTAGACTGATTGGGGTAGGAGCCAAGTGGTTGATTAAACTGGTCTGTTAACTACAAGTACTTCAGGACTGCCTTCATTGGATAAAGTAATAGATGAGATTAAGTTTCGTTTATAATTATGTTAATTAATTTCCTTTGACGAAGAGGCAGTATTTAGACTTGGACTGGACTTAGTCCACAAAAGGGAAGGGTCAAAGTTTAGACTCTCTCGCCTCTTCTCAAAACACTAATCTCAGGAACACTTCTACCACATGTGAGAAATGTGGCTTTCATATTAGCGAATCTCTAACTTCATTTTTATAAAGGGTTCTACAAAGTGCAATAACTACATAAGGTCTACCATCTAGTTTGTAGGTTGGCCATGTCCATTTTCTAATCTACAGCTGTAGAGTATAGAGCACATGTGAAGACTTAACTTTTAACCTCAATGGCAACTGATGCCTCCCACATTCCCCAATTTACAGGGGTAGGACTGTGATAGAAGATTACTACTGTACAGTATTATTATTACTATTAATTAATTTCTGGAGTTTAGTCCCAGTTATACAATCAGGTCCTGGGAACCCTTGTTGGCAAACTATTATCTTACTTCACTGTATGTGAGTTTTCAGTCCATGCATAAGTTATAAAATAAATCCCTGCCAAAAATGGGGTTTGACCAGATCTATGATACTGCACCTTGACAGTGTGTGGTGTGCCAGTCCCACATTTTCTAAAAACAAAATAAAATATATTTTATAATTTAATAATCAAATTGTTAGAATACACAGGTTATAAAGATGCCCGAGTTAATAAACATTTAAAAAATATGCATACAAGAAAGTGGCTTCATTCGTAAGGTATATAAGAATTGCAATAGAAGACCACTTGGTAACCACCAGAGTATTTTGTAGGGAGTCTGACCAGTGACCACAGGATATCAGTTATTATCTAGCTGTTGTAGAGGATACATCTGTGAGGTTAATATAAAATTTGTAGGCTATTATTTCTAAGTTATAATATATTATTTAATTTCTATAAAAGTTTATGTTGTATAAAGTTGTTATAACAAAATTTTAACATGTTACTGTGGCAACTTTTATACCATGTCATTTGTAAATGTGGGTCTTGCTGAAGTTCATGGATATCTCTAGCTATGTCACTCCTCAAGTTCAGTATCCATGGCATCAACATGACCCTCAAGTTCAATATCATCATTATCATCATACAAGATTTTTTTCAGCGTTTCTTAAATAGATTTTGTACTATAATTAGTATAAATATAAATTTTAAAGTTTTTATCCATTTCATGAAAAGCATGAACCTATAAAACAAACAAACAAACAAAAACAGAGTTAACATTTAAAACAAACAAATTTCAACTTGCCGTACACTCCACTGTATCTCAGCCTATAAAAGATTGAACTTGACAATATTTCCTTATACAGTAACACCAAGATGCATATACTTTATTGAGAAATTCATACTAAAGTTCATCATAAATACGTCAGCTATCATAAATACTGAGGAAGATACTTTACAATGATTACTTATGCCATCTCAGTAATCAATTCATACACTTGTTATATACTGTATGACACACGATATGAGTATTATTAAGTATTTATATTGTACTAACTATATTACACAAAATGATTATATTATTGATTTCATAAGATAACATCATACTTTATAGTATACAATATATAAACTTTAACACTTATACTCTTTTTACTATATTATCACTAAGAGTAAAATATATAATGATATCAATATCACTTACAAATTTGACAAACCATATAAATGTGATGTTAAAGCACTTTGACAAAATACAAGATATTCCATACCAGAAAACATATTAAGAGTGGGAAAAATGAATGAATGAATAATGGGAAAGTCCGTGTGCATGTGTTTACTCTATATTTCATACCCCAACATTAAAGAGGGAAATCATAGGAGAAAAACAACAACATATTATTCACATGGATGAAGTGGAATAACTAACTTGGCCCCAAATGGAGACACATACTTGATACCTACTGCATTAAAAGTCTGCTGCGGTATGGGCAAGTTTATGAGATACACTTTACCACGGGCAGGTGTGTAAGCTAATGGAAGAGCTGGACACAAAAGAACGCGGGCAGGCAAAGGTGGTTGAGTTGATGGAATGGCTGCCAAGTCACTTGGTGGATCTAGCGCAAGAATAGGTGCACGTGAGGTTGATGCCCAAGCACTAGTTGAGTTCAGCCAAGTATGACCGACGCCACCTTCACATGCTCGGCCGCTGTGGTCTAATCGAGCATCAACTATAAGGTCAAGAGTGGATGGAATGCCTCTAGGATCAGAGGTTGTACGGCCATTGGTGAGCGTATACAATTGTAGCTCATGAGTAAACAGAAGAGGAGGTTGGGGTGAAGAAGGCATCTGAAGGGTGACTACAACAGTTTGCACACCATGACTCTCCAACTGTCTGGCAGTATTAACTCCAGCTGCACCCTGCAAATGGCATCCACACAATACTACCACCACTAGAGGCTGATGGCTGTTACCTGTCCCCAACCTGTAAGTAACAAACGTAATTTCAAATGAGATTGAATTTTAGAAAATACTTATCCCCTCACAGTGAGACAGAATTATTAAATATTGGGCTGGGAGTTAAAATAATATTTTGGAAAAAAAACAGAAATTGAAAAACAAATACCCTGTATTATAATATATAATTGCAATATACACAAGATATGGAGGTGAGAGAGGATTCATAAGAGGTAAACTGGAATTTTTGTTGAAGTGTTGTAGACATTGAGAAAGAATTTATAACAATTATATCAACTCAAAGCCTTACCTATGACTGCCACCACTGAGAGAGAGTATAATTTCAGTAGCAGCTCGACCAATCATTTCCAGCTGACGAGAATTAGTCAAACCGTGTTGGTTTGCTGTAGACAATAAGGCAGCACGTAGGTCACTGCTTACAGAGGGTACAAGAAGTCCGCTATCTAGTGGGACAGAATTGGTGATATTGGTATTAATATAAGTTTAATTTGATATCCATTAAAACATAATTTGTCAAAATTCAATAGATGATTAATGGACATTTAAAAAAAAATAAAATAAAATTATTTAAAACCATAGCATTAATTACGGTGATATCCCAGTTATTGTGACCATCGTAAAACTGATCTTTAGCCATTGCATAGCGGTAAATGTTTTAATATTTTAACATCGTTAAACTAATCAAGCATAATATACTTATCCACCATATAACAGGTCTACTTACAATAATTGGAAAAAATTTGTCAAAAGTCATTCATGTCATCAGTAACCAGTCCCTCTTCTTACCCCCTTCATAACTCACAACCTGTCTCCTCACTTCATTTTTTCTACCACCAGTTCTATAGTCAGTATACCAATGATATGCAGTCCATCATTCTTAGTCCTTTCAATCCATTACAATACATCATTCTTTATCATGACACCTATACTCCTTGCAGATGAACTGTATCATCATTCCTCATAATTCTCGTTTAAGGAATTCACTGACATTTGACATCATTATTCTGTATTCATGTACAATTTACAATTCTTAAAATTTAGGGCATACACTTGTCTCTCATTGCAGATGAACCCTACGTCTACATTTCAAATCCATGAAGTACAGTATTGACAAGTCTTGTTTAGATATAGGTTAATTGTCAGTCACATTGCTCTTCCTAGGATATATAATGGGATAGGTACCTCCTCCAGTCCATCGTGCAATTATGAAAAAAAAAAATTAATAAAACAAAAGAAATATCATAGTTCTTGTGACTCTATGTTAAAATAATGAAAACAAAACTTCCTTCATTTTTTTATTTTCAACCTACTAACCATTTGCATATATGACTTCAGCAGCACCTGATGTGGGGACAATAATCTGCCTCTTAACAGGAGGTTTAGATGGCAAAACATTCTCATCACATCTGTATTTCTTCTCAGTATAGCGGTCAGCTTGACGCACAACATCAGGCTTCAAGCTCTGTATTTCCTCTATCACAGCCTGTATGTTTAAAAACCAACATCAAAAAATATTGCCATCTATAACACATAAACATATACTGTATGTATAAACAGTACAGAAATACAGAAAAAATGGGCATCTACACATGACAAGGGCAAGAAGAAAACTGTACTCTTTCCCAGCGAAGTATTGTACTGTAGTACCGTAATTACCGTTTTGCAGAGTTACTTAAAGTTTTCTGTAAAGAAAAACAAAATACTAACCAGCACATAATGCATCTATTTTAGTTAATATTTATGAAAACAGAACAAAATAAAGTACATAAAGGGTACAGTGCTCTCACCTTACTCCCAGAAGAGCAAATGATATCATAAGTAATCTCCTGGTCATTGTTACCTGTTTGTCAAAAAGAGCAAGATTCTTCTCAAAGTCAAACTCAGTGGCGAGCATATCATCATCTATTAAAGTCCCGAAAGTGGTTTCATCCCTATTCCTTCTCATTCTTTCTTTCTTCCCAGGAGTTCTAGATACATCAATGCCATATCTGTCATAACGGCGAGGAGAACTGTACTCCTGTGCTGTCACTATGGTTTGGTTCATTCGTTGCCAGTCAGCAGCAGATTCTCTGTAAATACCGTAAGTCAAGTACTGCACAGTATTGAAAACCCCATAGGTGGACAATAACTGAGAACCAGAATTAATCATAAAAAGTCAAGCTCATTATTATTCACTCTCAAGCAAATGGGATGAAATACCTGTACAGTACTGTATGTGTAACAAGCAGTAAAGAAAATTTAAGAGTACAGGTCAAACCCTTCTAAATCAGGACCTGACCAGTGGCTGATCATAAAAATTTCTGAACCACAGAAGGTCAGTTAAATTCTGGAGAAAAAAAAATCTACTCTACTAATACCTGTACATGAAACAGAAATAGAGTTCAGGTTAATGAAGTTGAATCTTCATATCTTGGATCTTTAATGTCCAATCACCTGTTCCTGTAACTGAAGAAATTATGTAATACAGTACTATACCATCTAAATCATAACACAGCAATTCCACTAAGGAGAAGATAAAACACAGAAAAATGAGAGCACTGTACACTCCTACCATAGGTTACAGACAAAATATATTGTGCTCTCATTTTTCTGTGTTTTATCTTCCCCTACAGTAGATTTCTGTTCAATGATATAGGGGGTATTACACAATTTCTTCAGTAAGAGCAAAGCAAAGACGTTGAAGATTATTGACAAAGAAGTAAGTTGCCTGCTTAGTTCCAAGAGAAGGATTCCATTCACTGCTCATTTAGAAAATAGAATCATAAATGTGATATAATGATCTGGAAATCACCTGGCAGCTGAGGAATGGGACCCATGTGCTAAGGTCTCCCCCACAGATGTGCGAGGCTTACGTCGAGGTTGCTGCAGAGCATTTGTTGTACTTCCTACTGAAGTTACATCAGCAGTAGCTGCTGCTTGTGGCTGTGGAGAACATCTGGACTCTTTTTGTTGATGAATACATACATGCTCTGCACAGCTTTGTGGATTTTGGCTGGACTGTTGTTGAGCTTGTGGCTGAACTACCTGTTGTTGCTGTTGTATTGGCTTTGAATCAACCTTTTGTTGCTGTTGGTCATCATTGTCTGCCTTGGGACGTGATAGGATCGTCAAATCTATGATATCACCAGCACTGGAATTATTAGTCATTTTACAGGAAAAGATGGAAATAAAGAAAGGTGTAAAAAATGCACCACTGATATTATAATCCCCATCATGTGTTCTTTAAGCTAGATAACAAGGTACAGTAAACCCTCGATAACCCAGTTTCATATAACTCGGCACAGATATGGTCTCGGAATGTATTATAGTATAACTCGGGAAATGCCAAGATATATAAAATTATCTAGGAAAATCTCAGCATATCTGGCTGCGTGAGTAAGAGTAATGCTACACGGGATGTCCTGCCAGGCCGCGCTTCAAGCGTGGGTTATTCTGGCGCTTGTTATTGCTGTGGCATTGTGTGTGCAGCTTGTCTCTCCACACTTTGTTCTCTGCTTGTCCTCTCCCTCATCAAACATCACTGATATGGTGTCTGCCCCTTCAAGGAGCTATAGGAAGGGTATGAAGCTTAAGTCCCTGAGTCTTCACGAGAAAAATAAAGTGTTAGACCGAGGGTCCCAAGAACCAGTCGACCTTCCTCCAGCAGTGAAGCCTTCCTAGTGATAGCTTCAGTATGAGGATACTCTTCCTCAGACACTTCCACTAGTGCAAATTCCCTACACAGTATTTCCCCAGAAGTACCATGTGTCTTGCTGTCATCCAACAGCGAGTGATTATACAGTGTACTGTACATCTCATAGTGTTTAAGTGAAAATACCCTGTAGTGTTTAAGTGAAAATACTATACAGTACAGTACTCTAGTGTTTAAACAAAAATACTTTGTACATGTAAAATTCTTTATTTTATATAAGTGAACAAATTATTGTACAGTAGTACAGTACATAAGTGCCTCCATCATTTCTGCCACCTGTATCACCTAACATACCTCTGTGTCACCTACCATGCCTCTGTGTCACCTATTATGATGCTTCATTCTTCGTCTGCAGTGCTGGTAAGTACTACTTTTTTTACATTTAGTAATTACATGTACACATATATATGGGTCGATAATTTTTTATTGTATTTTTGTAGGAGGGGGGATAACTCAGCAAGGCCAGAGCCCCATGTGTGCCAAGTTATCAAGGGTTTACTGTATTTTGATAAATGGCTGCCACAGAAAATATTCTCACAGTCATGGTGGAGTTAGAAGAAAATTATGAACTCATCCTACCATCCCCTATTTCCCCAAAAATCTTAACTTGTCAGTCAAAATTGAACTACAGTATCTCAATCCCTTTTTGGCACCTAACCTTACGTTCAGTTTGGGGCCACTGTACTGTAGAGGGGGTCTCCGGGTTATGAACGGATTCCATTCCTGAGGACGTTCTTAAGTCGGGTTTGTATGTAAGTCTGAACACATGCTATGTGCATACTGTACTTACAGAACATTATTTAAAATCCCACTACATCATAGCTGAAGTCCTTATATAAATCTAAAATCACTTAATTTAAGACAAAAGAAGAAATGGAATGACAAAATATAGTAAATGAAAGTAAAAAAATAAGTCATCGGGTAAATAAAATACGGTACTATAAATTTTAAGTTTAACCCCATTCGTATCAGCGGGCGTTCGTAAGTATGGGACCCCCTGTACTCTGCATCTCAACAAATGGTCACCATGCTCTGCTCTGTGATGATGCAATGAATGGTTAAACTGTAGTCTGCAGCCTACAGCTCCAATGTATACACCCTCCACCGCTGGGAACAGTGCCACCATTATGACCACAGTTGACATAATATAACTCATCCTCTGTGAGTGACCTAGATAATATTGGTAGTAACAATTCTAGTGTTAGATTATGGGGTTAGTGACTAGGACATGTATGACATTTGGGTATTAAGTTATACTCATCACAGGAACCTATACTCTTGGATGCATTTTCCCCATTCCTTAGTCATGACATCTGCTGTGCTAAATGCTAGGACTCCCTTTCTAAGAGCATTCCTCTCAAAAATTTCCATGCATCCTACTGGACACATGGGTTAATATATATTATCCAGTGTGTCTCAGTTTAAAATCATGCATCACAGACCCCAGAACACCCTGTAAGTTCTCCCCAAAGGCTTAGAAATGTATTATATTATCAACAACTTACTTGATAGTAACTTCTGAGAGGGCAGCCGGTCGACCATTGTGAAGAACTTGTGTGATGGTGATGGTCTGCCTCTCAGAGTTGATACTTACCACTCGCCCTTGGTACCACCCAAGTCCACCTCCCACTTCCACCGATACCTGACACCCAACATAGTCACTGCTCATTTTGTACTATGGTGTGGTCTGTTACCTGGAAAACAAGAATTGCAGTTTTAAATTACAAATACAGAGTGAACTTTTAACATTTAGGTTACGCTCATATGACAGGGGGTCCGCCCCCAGTTAGGAAGTTAGATAAGTTTAGGTAGGTTTCTTTGGTTGGTTAGGTAAGGTTCTATTTGGTTCAAGTAAATGTCGCCTCTTTTATAATGATAAGAACATCCGTGGAAAAAATCAACAAAATCGAACAACTCCTTCTGGTGGTACTGGTGTTCTCAGACATTACTGTATTTTTAACCAATTTACAAGTTAGGTAAGCTTTTCAAAAGCTTGTTTGGTGTTCATTTTAGTATTTTACCCCACAGTTTCCCTCTACTGCCCACTTTGAATAACCAATATTGTTGGTAACTAGGGAGGTCATATCGGTTAAAGTACTCGAAAAATATAAATTTACACTGGAAACGTAATAGAATAGTTTTTTCTTTGCTTTCTTCCTATATAAATTTGAAATATGAAATTCCATATTCGACCTAAAACGAATCTTTACCTTTAGTTTTGTTACGTAGCAATTTTCATGTTCAACAGAAATATGGTTAAGTATGTTTATAGCTACACAATGATCGACTCACGGTGAAATAAATGCCAAATGCCGCCAGTCAAGGTCATATGTTGTTCTCGTGTTGTTCATCGGTAATGAATGATTAGCCAATCAGAGCGCACTCAAGGTAAAATAATGTTAGTAGGAAGTTAGTCGGTCACGGCAAAATATCCACTGCCTAGAGAGAAAGAGGAAAAATACTGATAATTAAAATAAAAAGTTGTGTCAATTTTATTAACTATCATCCAAAGAACTGGAAAATATGAATGAAATATAGAAACACATTCAAGTGCTAACCATCTGCTCCATTTATCCTTGATACCTGTACAAAAGTTGAAGGAAAACAATAAAAAAAGGTTAGTTTGTCTGGTATATTAAAGAGCAAAGGCCAAGGTTATCCAGGTAGTCTATCGGGTACTGTTTTACTGGATAGATCAACTGCCCTAATAGATAATAACCTGAGAAATGGTGAAAAAAAAAAACCATACTGTATCCTAACCTACATAACTTTCATTAGAAAACTGATTCGTATATAACAAAATTTCTTACTTATTTATGTTTAATATAATTTTAAAACCCTATATATTATTAAAAAAAAATGATCCCAAAATATGTATATATCCAGTTCAAACATTCAACTAATAGAGAAAAAACTCGTATGACTTAATTTACAGTTACATCCTATATTTTACCTATGAAGTAGACACAGTGTTTATGACTCCCCAGGCCACAGATTGTATCCCAGTTAAAAGTTATTAGCGATATAAAGTGTGAAAAAAAACGAGAATTTTTTGGCCCCATTAACACAATACTGTACTGGGGATGGTGACGGTCAATGTTGTTTACTTGAGTCGTTCGTGGCAACTCATCTTAAGCTGGATAGTCGTGCTTTTAGCTTATTATGTCGTCCCTCAGCTGGATAGTCGTGCTTTTAGCTTATTATATCGTCCCTCAGCTGGATAGTCGTGCTTTTAGCTTATTATGTCGGCCCTCAGCTGGATAGTCGTACTTTTAGCTTATTATGTCGGCCCTCAGCTGGATAGTTGTGCTTTTAGCTTATTATGTCGTCCCTCAGCTGGATAGTCGTGCTTTTAGCTTATTATGTCGGTAAAATCAGAGAAGGAACCGTAACAGTTTAGGAATATTTTTCGCTTGAGAATTTTAATAAAGTTCATATTAAAACATTTTGAATACAACTCCAGTGGAGGTAAAGGATATCTATCTTCCTTGAGTGGAGGAGTAAGGAATATCATTTATGAAATAACTACCTGACCTTTTTTGTGTAATTATCTTTGGAAATTATACATAACTACTGTAAGTGTTGGAATCATTATCCGTTGATGGTTAAATTAAGTCTCGAAAGTTAACAACGTAACTGGTAATTTTTGAGACTTTTCTACCCAAACACAATCAAAATTAACTCAATATTTGATTTTATGATGTTTCAAAAGTTCTTTATACATATACAGTAAGTGGTCCACATAGTTAAACTTAAATAGACCTTAAGCTTCAATTAATTATTTACAATCTGAGAGGACCAGACGCGTTGCCATAGTAACATCGTATATATAACGCCGCCTGTCATTGGTTGATGCTCGTCACTCGACCAATGACAGTTAACTTAAGAAGCTCGTATGGGAACTGTAAACAAAGCTATCAGTGAGCCCTTTAAACAGGTAAGTCAGTCCTCAGAGGCAAGTGTTTTAGTGTTAGATATCAAATTAAACTCTTAAACACAATAGACATGCAAAATACCCTTATGTATTTTAATAACATAATGGAAAGGTAATAGTGGAGCGGACTGTTAACACCATAAGGAGTTGTTCAGTTAGGTTCATCGATTATTTTGATTTTTATTAATAACTCTGATTATTTCCAACCCTGTGGTGGGGTGTTATAGACCCATCATTAATCTCTTAACATTTATTGCCAGGTGATCTCCAGTAGCAGACCATGATCAGAGGCAGGAAGGGCGGGCAGAGGTCGGTGGGTGGCAGAGAAGAACCTACAGGTCCTCCCACCCTACCTTCCCTCACTGGTACCGGCAGACACAACCCCAGTGACATAGCTCGGTACACCCTGCAGCAGCTTTTGGTGACCACGGAGATACTGGTCCCTCCCATGGTATGTTGACTGTACGTAATGTTATGTAAATGGTTACCCCAATAATGTACAGTACGCCTAATTAAATAAACCACAAAACCAACCAATTGTTAATAAATTGGTAAGTGGCAAAGAGGAAAGTGAGGCATACGTGTGTAGGTTGATAATGAGCTGAAGTTCTCGGACCATTATGAGAAGAAGGTGAATCAGGCAACTAAATTATTAGATATTATAAGAAGGTCGTTCAGATATCTAGACGGCCCGTCCCACGTAACGATCTTCAAGAGTGAGGTGCTTCCCTATCTGGAGTACTGTCACCCCATCTGGTTCCCGAGATATGCTAGGGACTGTCAGTTGATTGAAAATGTCCAAAGGAGGGGCACCAGACTGGTGCCTGCACTACGGCACCTCAGCATATCCCAGACCTGCATATGATGTAGGTTCTGTTCAGCTGCCAGCTCTTTAGGCTTAAGCTATCACTCTGCTCTAATGCTATAAATAATCATTTGTAAACTAATGTATTAACTAATGTAAATGTGGTTATTTCTTCTGACAGCCGAGATTTGTGGGTAGAGGCTCTGGTCGTCGTCTAGTAGGCAGAAGGTCACCACGCCTGAGAACAGCTTCTACCACACACCTCAAAGTTACCACACACATGGTAAGCTGCATTCATCACGGTTACCACACACATGGTAAGCTGCATCCACCATAGTTACCACACACACACACGGAAAACTGCATATGCCAGAGTTACTGTACTACACTTACATTATACTGTATCTCCTGGATTACCACATAGTAAGCAGTGACAAACAGTTACCACACACACACATACATGCAGTAAGCTAGTACTAATAATTACAGTTCATTATACAGTGGGGTATGCTATAACGAATCTAATTGGTTCTAGAACCTTGTTCGTTATAGCATTCGTTCGTTATAGGATTAATCCGTTCCAGGCCCCCAAAAACAACCACTTAACACTGAAAAATATAATATTAAATTGTAAAAATTGTAAAAAAGTGCATAAATATGCATCTAAACCCTTGAAATAAAGAATATCATTAATACTTGTAATACAGAAACAATAAATTAGTAAAAAAAAAAAAAAAAATTATAATGTTCGTTGTACGAGTTTCGTTCGTTATAGCATTATCAATTTTATAGGTAAAACCGTTCTTTATAGGAATATTCGTAGTAGGATCCATTCGTTATAGCATACCCCACTGTAATAATGATTTAGTACATTTGACTAAAATTTAGACAATTTTCGCTTAAAGTAGGGGTAAGGGTAACAGATGTAGTGTCCAGTGTCCATTACTTAGTACAGTATTGTACAGTACTTGGGAACAAGAAGGTGCCGATGGATCACACGCTTTACAAAGAGTTTTACAGGTCTGCTGTAGAACATTGTTTGGGTAACTATTGTAAAACCTTGCTTGTGTGGCAAAAATAATGATTTACAGTAATTGCTAGCCATTTTCATTTTCATTAGCAATTAGGTATATTTTGACTTGTAATTTGTATGTGCACCCAGTTGTTTTGCTCCCTGCTCAGGAGGGTGGTAGTGGTGGAGGAGGGATCCGGCAAGACTCAACAATGACGCCAGCCACCATGATGGAGCCTGCCATGGTAGCTGCTGAATTTCGGAACCGCATGAAGCCCCTAACACAACCCAAGAAGGTAATTTGTTGTGGATGTTTTCTAAAAAGTATGTAGAAACTTGAACAAATCGCACAGATAAGCTCAGGGTTATGTAAATCTAAAACTAGAAAATCTCAGCTCTTGTGTGTATAATTTAATTTGTGTACCATAGTGGTATAACTTAATTTTATATTATAAGCCTATTGTTCATTAAACAATAAAACCTAAACATTTAAGGTAATTTACTATGTGTGTACCAGTACGGGGCAGTGCCAGCTCCTGCAGGGGATGGGTCCAACCCCTGGGACTACAGTCAGTTGCTACATAGACGCCGCGCTAGGATACGCCATGCTGCACACTTCCACAGGTGCTGGGGTGCTTGATGCTCTCTACAGTAGTGTGACAGAGGTTGTAGTATGATACTTCCACAATTACTGAACTTGTGTGGTTGTTGTACAGTAGTACTAGTATGTTGCAGTCACAAGTATTGAATGGGTGTGGATGTTATATTACTCATAGTAAAGTACGTATAATGCTCCAACAGTTAATGAATTGGTCTAGCAGTTGTACAGCAGAACTGTAAAACTTCCACAGGTCCTAGACTGATTTTGGTGAATTGATTCTACAATCAATGAGCTTATTTTTATGAATATCAAACTCTACAGTAATTGTTCTCTTATGAAAGAACTGTACTGTTTAATATCTTTTTCCTTTTCTTTTCATACACACAATTTTAGATGGTTTATCCACCAGACGTCGTCGTGCAGAGTTTGCCCTCCTAGTGATGAATTCGTGCCGCAGGCTGAGGGCCACCCACCGCCCCAGCCCACCAGACCTAGTCCAAACCCTCATCCACCGCATACCCATCATCCTCAGAACAAAATATGACCGCATCCTGAAGGAACTGTTCCAAGAACTACAGGGGAGAGAAGTGCAGCCAGTGCAAATGCAGCCTCTGGGAACTTTTGAAAGGTTTAGTAGAATGTGATAAACTGATGTGAGTTTTCACAGTTTGTGTTGTGGTGCTCTCGGTACCTGTACAAAGTCTGTCACTGAGCTAAGAGTCTCATAGATCCACTGTTAAGGCTTAAAGTGAATTTACATGATGTTGATGTAGATTCTCTTTCACATTACTGTATCGAAGACCATAAATAACAAAGTGCACAAATCTTTGATCAGTGGAGTCAGCTAAATTTAGAATTTTAATGTTATTTACAGCTATGAATTCCTAATAGGATTGCTTCACCTTAGGCATAATGATTAGTTACAATAATAAGTATTCTCTTGCCATTTTGGGGATGAAAATAAACATGTTATATGCAGTGGTGTACTGCTAAATCAAAAAGTGAGGGAACGCCATTCCCACACATTCTCACGACACTACACCTATTGTTATATGATGAAAATTATTACTTGAGATGAAAATAAACCTTTTTATATGATAACTGCCCTGAACCTATCTTGGGTAAAAGTAGCTTTTTCAATACCACCTGAATATTTGGTACTTTTTCGAGGAGCTGATATCATTATTTCATCTCATTTTTTATGTACAGTAATTATTATTTCACTGCAGGATGCACACTAGTTAACAACTGTTTTCTTATTACAGTTCCTCCCTATAAGTAGTTAAGGATACAAGGGCTCAGGTTTTTTATTACCAGATTGTGTTGTTTATTTTATTTATTTTAATGGGAGAAGGTATTAGTGTATGATGAATTCTCCACTTCATCAGGCATGACGTGGTAGGTGTGGAGCGGGTGCCATGGGTGGGGCGGGAGAGGCGTGCCCTGAGTCGTGCCATGGCCAGCTTTCCCCCAGCTGTGAGGACTGTCATGGCCCAGGCCCTGAGGCCACTAGACACACTCAGTCTGGTTGACAGCCATGATGGGTCAGTATCACATGCTAATTTACCTCATTCCTATTGCATTACAGTATTGTACTTATGAAGGATAATCAAGGATAATAGTTGTGGATAATATATGCCATTTTGATACTGTACTGTATGAATTTTTTAGATGTGTGCTGTACATTATATTAAATTTTGCTTCAACTGTGTATCAGTGATAAGGTTATGGGCAATCTTTCAGAGGCAGAAACATTTATGAGGGTGATTCATGTTGCTAGGAGTGGTGTGGGCATGGACCACTATCATGACTAAGTATTATATGTTACAAAACACTGCAGGCCAAACTGGACATGGAGGTTTTATTAACATGTATCATTTATTACATTAAGAGGAAGATAAGGAGAAACAAATACTGTATGTGGCTGTTTTTTTATGTATTATTCACTACAGAGGTGGGGGTGTAGGTGTGGGTGAAGGTGTGGAGCTGAGCGTTTTGATCACAAGGTGGCGGGCAGCAGCTAGGGCAGGACGTTCTCATCTCCGTAACAACTGGTTCCCCACATCTCTCTCATCCATTCGGGAAGCGGCTCTGGCTACCAACCTCTCTCCTTCTCGTAGACACACTGTAATGCATGCCTTCAATAACCTCCTGGCCTCTAAAGTAAGCATTGATTTCTATTAAATTGGGTTCTTGACCATAAGACTAAAGCTTCAGGCTTCTTAGTTTAAGTTTTACCAATTGAATAAGACTTCTGGAGTTCTTAATAAGGTTTTTTATGTTAAGGTAAATTTGTTGGCTTCCTACATATGGGTTTACCACAAGAGTAAATCTTCCGAGCTCAAAGGGAAAGTATTTAATTTATGGAGTAAACTTCCTGGCTTACAAGGAATGCCACTTAATCACAGAAGTAAGCCTCTATGTCTCATTTATTGGGTACCCAGGGTCGGATCCAGACATTGTAGGTGGGGAAACATGGCAAGCACAGCAAGCCCATCCAGCTGGGGGATTTGGGAGGGGGGGGGGCTGTAAGCCCCTCAGAAATTTTTTTGAAACCTGACCAATATCACGGCATTTGAGGCCATTTTGAAGCCATGTGCATTTGATATTAGGAGATATTCTGAGGTCAGTAGGAATTACTTTTTACTATACAAAAATACCTGAGTACCCCTGGTACCATACCATAAGTGTTACAGGTACACCCACTGTCTTCCATAGTGAAAAAGAAAATTAAACCAGATTAAGGCTCCTGGACTTCCAAGACTAGGTGTCTAACCAACAATCTTAACCCTTTAGGGTTGATCGTCTGAAAATTTTGGGTGACTTCCTGGACAACAAGTTTTTGCGATTTTCAAAGAAATCTAAATTTTACTCGTACGTAAGAGTATTTTGAGTTTCATATCTGTGATGTTTTCAGTCACCTATCTTATTAAGGATGATTTTTGAGCAGTTACTTATTGACTTATTGTTAGAATTATAAAGATGTGATACAAATTTGTGAAGGGGTAACTATGATAGCATTCAACATTATTTTGATGATTGATAATACTCACTTACATTTCTGTACTGTACTTGCTTAATATTGAAATGTGCACCTCGGGCAAATTTGCATGTGTGGTGGACTGGATACAGACCTATACAATAACATATACCATTAATCATTCGAATGTGGGCCGGTAAAATTATAATACAACAGTTGTGGGAACTGCCCTGGCAGGCATAACGCAACAGGTTGTCCTTAAAGAGTTAAACTTTAAGACCTCCAATGCAAACTGAATCATCTCCAACAGCAACCACAGATAAGCAGTAGGTACAGTAGCTATATCTGTCACAAACATGTAGTGCTGTTAAGGTGAAGCAGATACAGTAAATATACAGTATTTAGGTATCATAGTTAATGTGTAACTGAAGTCTGATCTGACATGGGAACTTACTATTCAAGTATTTTTATTGTGTTTACAAAAGAATGAACAAAAAATTGCTGAAGCTTTTGTCATACTTTTAATTGCTTTATTGTGCAAAACTTGACCAAGATTTTTTCTTCTCAGCTGCAAGAGGTGCTGATTCGCAGTGTGGAGAGCGTCCTCAAATGGCTGGGAAGTGAGGAGGAGCCATGGGTGGGTCCCAGGATCAAATTGTACCTGGTCTTAGATGATAACCAGGTGGTCCTGAACCCAGATGAGGAGGCACTCTATTCAGCCTTCATGGATCTCTTCAAGGAGGTCAGGGTTTAGTATTTCCAATGCACTGTGAGGCATCTTTCAGTGTTATCAGTGCTCAGTGAGTTATTTTATTTTATTTATTTTTTAATCGTTTGCACAGTTTTAAATATCTGTTGGTTTTAACTGCCGGTACTATATACTATACTGCATGATTCAGTACTGTACTGTTAACAGTGCTAAAGTGAAGAGAGATGGTAATAATAGATACTAAGGGATATTTTGCTAACTTGTTGTGTGCTTTGCCTTCCTGCCAGTGCCTTCTGTTCCTGGATTACTATATGGGCCTTACATCATTGGTTAGTTTTAGGTACTGTACATACTCACCAAAAGCTTCTCGAATGCTATAAGCACTATGCTAAGAAAATTTTTATTTTCATCACAAGACATCCTAAAGAAATGTACCAGATGACACTATTTTGCTTTGGAAAAAGAGCAATATTATCTGGGGAAGGTTTCAATCCACCCTTCACACTCACCCTCCATTTTGTGGGCAACTCAGACTCTGTAGAGAAGTTATTGAAGAGAAGTCCCTGGTATGTAATGTACAGTATTTAATAAATATATTTTTTGGTGCAGCTGGATGAGTGTGTACAACTGTATCGTGGAACATGGGATGAACCAAAACCCCCCAAGATACCCAAATGGCGTCAACGTGCAGCAGAGATGGGACCCCCAGGTGAAGAGGAAGTGGCTCCCCCACTGCGTCCTCTTCAACCCCGCCGGGAAACTCTGGTTGTCACTCTTTCTGAGCCTCAGTGGGAAGCCTTCCGGAACATGCTCACCACAAGCATTCAAATTCGGTTCACTAAGGCTGGAGAGTTCTTGGACCAAATATGTAAGCTTCATTATTTGTCTGAAGAGTCAGTTTTAGGCTAGATGATGATACAGTAGTTCAATGTAATTTTTGGGATTAAGTTTTGACAGACCTCACTGTTTTTAGATACTGTATCATGACTTGTAAATCAGTGGCACCTTAGGGGAAAATGGGGTTATGTTCCAGGTCCTAAAATAATACCTGTATAGTATTTTAAATGCACTTAAATCCAGAAAAGAATTACAAGTTGTTATATTCACTAAATATATAAATTAAGCCTAGAAAGTATTTTATTAAAAATACAATGGCCAATTTTTTTAACAAGAGCTATGCAAAATTCAGCATGAGTTATGAGACCCATAGAGCATACAATAACCAAACACTTCTGAGTCCATTAATGTAACTGTTTATTGCTGAACCGTCATTCTGTGTGGCTCATGTTATATAACCAACAAAATCTGTAGTACATTACTGTAACCCAGATTGCCCCCCAAAATAGATGTTGGAACTAATTAAAAGATTACAAGTAGTTTTGTACAGTTCTCTGGACTTAGAATTTACCTACTTTTATGTCATCTCATGTTATTTGTTTAAGCTGACCGTTTGTAGATGATCAATTTGTGATTTTTTTTATGGTACCTCACAGTCGCAAAATATTGTCTAGTTTCATTTCTTATATGTAGTTATTCGTTTGCCGGAATTATTGGTGCAGAGTTCTTCTGGGAATGAGAGATTTCTGTATTGAGACAAATTTCTCATCCCCGGAAATAAATTGCAAAAGAGTGGAGTGTGCAGTATAATGAAGCCCATCTATCATGAAGCCAGTGAGTGGTCGACTGTGCTGCGTGGAGAGGTGAGGACCGAGGTGGATCACTTTCTGAGTCTGGGCGCTGAGCTGGATGAGTATGCAGGTCAGATCCACCACTACTCGGCTTATATTGAGCAGGCCAGTCATGTCCCCACATCTGCCACTCTACATGTCTTCAGGTCTGTAATTTGAAGAACATTTTCATTTAAACATACTTGAAATAGATGCAGTTTATAAGTCTTTCAATCAATCAATCAAAGTACTTTAATAACATAGCACGGAGTTGACTTGAGGGTAGATTCACATGTTTTCTACATTTTGAGACATTTTGTTGTCTTGTTTCTTATTACTGTCTCTAGAGCGAATGGCTCCCTGTCCCGGTCGCAAAAATGGCTGCAACTTTGAAATTACCCGCAGACATTCTAGGGTACATCCAGGGTGTAGTCCTCGAATAATCGAGGACCGTGAATTAAAAATCCACGAATTGTCAGGGCATGGTGTACTTTTAAATGCTGCAAGTACTGGATAACAAAATTTGCACTCCAGCAAGTTGTTTATTTACATTGTTTCAATAAATCAGCATCATCATCTATGTTTTATGGCCATTAACAATTTATGGAACAATTTTCTATCTACTGTATATCAGGTAAATCATTCTTGTCTGATTTAATGTGGTGTTTACTGCAGTGACCATTAAAAAAATTCAAGCTGTTTACCATAAAAAACATCATGTGGCACCATAGCCAACAGCCGACTGTTTGAAGCAGTAAGGTTGCACCCTGACTACTGAATTTGCCACAGCCAGAGAGTATCAAATGATATTCCCTGAGGTTATTTTTGCCCCACTCTTTCAAAGATCCTTACTCGTGAGTGGAAGATATTCTGAAATTACTGTACTGTACTCCTTTAATTGCACCTTCCAAGATGTACACAATCTCAGTTTTGATATAGTGAGTACCCATGTATGCAGTATGTGTTCATTTAGTTGTCCATTTATGTATATCATTTAAAGTGTTTGAAAATTTGTCCTGGGAGCACATCATCCAATTATAATACTAAGTCCATGGTAAAAATGTGTCATAATAATGATAATAATAATAATATTTGTTCTGTAAAATTGTCATTGGATAGGCATGTATATAATCTATGCATTTATACAGGTCAGCGTGAATATAAACATTGTAGATATACGGTACACATAGGCCATGGGAGAACAGTATGCAGTTTTCTATGTGCTTAGACATTGCAGGTAAACAACAATTGTAAACAGTAAGGCAATTTCACTTTGGATAGCTGATAAAGCTGTCAGATGCTTATTTCCAGGAGAGTCCTTTGCTTGGGCTTAGGCATTGGCTTGGTCTCTAATCAGTAATAGTACTGTATATCTGTAAGAATAATCATAAAATGTTTTTCAATAAATTCAATAAGCATTACATTGCACTTGGACTATCCGAGGCTGGCGGATCATATCAATAACACAATATTCTGTGGCTAATAATAGAGAAACTTACTCTCTTTCCTTGCTGTAGCTTGCTGTCCTGTTTATAATACATTTGCAAGGAATACATCCCAATATAAATAGGCAACTTCCCATACTGTACTCTACATACAAATCATTTCCTGTGCAGTAGTTTCATAGTCTCAAGAATACATGATATGATCTGTTAAACTTAGTCTAATAATATAATCAGAAAATAAGAAGGATGAATTAAGTATCTAATGGTTTCCTATCTTTGGGTAGACTGGAGTACAAATTTCTGCGACAGAGTCTGCTGTTAGTGTCTTCGTCCTTCGTGTCTGTTCTACGAGACAGACTGATAGCTGACCACCGTGAAACAACACAAGGGTAAGACTTCACCTGTGTGCAGCACCCACTCCTCAGCTGCTTTATTACTGGTAGACCCTGATTTATAAAATGTTTATACAGTACTGCATATCTAAAAAATCATTTGTAAATTTATATTTTTGTAAAAAAGTATTTGAAAACACTTAACTTGCTCAAAAAATGCATAGTGCTCCCCTTTGAAACTATTAAAAGTAACTGATTCACCAGGCAAGAAGATGACGGTAGCAATGCGTGTGATGGAGGGTGCGGGAGGGGGTTTTGAGAATTGCAATTAAATGCCAGGTAGCGACGTGTCCTAATATTGCATATTTAAGTAATTATTAGATGTTTTAATTGCCTGTATGTTGGCCTGGCTAGTTAATGCTAGGCATTTACACACCTAGGTATAAAGCTAGACGTCGCATTCTGGAATGAACAAAAATAAATCTTCCCTGAAACATAATAAAATGACACTTTACATAATTTCTATTACCTTTTTTGAGGGCGGTAATGAGTGTTAGCAAACAATGATTATAGAAAAGTTAATTAAATGCATTAGTAAGTTTATTTAATCGTCATTAAATGGGTATGACACTGTTTGCAATAAACTGAGGGTGGCCAATATTGCTTGGCTGTCTGAGCCACGTTCATTTTCATCAACATCAGAGTTCTCATTTCCTGTGTCAGTATCTACAATCATCACCAGCACTTGTTTCATGCACTGCTTGTTGATTATGATATGCAAGAAGTGATACGGGTTGATTATTAGAACATAAGATATTTCCTTCACAGTTTCCTAATCACTTTCATTTTGATTAAGCACAATTTTAAAGAATTTGGCAATGGGTCTTTGTCTTTTCCTGTGTGACAATGACATACTGTACTGTACCGGTATGTCTTGCACTGCATTACTCAAAGTAGAATAACTGAATAACATGGGTATCAATAATTGTAAATGCACCACTAGTTCTCTCATCAGACTATTGTAACACAGTGTTGTAATGTGTGTAAGTATTCATATCCTCGCGTAGAACCTGAATTTGTCCACGTGTTAAACTATGTAGAAAATTTATTAATTTAAGATATTTTAATTATTTTCTATGTGACATATTATGTCAAATTTACATATATCAAGTGTTACGTAACCCGAGGAATCCCTGTACAGTATTATTGTTCCAGTATTAGGGGATAGGGTATTCAGCATTCCAAACTGAAATTCAGAATAATCACAAACTTTTGGTCTCACTTTTTTCAGACTTGATCAACAGTTTGGAATGATCCATAAACGTCTCCATGAGATTCCCAAGTCTACAGATGAGCTGTTCAAGCTGATGGAATATGTGGAGGAAGTGCGACGCATTACCATCCACCGACTGGCTGAGGAAGTGGCGGATATGGTTGTTAGGCTGAAGGTAAACTAATAATAATACTGTAATGATAGTAGTAGTAGTTGATGCTGTAGTACTGTAATTAATATGATCATGATTATGTAATTTTTTTTAACTACAATTGGTGAGATGAATAATGACAGTGTAAAATTGCTACTGAAGTTATACTGCCCATCTCTGTATGCCTCTGATGCCATGTTTCATCCAGGACTAGTGTGGTGCTATTTATAAAATGTAAAAAAAAAAAAACTTAGCTTATTGCCCATCTCTCCCTCTGTTCATCTTTATACCTGTACTGTATAGGTATCTCAACCTACAAATACATCATCAAGTACTGATATTGAATTTTTGGTATGGCTATCACTTAGTTGATGTAATGGACAACCAAACAGTTATGACATAACTCTACCTAATTTATGATTTAAAATATGTGGTATAATATTTAAGAGACTGTTGTATCATGTGACACAATTGACAATGGTGATGTGGTACAGGTGATCTTGGATGTGGTCCACCTGACCCCTGATGACCTTGCCACCACTGCTGCAGTCATTGTTTGGCCAGCCAAGCTCAAGCCTGTTGTGGACCGTGCTGTTGAGGTCAGTATTATGCTTTATGTCTTATAATTTAGGTTTATAGATGTTAAGAATAATGTTATAGCTATTTATACAGGGTATCTATAATTTATTCATATGATTATGAAGGTTAATAATTTTTTGGGGGGGAAAAGATAGCATAAAAGGGTTTGTTGCAATTAATAAAGCAACTTGGGTTTCCTTTTAACATGTATTTGGCAGGACTGCCACCAATGTGAATTGTGACAGTACAGCATTTTTTTAATAATGTCGTTTTCAGCGATGAATCAACATTCCACCTGTCTGGTAAAGTCGACAGACACGATTACCGTACCGCATATGAGGATCAGAAAATCCTCATTCATTTTTTGAACACGAGCGTGACAGTCCCCAAATAATTGTTTGGTGCGCACTCTCCTACAACCGTGTGATTGGACCATTTTGCTTCCATGAGAACACTGTGAACTCTGCCAATTACATAGATATGTTTGAATTTTAATGATAATAATAATAATAATAATAATAATAATAAACGGTTTATTTATAGAGTTGCAGCCGGTGGCTGAAAATATACAGACTTACATTTGATTTAGACATAATGATATAATATGCATTGAATACATTTACCTCAGCTGGAGGATATGCAGCCTCGTGTGATCTTTTAGCAAGATGGAGCACCGCCACACTGGGGCTTACAAGTGCGCGATTTCCTAAATGAAAACTTCTCTACTCGTTGGATCGGCGTGACGGTCCCATTCCGTGGCCTCCTCGTTCCCCGGACATCATGCCCATGTATTTCTTTTTATGGGGCTACGTCAAAAACAAGTTGTATGCGAAAAAGGTGAATGACATCACAGAGTTAAGACAACGGATTGAAGAGGCCACCACTTCCATCACACTAGACATGCTTCATAACACATGGGATGATATCAGCTAACGTTTTGATATTCTATGTGCTGGAATCCTTACAAGATAGCGATTAATTTCAGTATAAACATTGCATACAAGTTATACACTAAAGTAGAGAAATATGTTGCTCAAAATTATGGCTTTTTCAGAGGGAAAAATCATAAGATAAGTTGAAAAGTTCACTCGGGTTACAGCATTAATCCTCTCCTTAGCTGTACACCAAGCATAGTTTTGTATAGTATCTTAATATAGTTCATATTCTATTCCTATAATTCATTAGTAGGTAATTTATGAGGAAACCGCTACTACCAGAAGGAGTTGTTCGATTTTGTTCAATTTACCACAAATATTCTTATCCTTATAAAAATTATTTATCAATTTGTTTTTATTGTTTAATATCTGTACTGTATTCCTTCAACATTATGTTACTTAACATTTTAAAATACAGTATGGAATAAGAAGGAGAATGGTGTGGGGGGGAGTCTTGAAATTAAACCTAGGTAGATGCTGCCTGAAAATAAATAAGTTCCAGATGTTTAGGTGGGGATTTACAGCTCCAGTTTTGTTTGAAAAGAATGCTGTACTGTACTGGATGTGTCTCTTGTCTTTTATATGTGTGAATTTATGAGATTTTTATCAGTAAAACTTTTTCAGTTTTTGTTGTTTTTAAGTACTGTACTGTACTGTACTGGGGAATTATTGTCATTTACTGATGTCATTGAATTCTACAGTCACTGGAGGATTTAAAACAAGAGTTTGAGGAGACTTTGGTGGAGAGATCAGGGGAAGTCAACCACACCTTGGAGCGCATCCAACAGTTTGTGACAGAGTTGGAAGAATTGTCTGATGTCTCCCATGTCAACAAGTACATCAGGGTAATATCACAATTTATATAAACCAACCCAACACTTTATGTAACTTATTCATATCTCAAACTTTTATTTGTTGTGTATGCCTCACTATCTTCTAATAATTGTTTCCTTTGATTTGTATTTATTTTAGACATTTATTTTTTTATTTTTTTGCTAGATTACTAATTAATAAGTCTCATACATACCTCTAGGAGGAAATGATTATTTTTTTATATTAATTTTATATTTGATGTGAAATTTTAGATGACTAAGACATATTGTATTTTGTAGAAATGTGATTTGAGTCCTTCCTCAGGAGGTGCGAAAATTGGAGGGAAGACTGGAGAAAGTTAGCACTCTAGTGTCATGGGTCAACCAGGAGGAGTCACTCTTCAAGTTCCAGCTCTCATCCTTTCCACTTCTTGCTGAGCTAAAGGTGAGCCATTTAGCAAATTTTGGTTTAAGATAATTCAGCTTACAGTATGTACTTAGTATTATGAACATTTAACAACATATTTCATAATACCCTATATTGTTGTTCATCTGGCCTTGTTCACAGGTTAGGGGCATTCATGGAATGCTGTTATTATTTCCATAAATTAAATTCAAGTGGCCAATAACTTGATAAATTAGTGTTTTGTTTCTAGTGTTTCTCTCAATTAATACACTTAACTGACTGAAAAAGTTGTTCGCTTGTAAAAGAATAAAAGAGCCCTTCATTAACAGGACTGCTTGGTGCCATACGATGAGCTCTTTACACTAGTGATGAAGTGGCGTAAATATGAGAAGTATTGGATGGATGGTGATTTCACGAGCCTCGACCCAGATTTTATAGATGGTGAGACAGAAGAACTGGCCAGGTAAGAGTGAGGGGTCATATGAGAGTGGAGACTTGGCTGGTGATATTGAGAGCCCAAGTAAATGACAGAAGGAAACGAGGAACCAGATGAGAGCGAGAGAGTAAGTGAGCTGGAGAATTAGGTGAGAGGCAAGTGAGTGTTAGGGACCAGTTGAGAAGACAGAAATGTCCAGGTAATATTTTTAAACAACTTTATGAAAAAAAATCTTGTTTGTTTTTATGCTTGTCTTTTTCTTTGGTATTTTGCCCATTTTTGAGGTTAATGTACTAAAATTGGTGGGAAAAAGAGTAAAAAATGTTTGCTTTGGAACTTTAGATTTTCCTAAGTCTTTTAGATGTTATGCTAATGTTTTGTTCAACATATTGAAGGGATGCAAATTATATTTAAAAGCTTAGATTTAAATTTAATTAGATAACATCCTTGTGTTAAATCATATAAAATGAATTGCAACTCAGTTGAGACAGTATCTCACTGTTTACCAGGGAACTGTTTCGACTTCGTAAAACCTTCAAGATGAAATTTAAGCAGCAAGCTCTAGAGGGTGACCCACGAAAGGCCAGGATGAACCTGGATGACCCAAATCCAGATAATCTGCCAGGACCACTGCGGGTGTGTGCCCTTGCCCTCACACAGATCAAAAACTTCAAGGAGCACCTACCTCTGGTGTCTGTCCTGTGTAACAAAGGGTTACGACCACGACATTGGGAAAACCTAAATAAAGCAGCTGGTTTTGACATTACTCCTAATGCTGGCACCAGGTTAGCTTATTCTCTGCTTCATAAATATGTCTTACAAAACTTTAACAAAATAAAAGAATGTATTTTTTTTATGTATTTGGTAATATTCCTGTGTTTCTCATGGCATCTGTGTACTGTACTACTCTACCTTGAATTGATGAATGATAATTAACAAATAAAACAGCAAAAGAATATCCGGTTCATTTATTTGATATTGATATTGGTTGACATGAAGAATAAGACACATGTGGAACTTTCTCTTCTCAGTCTACGAAAGGTGGTACAGATGCAGCTTGGAGGATTGCTGAAAGAGTTTGAGGTAGTAAGCAGCGGTGCATCTCGGGAGTATAGCTTAGAGCTCTCACTGGCCAACATGCGGAGTGCATGGGAGTCAGCACAACTTACCAAGGCCCCACACCAGTGAGTACACTTAACATTTTTCAGTACTCCTCAAATTATTCTGTTGTCAATTTCCACTCCCCATTAATATATTTATTGGATGTTTGGTTCCATTTAAGTAGAATTACGCAAAACCTTTACTTCTCTGTCACCTAAACTAGTCTGCATATATTATTCTGAGATTAGGATGTAAGGCAGATTCATCTACATGGTCTGGCATACTAGAATGGTCACTTTAATGTAGCAATGATTATGAGGAATCCCATTTTTGTAAAATCAAAAAATTACTATTGTTGTTGTTTTTGTTGTTGTGAGAGTCAAGCTTGAGGAGTCTTTTCTGTAGGATATTGATTAAAACTCACTTACATGGTGTCACAGAGAGGTGGATGTGGAGGTACTAGCAGGGCTACAAGAGGTGCGGGAGCTGGTGGAGGATCACCTAATTATTACCCATACTATTAAAAATTCTCCGTTCGTTGGGCCATTTGTTGGTAAGTATTTGAATTATTAAAAATTAGGGAGACATTTGCATATAGTATAGGATTGATTTTGGTATCCCTTTTGTGACACAGCCTACAGCCAGACAGATCTCATAATCAAAAGCCAGCTAAACAGGAAGAAGGATAAGCTGCCACAAAAAGCTCCAGAGTCAATCAGACTAATGTCTCCTTTGTTGGAGAGTGGACCCTTTATGTTATTTATGCTTAAGGGTTAGGAATGTATTTTTCCCAACTCCTCTGCATTGCAGTGCTGGTCACACTGTGTCCTATTGTACTGGTGGCTTTGTATAAAGTTTACTGTATCCATATTGTCCCTAACTGGTTGACAGGCCACTGTCACTGTTTAGTTCATTCAAGAGGGGCAATCCAATGCTTGAGTCAAATTGACTTTATTTTTAAGGTACTTGGATTTGTGTACTGTACCATAGAATTATCAAACAGAAATCAGTGCTGATCCCATGTTCTGATAATCATATGACTCCACAGTTGTGTTTTTTATACTTTGTTTAAAATACAGGAAAATGCAACAATATGTATCTACTGTAATTAATTAATTTTACCCAAATTTGTTCAAAAGATTTGGATTTGTTGAATATTTCTGGGAAAGATCCTTGACAGATTTAATATTATATATGATGTACAGTACTGCAAAATTTGTACCACAATAAATGACAATGTAGGGTGAGTAGAAATCAAACTGAAATCTTTAATATTTAAAAGCATTATGCTGTACACTACTGTATATGGTTCAGTTATGAACAAATACTGTACTGTCTTGTAGTAATATTTGTAGGAATCAACAATTTATGTTGGTATAAATTCAATTTTATAACTGTTCTATGTTTGAAATGAGCTACAGTATATTTACATCAGTGAAACATGCTTAAAATTTTTTGTAAAAGCTGTCAACTAATTGTTAAATTTTCTTTAACTCTTTGTTGTGATCAGCAACATTATTATACTGTAAGAATAGCAAGTTTGTTGGGCAGTTATTGTTAGGTTTTATGTTTGTTGTTAGGTAATGAGCCATTTGCATTAACAGATGATGTGAAGGAGTGGGAGAGGATCCTCCGAACAGTGCAGGAGACACTCACTGTGTGGTTAAAGGTAAGGACTTTCTTATACTGTACTTTATAGACAGCAGGTTGTTCATAAAATTTAATATCTCATTAATACAGGGTGTCCATTTTGAAATGAAAAAACTTTGATGCCCTATCATTATTTTTAAATATACAATGCACAATATGTTTGAGTTTCATTTGGTGTATGGATGTCATCCGGGTACGTAAGGGTGGACATTCAACATGTGCACCATTCATAGCATGGACTAAGTCACAACAGTACTCAATTTCCCTCCACACATTTTTTAACATCTTGTGTGTTATGTAGGCCATTGTGATGCGTTCTTTCAGCTGAACAATGTCCTGCACCTTTGTAGAGTACACTTTGGACTTCACATAACTCCAATGAAAATATAAATTGGGGGAAGGTCAGGCAATCTCGGTGGCCAAGAAACGGGTCCGTCTCTACTCAGTCAGTGATCTGGCACCCAGCCATCAAGGAAGGAGCAGGCGTCACTGGACCAGTGGAATATGAGGCTCAATTGGCGGTCCTCTACCTGTGGTGCCACAAACAGCTGAAGCATGTCTATGTGCACGTGGTCTGTCTCCTCAAGTTGCTTCATTCATGTGTACAGGTCCTTTCGGGTCGGTGGTTCCTCGCAAAACGTTGTATCGGATTTAACTGTATAGGACATTTCTCTGTTATATTAATGGAGGAAAATGTAGTCCATTTTTTCAGGTACAAACACTATGGGTAGAACTGACTCCTGTCTTCTCCACTCCTGATCTGCCACTCCAACTGCCAGATGAACATAAACTATTTCAGGTCTGTTTTGTTTACCTTATACAGAACATCAATCCTATTAAAAAAGTATCTTAATCATAATAACAAACAAATTAATTGGCCTCTGAACAGAAAACCAGGTTCAAAAGTTATGGGAAACTTTTCATTACATTATGTCAGATCGTCATTAACACTTTAGTTACATGAAGTTTCAATAGATATCCAAACTGAATCTCTGAGACACTTGCTCAACAGTTAAAGTATTGTAGGTCATTTATCTTTATCTTACTCTACTAGTTTTAGTTGACATAAAACAAGTTACTGTACACTGTTCAGTACATACTACACTTAAAAGATTAGTTTACATGGATAATAACATCCCTATGAAGATTATATCATGATGAAGATATTTTTTTTGCATAATATGAGTCATTACCATTAAAATTAATTATGAGTTTAGTATGATTAATTACCGAATAATATCATTTCTTGAAAATAAAGGAAAAGTCACAGAAAACAATCTAAATTCTGTACTACACTTCTGTGACATAACACACGTACTCTTGCTCTAACTCCCTGACACTTGGTGATTACAGGAACTGGATGAGAAATGGGTGTCAGTGATGGAGGAGACTGTGTCCACTGAACAGTTGTTAGATGTAGTTGGGGATGCTGATGCTCTTGAGGAGGTGTCTTATTGCCTCAATAATTTTGCTGTCATCCAGAAGGCTGTTCATGCCTATCTTGATAACAAGAGAAGGATCTTCCCAAGGTAAGTACAGTATGTACTGTACAGTATACTGTATTTGTTTCCCTTTATTTTCATTCAGAGGGCCAAGGTTGCTTCCCTTAACAGCAAGAGAAGGATCTTCTCAGTATGTGTCTTTGTTGTTTTTGTTTTTCATTCTTTGTCATTAGTGTGTCTTTCTGTCTGTCTACTTCATCCTCCTTGTCTCTTTCACATCCAACAAAAAGTCAAATTTATCTTTGTAAAAAAAATAATAATAGTGCATTAATTATTTACACATAGCCATTAATTTTATTTAAGCTACCCTTACCAGACATGGAAAGAAACCTCTTGAAGAAAAGTAAGATATTAATCAAATACTTCCTTCAAACTTTGAAAGTCTTAAGAAAATTAGACCATAAACTGAAAAACTGATGATGAGCATAAGATTAATTTTTATTTATGTTACAGTATAGTCTTCATTTACGCGGTCAATTGAACCCGTGGAGGTCCGCGTAAAACGAGAAACACGTAAACGAATTAACAGAACATATGGGATTAATTGAAATAGAGACTGGGCCGACCCCCAAACCACACTTTTTCCGACAATATGTACATTATAGTAAAAATAACATCTTAATTTTATGATGGTATCCGCGTAAATTGAGACTCTACTGTTTAAAGTAAATTATTTCATTGTTAATATAACAGTAAAAATGGAAGACTTCTAAGTGATACTATAGTAAGAAAACTACCCTTCATTTAGAATAATTGCTGAATAGTTTCTTTAAATTTTCTACACTACTTCTTTCAGACTGTACTTCCTTTCTAATGAGGAACTGGTAGCACTTCTGTGTGAAAAGGATGTTTTAAGGTTGGAGCAGCATATCCGCAAGTGTTTCGATGGTGTTCACTTGCTCCATCTGGATGATTGCTGTGATATTTATGCTGTGGAGAGCAAAGAAGGTGAAGTTGTCCAGCTCATCAAAAAGCTTCCAACCTCTCAAGCCCACCACAGCATTGAGAACTGGCTGCTCCAGGTAAGGAAGCCAAGTTTTAGGGAGGCAGTATAGTCTATTATTTATTGAATTTGTAAACATAACTTTTATTCCGGACTTAGTACAGTACAGTATACTGTTGTGGCTTTATCTAGCCTTGATCAACTCTGGACCAGGTACATTATCACCAGCTAAATCATGCATATTGTTCTCACTCACTTATAGAGTGTTTGCTTAATTTTTCAATTATTTTATGGCACTCTGCCACCACTTTAAGAAACAAGATCTAGAATGCTCCTAGTGTTTGGTTGCTTCACTTTTCCCCTTATTTTGTTAACCAAGTTCAAGTTGCCTTTATAGTTTATTAATTAATCATCAAGCTATTTTGTCCTAACTGTTGGAAGCCTTTAAATATACTTTCAAATTAGTATTCAACATGCACATGAAGGATCACTCCTCATCAACAGTATTATTTTCTCTTCTTGTAGTTTCAGGAATCTCTTATCTTTACACTGAAGATGAAGACATGCTCAGGTGCTGATACATGGTCTCGGCAAGGTGGTAGTTCTGGAGGGGATATTGACATTCTCCTACCACCCTGGCCACTCCAGGTGACGCTAACAGTGAGACACATCTTTTGGACAGCTGAGGTCCATCAAGCTATCTGTGGAGGAACTCAGGCTTTGCAAGAGTGTCTAACTCGGGTTGAGGTGAAGTTTCAGTTTCTGCTGTACTTTCTAATTACAGTGTTAATAGATATGACTATGATATTTATTAAAGGATCTTATTGGAAATTAGATATACGTACTCTGTACAGAAAAGTAGTTTGACATTCTTTGTGAATTAAAGTGCCTTTGAATATTTTCATCTTGTATTATTGATCTCATAGTGTTTCTTTTAATACTGTAGTATAACTTATCAACTCCTGCATTGCATTTCATTTTTAAAGTTGACACTGATGACTCTGTGTTTATATTTACAGAAGGAGGTTCGATTGCTTGTTTCTGTCCTCAGAAAGAACAATTTAGATGGCAATAGTCAGTCTGTCAGTACACCTCATTCCCCTGGTACTCCATCAACCCCAGGTACCCCATCCACACCAGTATCATCATCCAGGGTGAGCACAACCTCTATCATTCCTCCCAGTCCATCCCGTCATGCCCTCTCTACCCTCATACTGGTCACAGTTTATGCCAGGGACATACTCAGAGACCTGATTCGTCAAGGTGTTAGTGATGAGGAATCATTTACCTGGCTGTCTCAGCTCAGGTAAGCCAATTATTTCTTAAGCTCAGTAGTTTCAAACATTGTTACTGCTTTGAGAAAATAGAATGTTGTATGTGTTAACAACAGTATATGAATTAATGAATGCATACAGTGCACAGTGTTTCAGAGCATGTTTGACTGTAACTTCTGTGGTCAACAAGTTTTAGGACACCCTCATTGTCTGTATGCATCTTTACACAGAAAGCATTAAATATAATAATCATATGCGGATTACCATCCCAAGTCCCTATCCCACACTTCCTGCCCTGTCCTGCCTGAGCCTCCCACTGACACGGCTTATTTCTACTTTGCCATTTAAATATGCATGCTGATAACAAGACAACCCTCATCATTTATTATATTTTTTTTTCTCATTTTAAATGGGTGCTAATTTAACTGCTTCACTGATGTGATAGCCAGACCAAGATTATTCTTCTTATATGAGGGATTATTTAATATTTTTGTATTACGACTCAGTCTACAAGTTATTAAATAAAGTTAAAAAGAGATGCTATAGAGCCAGCTCCTCTGTCACTTGATGCAGACAAGATATTTGATTTTTTGTCTATGATTTCTGTGACAAATAAATGAAACATAATTTAGTGTAAGTAAAGTATAAGTAAAAGTCTTTCTGAAATATTAAAGCTTGCCATAAATAAAAAGTAATTATGTTTATTCCTTTCAAAAATTGTGATAGGTGTTACTTGAATGAGGATGAGATAGAGGCAAGGATGCTGTTTTGTCCTTTACCATGGGGCTGGGAGTATGTGGGAGCAGAAGGACGTTTGGTAGTGACACCCCTCACTGCCCGTGCCCACCATACACTCGTCACTGCTTATCATGCACACCTGGGAGGAGCACCAGAGGGCCCTGCTGGCACTGGAAAGACAGAGACAGTCAAGGTAAGGATGCTAGCCAACTTCCTAAAATGTTTTAGGGTGCTGGGGAAAGATTTCTGAGAGTCTAAAGTGCTTTTTTGTACAATTTTACCTAAAAAATGACCTTCAAAGCCAAAAGCAAGAGTGGCATCCACCTGCATTTTATTTCCTCTCTTGCAGGATCTTGCCCGTTCACTGGCCATGAACTGCTTAGTGTTCAACTGTTCTGATGACTTGGATTATATTTCAATGGGCAAGTTCTTTTCTGGAGTGGCAGCATCTGGTAGCTGGGCTTGCTTTGATGAATTTAACAGGCTTGAGGTTTGTAAGGTGGATGTTTTATTAATGTTTGAGTCTGGTTGTAAGGCTCATCAGGTTTTTGTAGGTCTGATTTCAGAGTTGCTCTTTTAAACTTTTTTCCCTTGTGATTTCAAAATACAAATCTAAGTTTTATTGCCATCATTTTTTTTATTATAGTCATGTTTTATTTTAAAATTACAAAATGAAGAAATGTATGAATTTATATGATTATTTCATTTGAACAAACATTCTGTCTGGTAATTAAATTTCAAAACTTTAAATAAATTTGCTTTTAACCTTAGAATTGATTACATAAAGTCTTCTAATGTGTTTTTCATACATTTTATCACTTCATTTACCTTATTTGGGGTTCTTTAGCCATTTTGTCCATATCCACTCTCTCCATATTTTTATCTTATTTCATTATTCCACTTGTGACCACATACCTTGATCTCCACTTCAGGACAACATTCTTCAACTGCCTCTATTCCACTAACTCATCTTAATGATTTAACTTCCTTTACTTGAGAAAATTTATCTCTATCATGTCTACAAATCTTTCAATAGCATTTTCTTTCCTCAGCTTGTATGTTTTTTTTACTTTGGTCTCACTCCTATGGGCTTCTTTTACTGTTAACCTTTGTATTACAGGTATCTAGATGTTTAGTGGTGAATCTACTGTACTGTTTTACAGGTAGGAGTGTTAAGTGTGGCAGCCCAACAGATCCTAACAGTAGTGAGTGCTAGAAGGGAGGCCAGAGATACATTCTGTATGGAGGGAGGCCAACCCCTTTCCCTCAACCCAAAGGGCTTCATTACTGTAACAATGAACCCTCAGTACAAGGGCCGTGTCACACTTCCTGATAATCTTAAGGTAAAATTACTGATAAGATGGTACTTTGGTGGTGTTTCTTTATGTTTAATTAATTTTATTTTGTTCATTTTTATCTTTGTATGAAATCCAATTTGAGATTATAACTTCCAGTTTAATGAAGATATTTGTGATTCACAGTAATTTGCATTTTTCAACACACAAAAATCAGTGGGTAAACCTGACATTGGTAATTTTTAACTTTATCAATTAACCCTTTGACTGTGGATGTTTCATATTTGGAACAGGTGCTGTACTTAGGGTAGGCTACACTTGAAATTCAGGTCAGCTGCAATGTACAGTATAGGCTGAGAGATATGATTTTCTGGTAATCTGCAATAAATTTATTTCTTAAGTAACATAATAGCAATTTTGATGACATTGGTATAACCAGCTGCTTCTCCGGCCTGTGTCAATGATGATGGCAGACTACCACTCCATTGCTGAAGTTTCACTGCTGTCATGTGGGTTCCTGCATGCCCGTGCCCTTGCAGCTCGTATCGTCAGTGTCATGCATTATGCACAGCAGATGCTTCACCCTCACCACCACTATGACTTTGGTCAGTGTTTATAAGGACCTTCATAAGTTTGTAATCATGAGTAAGATTTACATTTGACCTTCAACTAATTATACTACTACTCCCTTGTTTAGAATATACTATAGATGACTGTGTCCATTAGTGTTCATTTCATTAGATTTTTAACACATAATTGTTTTAACTTCAAGTTTGCACACTACATCTTCTTCTCTCTCATTAATGGAACAGTTCCAATATTATGACTAAAATCATGAAAAATATAATTATTTTAATCCTAATAACAGGTACAGTTGATCCAGCTAGGTGTATTATGGCTGTTAATTCTTCTTCTGTAATTGAATATGAAACTTTATAATACAGTTCTGTACATTTTTCCTCAAATGAAAATAATATCCTTTACAAAAGGTATGCGAGCTGTCAAAACTGTACTGATGGTCACTGGTAGACTGCGTATCTCTTTCCCTGAGTGGTCAGAGACAGAAGTTATTCTCCGGGCCTTACGAGAGGTCAACCATCCAAAGCTGGTCACTGAAGACTTCCGCAGGTTTGAGGACATCTTGGTAGACTTCTTTCTGGAGCTGCCACCCACACCAAGACCACCTGATGACGATCTCACTAAATATATTGAGCAGGTATGCTTTTCCTTTGATTGAAAATCTAATTATTAATAAATATGATAAATAAATCAGAAAATATCATTACGTCATTTTGAATAATTGACAGAATAACCTATTTTAACCATTATATCTGGAGGGATATTATCATGACCCATACCATCTGTGGATCCTTCAATCTTTTCACCCATCCACCTGTTAACATTTTTGTCTTTTAGATTTGTCATAAATGAAGATAATTATTGACTCAGAAAACCATATTATAGTTTTCAGTCCCCATGAATTATAAGTGTACAGTAGAACCTTCCATGTTCACCAATCAACTGTTCGCAAAATGGCTTAATTCACGTCAGATTAGGAATCATCTTTCATCGTGTTTACCAGAAAATACTACCGGTATATTTCAAAGAAAGGTTCAAGGAAAAACTTAAACTTGGGTACTTGGCAGACATTTCCCTTATAAATCCCACAGCAAAAGATTTAAAAATGCAGGCTCATAAAAATTCTCACATATGTTGCATTTATGTATAGCTGCCACCTTCCTAACATTTCAGTAGCTTTTTTTTTTTTTTTTACGGGAATTAGCCCACCCGGGCACAGGTCAAATCACCCCCTTTATATATTTTTTATTTGGTTAAGTAGGTAAGTTCCATATGAAGGCTAGATCCTGTACACTGTATTACTGTATTCAATGAAGTGCTGCCAAGTATGCCTTATACTGTATTATGTATGATAAAACTTAGTGTCACTTGAACCATATTAGAATGTATACTGTATTGGTATATGGTAATCACCTCTATATGTGCATGTTCTGTATGTGGTGATGTTTTGGCAGGTATGTGCTGATGGTGGACTGTTGGTAACCAATGAGTTTGTGCTGAAGATTTTACAACTATTTGAGACACTAAAGGAGAGACATGGTGTTATGCTGGTCGGCCCTCCCTGTGCTGCCAAAACTACCATCATCAAGGTTAATGTGAATGATTGATATTAGAGTAGGATATTCAGGGAATAAAAGTGATTGAGGTTTTAGGATTTACATGGAAAGATGATCATTTTTTAATAGAATGCTATTTATTGTGACTCATACAATGTTCTTTAATAGGAATCATTTGAAAGTGTAGACAAATTGATGGTTATAATAATGTTTACTTTTGATATAAGACGGTGATGAAGTCCTTCTGAAACCTAGGAGTAGTTTTATCATGGTTTTACACTATTACTGTATTATAATACACAGGTGTGTGTGTGTTATGCATATGATTCAAACTTACAGGAGGGTTGTACATACATGTAAACACCTTCAAAGGTATATAAAGGAAACGAAGGCCCTGACATGTAAGTTAAATTGTAATGACTGTGTTCTCTTTCCTTTCTTTGGTTCTCTATTAGATGTCACTAAAGTAACTGTTACAGGTAGTTTAGTTTTCCAGATGAGCATTACCCATTTTCAGACCTTATTATCCTTGTTGTACAGTCTCATTCAAGATTCTTGGAACACTGCTGGAGATAGCTGGCAACTCAAGGCCGTTTGATTACAATAGTACGTAGTAAAAATTATGAATAAATGTAAAAGTGATCGGTGATTGGTTACTTAGTTCCTGTTGCTTAATTTGATGGTTGGGTTTTGTTGTTTCGTATTATATTATACTACGTACTATAGTCAACAAACGGCCTTGAGTTGCCAGCTGTCTCCAGCAGTGTTCCAAGAATCTTGTATGAGACTGTACATTCACTGCTCCTTTGAAGTTAATCCAACCATCATTAAAGGTTTCTCAAGAAGAACATTAGAATATTCTTGAAAATCAGTGGAAGGAGAGTAAGTTTTCAGAAAGACCAAGGATGAGCAAGAATTGGTAAAAAGCTGTATCAGTGTGGGCTGGTTGGCGTAGGTCTTGTAGAAATTTAGAATCATTGCTGAAAATGGGCTGCAGGATAGGTTAATTGCTATAACACAAAGAGAATTAGAAGAAAATAAATTTATAGTTTTGGTGAAATTCACTGGAGGTAATGCCCCCATCATCTATGTCTACCTGTGAATTCGAGGCCTGGAGTAAGAATAATTGGTCAATAAAATACAAACAACTTTTGTATTGTATTGTATCATTTTCATTGACAAAAGTAGGATAAGGTGAAATGACAGGGGAAGGATTATTATAATGATCAGAGGAGATCTGACATTGTAAATGGAGTGGTTGATCAAATGATTGTATGGTTTTTGTGTTGAAATAAGGTTATAGAAATATTTGTTGCAAGAAGAATTAGACAAATAAGTACAGTGTATTGTAGATGAATTATGTATTTTGTTCTGTTAACTCAAGTTTTACCTACAGACACTATCCTCGGCCCTGAGTTTGATGGAAAGTGATCGACCAATCACCATTGAGGCCTTGAACCCAAAGACACTAGCACAGGGACAGTTAATTGGTTCCCTGAGCCCGGTCTCTCGAGAGTGGTCTGATGGTCTGTTGGCACAGATTATTAGGTATGTCAATTTTTATGGTGGACAAGAGTGAATAGTTTCAAGTCATCCTAATACTGAAGCTAAGTTATACAGTTTGGAACTTTTATTACCATAGCTTAGGATAAAACATTCTAATGTTGATGATACTCATTCTTTAATATGAACATAGTTAACGGAATATCTCTACAATATAAATGCTTTTTGCATTATAAGATTACTATACGCTCTGTAATTAGTGTTTGGAATGATGAAAATACTTTTATTTTTTATTTTTTCTCACATTGCTCAGAGAAGGAATAGCTATATTCTGAAGAGTATAGATGTCTCTTGATATTATCACACACTATTATGATGGCAGGCGAGGCAGAGCACAACGGTACTGGCTGGTGCTGGATGGCCCAGCTGATGCTTCCTGGGTAGAGAACCTCAACACAGCACTTGATGACTCTCGCAAGCTGTGCCTGCCCTCGGGGGAGACTCTTCCTTTACCTACTGACATGGCAGTCATATTTGAGGTTTTGGATTTATCACAGGTGAATCTATCAATTGTATGAACTGTATGTAGGTATGTAGGTACAGGGGGGTCCCCGACTTATGGACGCCCACCATTATGAACGAGGTTAAACTTTAAATTTACAGTATTTTATTTACCTATTGACTTATTTTTTATTTTCATTTACTGTATTTTATCATTCTAATTCTTCCTATCTCTTAAATTAAGTGATTTTAGATGTTTATAAGGACTTAGGCTATGATATAATGGGATTTTAAATAATGCATATAGATTGTTTCGACTTAAGTAATTATTTGACTTAAGAACGTCCTCAGGAACAGAATATGTTCGTAACCCAGGGACCTCCTGTATTAGATTAATAAGGGATCATTGCTTCTGGGCTGTGTATTGAATATGACAGTGTAAAGTGCCATGAGCATAACTTTACCCCTTGGCCACTAGAGCTGGATGTGCATTGTCAGGACCCTTGCCATCTGTCCACCCATCATTTTTGCACACTTTGTCCCTCTGTTAACTTTTATTGTTTACAAAATATCCCAGAAATGCAGGTAATTAAACTATAAAAGGTTCAGTAGGGGATGCCCAAGTTTGGATGATTTCTATACTTGCTTATCCTGTGTGTGGCATCTGTTTTTTACATCGACATTTAAGCAAGACTCCTTCCAAAAAGAGATAGATACTGCAAATAAACCATTTAGAGTACAGTACCTGTCCTGTTGTTTTCAATTTCCATGATCCTTAGATATGCCATTTAACCTTTAAACAGCAGCTATGGCTTTCCTGTCCCCCCTCCCCACCCCCCATATTCAGAAAAAAGGAATGCAAGGATCATGAAACATCCACTAAAGATGGCCACCATCCCTACAACTAATTTCCACTGATGATGGCTGTCATTTAAGGGTTAAAGGTAAACTTAGTTTTGGTCCTCCTGATATGCTTATGCAAGAATTAATCTGTTTGTGTCATCATCATCTTTGTTTATACAGTATATATATATAATTTTTTTATCATTTGCCAGGCTTCCCCCGCCACTGTGTCGCGGTGCGGTATGGTGTACGTAGGTGGTGGCACTGTTACGTGGAATGTTGTTCTACACTCATGGCTCCATGCCCATGCTCATGACACTTGGTGGGAGGAATACTCCCATATCCTGGAAGACCTTGCCAATTGGCTCATCCCGCCATCCTTGACTTTTGCTTTAGAACACTGTCGTTTCTTGGTGCCCATCATCGAAGTTTCACTTATCAGGTATTAAAGAAATACGGTACAGTATGCTGAAAAGTTCTTCATTATTCTCTGCTCCACCACATGCACTGTATTTTACTGCATATAAGACACAGTTTTTTGTCTGAAAAATGGCTAAAAAAATTAGCCTGCATTCTATATGTGAAGTTCCAGTCTCTCGAAAGCTAATGAATCCCACAGTTGCTGTCTCTGGTTGGCTAAATTCTACCTAACTTAACTCCAGAATTAAAAATATGTTATTATGACATTATTACTGTTTTTAATTAATTTTAAAAATTAATTACAGGGTATTGTAAATATAAAAATTGGATTTATAACTAATGTACTGATAATGATAATCCAACTCTTCAGAGCTATATACTGTATATGTGGAAATTTTGATGTTTGAAATAAGAATGTCTGAGTCATCCTGCTTCCCTAAAGAAGAAGAATACATGACATAGAAAGATATGTAAAATAATTTTGTGGAAAGCATTTGTGTTTAACGAAATGATTATTATGATTTTTATTTTCAGGTCTGTGTTTCCACTTACGGCAACAATGATAGAGGATGTGCTGCAAGACTCCTCTGTCTTGCAGAAGGACACTGCCAAGGTGGGCCCCATCTGGACCACAGCAGCTTTTCTCTTCTCCCTCACCTGGTCCCTTGCTGGTGCCATGACTATGGACACTAAAGATGCTTTTAGTGATTTCTTTAGAAGACTTGTAATGGGTAAGTCTGTTCATAATTTTGATAAGTTTCTTGAATTTTGGGTAACCCATGTTTAAATATTTTTCTGAACAAGGAATGTTGTCTGTTGTTTTTAGGAGAAATTTTTTTTATGAGTGTATTAAGATCCCTGATAATGTATAATACTAGTGAATTAAATTTTTAGGCTCAAGCATATGCTTGTACACTTGTACAGTACTCTTATGTAGTTCATAGTATAACATGTATCACTGTGTCACTGTTCTTATGAACACCTTTTTCAAAGCTATTTTCAGAGAAAAATTAAAGCCATGCACATGCATAGTGTATATTATACCCTGTACTTGATTATATTTGTACAGTATTCTTGTTGGTATAACAAGTTAAGGCTGGATATTAGCATACTTGCCTAAACCTTTTCTTACAGGTTACATTCCAGCTTATCCACCACCAAACTCTATAGGACAAATTGGCTGTCCATATCCAACTGAGGGGAGTGTCTTTGATGTGATGTTTGATGCCAAACAGCGGTCTTTCTGGCGGCCTTGGACTGATGTTGTTAAACATGCTGAGATCACAGAAACCTCAAAAATCTCAACCGTTCTTGTTCCCTTGATAGAATCTGCCAGGTGAGGCAAACTAGTGACAGGAAATATTGGTCAAAATAATTTTTTAATGAACGGATGTGCATGAAAATAGAGTGATGGTACAGTACAGTATAGTATAAAAGATCTATATTTCTAAAGACCATAAACTCACAACATTTTTGGTCCAGTGCACTCAAGGTTCCAATCAACTAGGAGCATGAGCCTCCAGAGTTTGCTGCTGTGTTTACTATGTGTTGTCATAGCTCATGCCACCACTTAGTGATTGTTTTCACTGTCTGAACAGATGGTGGTAAAGCTCCATATTTCTCTCAGTTAATTTTTGTTTTTATAAATTCTCTCCTCGTAATGGCATCCAAAAGGCATATTTAATTATTGATAGTGCTAGGTTTTATATTGTAATAGCATCCTAGTATTATATAAAATTGTACCACAAGATACACACACACACACACACATATATATATACACACCACCGCTTTTCCAGCACACTTGGTTCCAAAGCCTTGTTAGATTATCCGTTTTGCCGGACCAACCGAGGTCACGTAATAATAATTCAACAACACACCTTTATATCAAGAAATTATTTACACAGGCCCTACACATATTTGCACATTTCACGCTTCTCTTACATTCACATTTTTGACACTCATTTCATCCACTGGAGAAGGCTAGATATACAATGTGCTGATGTGTCTAAATTATAATTGCTAACAGATTAGACTACCTGTTAGATGTATGTGGACGATCCACTGGGGGAATACTAGTGGTTGGTGAGGGTCAAAGTGGACGTAGAGTAATAACACAGCACTACCTACAAGGCCTTGCCACCTCAACTGTTGATTCAGTCATAATTCCCATCACTCCAGTTACCACAGCACACATGTTAAAGGTGAGTGGCTAATATAGACAGTTCTGTCTCACATAATTTTTAACTGTTGATGGACTAGTGTAATAACTAACCTTGTTACACACTTAACCCCTGGACTTTGGGCTATGGTCTGTATCCCCCCCCCCCCCTACACCTGGGTGTATTTGGGAACATTTAAAAAACAAATAAAAAATAATTCTAGTCTCGCAAACTGGCTATGCATGATATAAGCAGGAAATAAATACATGTCTTTATCACAGGTTGGCAACACGGGCTAGGAAGAGTCGAGAATGTTCATGAAGTGGCACGTGTGAAATACAATAGTATGAGGTAAACAACACTTATTTGAAGGCAGTATGAAGTACATGACACTTGTTTTACTCTTTTATTACTATTTACACTTAACATTCATCATTACTGCTACAGTAATTGATCACGATGCTAGACTTGTGCTTGGGGGTTGGGGGTAGAAACACATGGTAAAGTGAGTAAAGTCTAAGGGCAAGGTTCCTACATCACAATAGCTGAGAAGTGACTGGGAGGCTCTCATGTGTGAGTGAGTGAAAGATAAATACCTACTTAGCAACATAATCTATCCAGGCCCGCCATTTTTATTCATTCAGTTGGTTGTGCAATATGACCTGACTTGAAGCTCTACAGATGCACTTCATATGACCTGACCTGAAGCCTAGGGGTTAAAGACCTTAGTTGTTGAAGCAGTAATAATATTATAGCATCAATAATATTTACTCTAATCGGCCAAGTCTCTAGACATAACCAGTGAACTGTACCTACATTGTTCCTATTATACCTATTGAATCCACTTTCACTTATCAATTATATGCATTTGTAAACAAATGTGAGAGTAACAGGTTTGAAATTTATTTTAAAAAGCAAATAAACAAAACAGTTCTACTTTTGATAAACAGTCTGTTGTGATGAGCCGCATGGCACCACGGGAGTGTGGGAAGTGGGGTGCCAAGGAAGGTCGTAGGCTGGTAGTGTTTGTGGATGATCTTCACCTAGCGGCTCAAGACAATTACTATGCACAGCCAGTCCATGAAGCAGTGAGGGAGGCGATGCACCACAACAATTGGTGAGTCATTTCAGGCAATAGAGTCTTGGGCACTTAAATGTCTTGGTAGGAAAACATGTCCTCCTCTGTAGACACATTGGGTCCCCACTTATTGTTATACGTACAGTAGATGCATTCCTGGAATGTGTTCCAGTAGTTTAAATGAAACTCTGATAAGCAACTCAATTTATCCCATAAGAAATAATTTAGAGGGCTAAGTTCCTAAGATTTCTAATTTTGTACCCAAACTGATTGTATTTCTTGTTTCCTTGGAGCTGGGTGTTGCACTTGCACTTTGTACACATTTTGGAAGCATGAAGTTGGGGTTTAAATCTAAAAAACACAAAATCTTGTATTGTATTTTGCCTTGAAGCACAAATGTAAACATGAATTGAGGTGAGAACTCAACTTGGGTCCTCCATGTGGTCCCACGCTCTGCCTTACAAAGTACTGTACAGTGGTCCTTCCATTAACGAGCGGTTCAATTTACGAGATTTTGGTTAACGAATTAGCTCCCCTAAGGATTTTCAGTTCTATTAACGAGTACAACTTCTATTAACGACAGCCTTACGAGAAATACGCTTTGGTGTGCGCTTCAGCTGAATAGCTGATCGGCTAGTCTGCCAATACAGTAATCGGTTCTATGTTTACACTTGTTTCCAGTGGAGTAAATATTGAGAAATGTGAGTTGGAACCAATTACCCAATATCCCATTGAAATAATAGATTCAGTAAATGAAATTTTCAGTTAACGACTGACTCCTTGGAACCAATTGTGCTCGTAAATCGAGGGATCACTGTATTTACATATTAGCAGATAATGGCTGAAAGTAATACAATGGAACATGACAAGATGCTAGATAGTTACCATCCCTAATTCTTTGACAACAATGATACTAGAGTTAGGTCATGCGGGTTGTGTCGTGTTGCATCTCTGTAAGAAAGCGTGTTGATACTTGGGCCTTCATTGTAGAGCGACAGAAATTGGACAATGAATTCATAACATCAAGATTGTCTTTGTCATGTGAATGAGTAAATCGATGTAACAATTTTGCTGTTATTTGCAATTAAAGATTGTTGTTGTTAGTGGCAATAGCAATTGTTAGCCTTTTAATTTGTCTTAATTAGTTATATGTATTTCCATTACTCCTCTTCCAATTGTGCACTGCAGGTGAACTTGATTGTCATTAGACATTACTTTTTGTTTTCTGTATACAAGTATTTCTTCATTTCATATGGTCATATTTTCCAGGGTCAGTACTGAAAGCACCACAAAAATGTGTTTGGAGGATGTGACATGGATTGGTGGTACCTCCTTGAACTTAGGAAATAAAGCCGCAAATGATGATGATGCAGCAGGGACGGGTTTGTTGGAGCCCAGGTGTTTGGCTGGCTTTATTGTGATTGTTGCCCACACACTTTCTAAGGACACTATCAATCGAATCTTCACCACTCAACTCAATGTTTTTCTCCGAGTTAGTAGCTGTTCAGCCTATGTAGTTATTCATCCCTGTGCATCAGAATGTTGAATACATACTGTAATGTGTGAATTAAATTTTATGAATATTTAATTACAGTAACTGGTAATATACAATTTATTAGAAATATGAGTTAATAAAATGAAAATATATAAAGGCTTAGAGGTTAAGGAGTTTTAATAACATTTAGTTGCATAGTAAAGGATATTTTTAAAAAGATTTACAATGTAGATTTGCATTATGTAGATAATACGAGGGAGGCTAGGCAGGAAGGTCTAGAGGTAAAGTGGAGAAAGAACAGAGTAAGTGTATGTGTAGTGGTATTGTTGTACCTAATGAGAATTATGTAGAAACTTGCAGTCTAGTTAATGTTTGAAAGAGGTTGGTCATAAATATCTCTGTTGTTCATCTGGAAAAATTGCATTGAGCATAAACCAATAGAGAACTTTACCACATTTTTGTTTTAAACTTAGGGATTATCTGTATTTTTATTGTGTTGTCTTAATCTCATACTTGTACCTGCACAAGTGTTAACCCTTGACACCACCCTTTCAGGCTGGAGGCTTCGTACCAGACATGTTTACTGTGGTGGCAGGCATTGTGGCTGGTACCCTTGATGTTTTGCACTATGCCCAAGTATCACTACCATCAACACCTACCAAGAGCCATTATGTATTTAACTTGGCCACTGCTGCTCGTGTAATTCACTCTGTTAGCTTCTTGAGAAAAGAATCCATGGAAACAAAGAGGCACTTTGTCAGGTAGTACCAACAAGATCCTCTTTTTTTATAGTACACATACTGTATAAACAACTTCAGGAGCTGGCTCCACATAATTAATTACCGGTATTTTAAGATTTGTTTCTTTTTGTATATTAACACAACTGTGGAGTACTGTATCCGGTAATGTTTAATGATTAATGTGATTTTATTTATTTTTTGAAGCTAAGAGAATAATCTGAATAAAACATTTATTAGCATGAATTTACAGTTATTTTTCATGAACCAGAATATTCTAGTTCATTACTCCTGGTAAAGTAACCTCCCCAATCCCCGGAACTCTCCAATAGCTGGAATTGAAATCGGGCCGGAAATATTCTGGGAAAACTCTCTCCATTCTGGGTCTGCGAATGAATTTCAAGAATGAAAATCTGGCGCATTTTGGGGGGAAATTTTCGAGAAGTTTCCGAGAATATCTCTCCAAACCTCTCCGTTTTGGGCCTGGGAATAAATTTTCCGGAACCTCCAAGAGATGGCATCATGCTCCAATGCATCCCCATGTGCAGGGCTCATGGGTGGCCTAGCTGCTTGGAATGCTTAGTTCATATTCTGCTGCCATTGTAGAAGGTTGTTCCCTCACTAGTTTCTGTTTTTGCATACAATTTGTGTTATACAGTGCCGGTACTTCTACATTACTGTACCAGGACACAATCAGCCAAGAATACAATGTTAAGACACAAAAAGTGATTACAGTTATGTAAACTTTACTGTACATTCAGTAAGTGGGAAACAATGGAGTACCTTAGCTTTTGTCTTTATTCAAGATATCTTCAGGTCATGAGACCCACTAATCTCTCACCCCGACAATGGGTGACCTGACATGGCCATTAATATGAGACCACTAATCCTTCACCCCCACCTCCACCACTAAAGTTTGGCAACTGTTTTGGTTTCTTACAAGCACTCGTACCGGTTGTTTGCCTCAAATTTTTCTTCACTTTTCTTTCTTTCTTTTTCCCTCAGTCATCGTTTTCTGATTATCCTTCTACTGCTTAACACATTACTGATATCATCAAGGGAGGGGATAAAGAAATTCAAAACTGATAAAACATTCCCAAAATATTTCTACACCACTGTTTTAATTATAAAAGTAAAAGGCTTATACTGTATAGTAGTACACTATACAAATCTGACCCATCCATACAGAAACTAAGTAATGAGCCTCTATTCCTCTTACTTAGTGTTAGTAGTTGATGAACTCCCTTTCCTTGTTAAACCAAATAGATCTAAATCTTAAATTACTTTTCTCAAGCATAGTGATTTAACTTTTATTGACGCATACTGTACGTACATTCAACTATCATAGCTTACACATATTCCAGCTCCTTTCTTCACCGCCTGTAATTCTCACTAGGTCTTATATTAACAACAAATCATCAAAATATTCTACAGATATTTTCACTTTCCCTGAATTATGTTCTACGATTACAGAATTAGAAAATACTGGGTGCACCTGTCTCTAAGTGCATCTTAGAATAACTGTTATTCCGCAGGTTGTGGGTACATGAGATATACCGGGAATTTTGTGATCGATTGACAGACGCATCAGAGGTGACACCCATCTACAACATTCTTGTCAATACCATTAAGACTAGCTTCAGAGACAAGATTCATGTAATCTTTGACAAACTCTGCAATGAAGATGGATCGGTATGGAGATAAGATTGTACAGTATTGTTATTAAGATTTTTGAGGAAACCATTTTAATAGATGAAGATCATTTTTATGGTAATAAACTGTACAATAATTTTGAAAGCTTCGTAGTTTGTGTTTTGAGTGAAAACATGATTTGAGACATAAAGAGAGTAAATTGTCAGGGGCTTCATAGTTCATCATCTTGATAGTTGCTACTGATTTATTCAGAATACATGGAACTCTAATAATTGGAATTTATGTGTAGTCATGTAAGGATACAGTGCTTTATACTTTCAAGAATGTTAATACTGCATGATTCCCATATTCCTTTTTTTCAGATCTGCATGGTGATAATTTTTAGTGTTGAAGATAGTGATGAAGAACTGCTCACTTATATTTGTACTCCCATTTTAGAACAGCTTTTTCTTATTTCTCTGTATATTTATCCCTTGAACTAACATCAAAATGTCAAAACTCAGCAGATAGAATCTTATTAAGTTTTGTTGTAGAGTTCAGTAAAGTTGTTGTGTGGTTGGGTTCATGTGTATAACAATCATCTGGCAGGAACTTTCATGTGCTCTTGGGAGCAAATGATCCAATAAGTTGTGAGGTTTACATCATAAAATTAATTATTTAAATGCTTTTGCTGACTTGATATTCCAGATTTCTAGATATTTTAGGTATGTCTAATGGACAGAAAATATGTTTTTTGTGACGCCAATTATTTTTTTATTTTTACTATGATCTGTGTTATGAAAAAAAGTTATTAGTCACATATCCATATCTTCCCCTTGTCAGGAGAAAAACAATTCAAGCCAAAATCAATTAATTTTGAATCATCAAGGGAAGACCAGCAACCAACAGAATCCACCTAAGGTCATCATAAGTGAATCTTTCATATTTCAGTCCTTTTTCAACCTTGATGTTTTCCTGTGTACTGTATTAATATGGCTAGTAATGAGCACTGGATCAAACCAGTGTCACACATGATAATTCTGTGACCCAATACTTTTGTGACCTGGGATTTAATGAGGACCTAATGTGTTATTAGTTTGTTGTCTTGATCATTGACTGGTGTAGTGAGTGACATCTGTATTGAGGCAGCAGCAGTCATGTCATGAGCCTCAGCTACTTCACAACCTTCCCTTGAGACACATTTGGGTTTGTTAAATTTTGTTTTTTCTAACCAGTTTCAGGTTTTCCATGGGTCTCTTTGTGTCATTATAAAGGACTTGTTTAAGCTTCCTTGCTAAGTACAGTAATGATGCAGAATACAGTAATCGGCTAAATGTCATAACCTTCTCATAAGACGGTCAACTTCATTTAGCTTTTTTCTGTGTAACAGTTTTAGGTGTTGTGTTGGCTTTTGTGTACGTAGTTTGGAAAATATGTCTACCATATATACTCGAGTATAGTTAGAGTTTTTATGAGAAAATTTTTATGCAAAAAGTACTGGGTCAAACTATATACTGTATGTGTAATATTTTTGAGGGGTTAAAATTCATGCATTTCCTAGAGTTATTTACAGTGAATGATCGATACCCAGTACATGTTCGTAGTACACTAACCTTATCTGTAAGCTCTTCTATCCTGTGCTTTCCTACTACCCCTAGATTCTTTTTTCATGTTCCTACATGAAAAGCAGAACAACATTCACTATATATGCCACTTTAAATCTACATCACTGATGGCATTGTTGCCAAGTTAGTTTTGTTACTGTAGCCACATCCCCTGAGCCCTTAAGCTATCAGGCTGAGCTGTGAGCTATTTTGTGGTTATTTTTCGACTCGTAATTTCAGGTAGGTTTATGTAACTTTCTTCTTTTTTTCTCAATTCCATACATACACAATCCTACATACATAATGTACAAAAAGATAAAAGCAACACATGTATTCCTCATTTAACGATGGGGTTGTGCTCCTAAAAACCTAATGTTAAGCAAAATTATCACTAAACGAGGGAGAACAGTGAAGCACTGGCAGGAATTCAAATTCAGAGTTGGTAACTGTTCATAACATCAACTGTTGTGGCGGTGGTTCACGGTTATAACTCGTTGGTGAGAGTCTGGTGTCTGGTTATAAAATATGACTAGGATTGTACATAGTATAGTATTTCTTAAAGGCTGGGGTCAAATTATAAATGAGGCTCAGTATATGAAAAACTCGGGCTCTCTTACCCAAAAATCTGGGGTCAAACTATACATGAGATAGGCTTATACATGAGTATGTATGGTAATCATTATACCTCAAATGCCAGTTACATTAAAGAAGCTTGTGACTGACATGTACTATCGTATTTCCATAGTTCTACCTAATATTCTATAACTGTCATTGTTTATATGCCCTTATAATCTAGATTTTTTTATAATGCTATTATGCTTCATTAAGTCTCATATTGGTTAATTCAAGGAGAAGACACACAGAATTATCCATTTTCCCTGAAACAGTAGGGACTACTGAAGCTAGATTACCAGCTAGGCAGACTATTGCTCCTGCTGTCAGAGAGAGACTGTACAGTATGTAGTACTGTTGAGTATACTGTATACATGTCTACATATTCTGAACACAACACCTTGAATGTTACTGTAGATTTAATGTTCCTATTTCAAAATCTTATTTTTCAGTGTTGTTGTGCTTTCTGCTGTCCAGATCTTTTTGCTTATTGAATGAAATAATATTAATTTGTGAACTGAGGAAAATATGTTTTTACTTTAATATTTTTTGTATTTCTAGTACTTTTTTCATTGTATATTTCTATATATATATATATATAGTATACTGTACTTTAGATATACTTTTTGTAGTCTGTAAATATTTTTCTTTCTCCAGTTAAAGACCTGAACAAGCAGGAATGAAAGTACATGCCTAGACTAATTGGGGAAGGATTTTATTAAATTGTACTCTTATGTAATAGTATATCATTGATTTTTTTTTCAAATGTGGAACTATTACAGTGTACTTTTTAGCAAATTCTGCAAGCTTTTCCTCTAAATTTTAGGATCATATTCCTCCCAACCCCTTGTTCTTACAGGTGACAGAGGCTTGCATCGAGCGTGCATGTTGGGGCTTGATGGGCAGCATAGACACTACAGCAGAAGAAAGGCGTTATGAGGAGCTCACAGATGCTGCTCAGCTCCATCAAACAATCACTCTCTTTATTGATGAGTACAATAATGAGAACAGCACACCATTAAATCTTGTCACTTTCAAGTGAGTCAGATGGCCCAATATCATGCATTGTTATATGATTTATGAAAAGTTATTTCAATTATGAAGTACAATAATTATGATCTTTATTTTTCAATCTGAAGTTTAATACACAGTGTGGTCTCATTTTGCGTGGGTATATCATAATTACTACACTTCCGTGCATCAGAAATCCGTGCACACGATACCATTTAACATTTTAAAATTGCTATACTGTACAGTATTGTACTGGACTCGCGAGACTTTTACTCTTGAACAACTTTGGGTGACCAACTTAATCTTCCATAAATGACACATAGTGCCACATAAAATGCATCTACATTATTAAATAAATATTTCAAGAAAGCCCAGGAATTTAATTATGTGATACTCCACCAAATAGTGGAGGTGTGGGAAGCTCTGGGAGATGATGGGGGTCCGAGGCAGAGAGTGAAGGCTAGTCAAATTCAAACCCTTCAAAATCAACTACAGACACCTGTAAAGCGACTTCAGTTTCATCACCAAATTCCAGAATGGCAGGATCATCGTCACTGGATTCTTCTTGATTTTCATCACATTGTTGAGGCTGAAAATTGGCTGTGATGAGAGCTTGGCAGTGGCATTTAATAAACTCTTGGTAACATTGCCTGTAGGGTTCCACCATACTGCCTAACTGTGCACTAAGTTTGTCACTGCTTTGTAGGCTGGACTTAGCACCCATTAAGGCATCTTTCAGTTCTTCAACCTTACTGAGAACTTGCATCACCTGCCGCTGAGTCATGCCTCCCTCAGTTTGTTCTGGATCCTCCACACCACCAACACTTCCTTCCGCTCCCTCAAATTCAAACAAAATGTCGTCTAGTGAAGTGGATTACCCTGTCGCTCTGATAGCTTCCATCACATCGTAAACATATAATGATTGACGTACTTATTTTTATAATGTGTCAATACTGTAATGAATAAAAACAAAAACAAAAATGGTGAATGCAGCAACAGTCATTCCTACCTCCCTAAATTAGCGGAGCCTTCTTTGTGCACGTTTACGGCTGATTCGCCAGGCAAGAAGATGATGGTAGCAATGCGTGTGACGGAGGGTGCGGGAGGAATTTTTGAGAATTGCAATTAAATGCCAGGTAGCAACGTGTCCTCCTAATATTACGTATTTAAGTAATTATTTAATGTTTTAATTGCCTGTATGTTGGCCTGGCTAGTTTATGCTAGGCATTTACATACCTAGGTATAAAGCTAGACGTCGCATTCTGGATTGAACAAAAACATTCATAATTCAGCAAGAAGCCACCTTGGGCACACTAGTTTGAACCATGGTATCCATTGTCACAGTACTATAGAAGGGATTTACCATCAACACACATACTCTCACACATGACTATTTTATTTACTCACTTAATTAAGAGTGTATCTTTCTATTTATTTAAGGTATGTGGTTAATCATGTGTCCCGGATATGTCGTGTACTAGGACGAGCAGGTGGTCATCTTATGCTGGTGGGCATGGGTGGGTCAGGCCGACGTTCCCTGGCCCGCCTAGCTGCACATATTTGCGGACATAAGCTTGCTTATCCATTCATCAATGCCCAAGATGGTTAGTGCCATGTTACTCTGTTGATGTTTGGGTATATTAGCAGGGCCAGCTTCATTCAGTGATGTAATACAAAAAAATAAAAAAAAACTGCCTGTCCCAATTGTCACAAAGATTCAGTTGCATATTTCAACTGTTTTATCCCTTTTCCTCTACATGTACAGGTGTTTACCATTATACAATTGTTCAGTTTTATGATGTTAAGAAATTAATACCAAATACCACTATGCGATGGCGAAGATCAGATTTAATATGGATGCTACTCAGTGGGTACCCAAATACTTTTCTTGCATTGTCACTGCTATGAAAAATTATGGGCAATAACTCACAATATTCTCAGATATGATGACGCAATCTTGGAATGGCATAACACGTGTGATCCAAATGGGTTGCGTGAGAGACTCTGCCTGCCTCAGGTGATTGACTGCCTGGCTGGGCAGTTGAATTGTTGATTCTCTCACCCAGAGGATGTTTGCATGTGGGAGAAGTTATTCCTTGTACACAAATTAATATATACTGTACCGGTATAATGTGAGGAACTAATAAAAATAATAATAATAAATTAAAAGTTAACACCTGCATTCATTATGTATAGTCAACAAAAAAATATTCTGCACCCCTGGGTCTGATAGCCTTCACAATGACCACTGGCTGAGGTCGTGTTAATTTGGTAAGGTTAGTACTTCTGATTGTGTGATGCATTGTGCAATGAATACAATGTATTCTGTATATTATGTATAGTTAATACAGGACTGTAATCACCCAAGTAAATGACTGTTGTTCAGAATTCTTGGTCTGGTGTGTCATGTTGTGCGACACCGTAAAGGTGCAGAATTTTTTTTTTTCACTGTACATACACTGTATTATGAAGAAAAAAATTAAATTGATCAGCCACAAGTTTTGCAGCAGGATAAAGGATAATGTATTTCTCACAATGCCTCATTACATGATACACATACAGTCATGTACAAAAGTCCTGTCTCCTCTTCTGCCGTTCCGCGAACCCTAAGATTCGGACTCGTGAACCCGAAGCAGCAGACACTGATGCATTATTCTGTCCATAAATGCTTCAAATTCATGAGTCTGAATCTTGGGGTTCGCAGAACAGCAGAAGAGGAGACAGGACTTAGGTTTGCGACTGTACATTATAGCGATTATTCACAGGGTATGCAGAGCTAAGGAAAGTATTGAAGGAATCCCTGATCAGAGCAGGTGTTGATGAAAAGGCCACAGTAGTGGTGGTTGGGGATGCTGTACTTCAACATCCAACTGTTCTACACCTGCTTAATACACTAATTCTTACTGGTGATGCACCCAACTTGCTGCCTCCAGAGGACCACAGCTATCTAATGGAGGTCAGTTACTGGGCATATTGTGTACAAGGTATGAAGCCATTATTACCCTCCGCTTCATCTCCATATAGAGAAGATGAAATCCTAATGACTGATGCACTGTACCTTTTGCTGCACCACATTAATCAGACATCTGAGAGGTATTGTTATTGCTGCATTTGCAACAATTACAATGCAGTTGGTGTGAAAGATGACACACAGAACATAGTTATGTACCCTGTATTGTTCTATGCTTTAATAACTAGAGAGCTCACATGCACATTAATGGACTTCTTTCTCATTCTATACATACCAGATATTTTGGGTACATGGTCCTCAGGTGTGTTGTACCCGCATTATATGTCCTTTGTTAGCTCATAAATTTATGAAGTTCCCCACACTGTCATTCCCAAGGATATGCAAACTGAGGGGCCAGTGATGTTCATGCAACAGCTAGGGGACCACTGGGGAAGTGTGGAGAAAATCAAAACCAATACTGATACAGTCAGTATAGGGGAGAAAGAACTCAGTGATCGACGTGAGCGTATTTTGCTATACAGTAGGCCCTTGACATATGTGAGGGATGCGTTCCTGAAAACCCTCGCATAAATCGAAATCTCAGTGATATCCCCATTAGCCGGAACAATTGGTATAGAGCACTTCCGGAGATCAGAGATTTCCGGATAACTAGACGACTTTCTCAAATCCGGAAAAAATCCTTGTCCCCGGAACCTTTTCTGGCTACTGGGAAAAGTTTCCAAGTGTCTAAATTAGACATCTTTCACAGACGGACACTAGCCCACTTGCCCAGAATGTTTCTGGGTGCTGGGGATGTTTTCCTTGAGTCTAAACTACCGGAGTCTGTAAATGCAGTTCTACTGAAATTAGAAATTTCATTTCTTTACTATAATAATTCAGAATAGTTTATCTAAAAGTTTAGTTTAATAAATATATTTAAAAATTAAAAGTCTATAGGATATGTAATTTTAAAATTTCTTCAGAATTTGTATTATTGCAGCGCCTACGTCTGTCCACTGAGGATCGCAGTGTAAGTGAAGCAGACCTGTGGCGGGAACAAGTACAACGTGTAGCAGATCTTGTACATGTGGTAATAACTTGTCCACCCTCTTCTGTGCTCCGCCACACCCTCATCCAATATCCTGCCTTTGCAACCCATGTTACCATGGATTACTTCAAGGTAAATCATGGTAAATGACTGTCTGTCACCTATTGCTGTTATTCAATAGGTGTTGTCTTTCCCTCAGCCATTTGTCTTAGTTCCATTATGTAACACACATAAATTAACACTCTTATTTATGAAAACAGTTTTGATTTTGTTTAGATATTTTAGGGGATTAAATTAAAGAAATTTGTAGAGTTAAATTTAGTAGCAATTGAAGAAAAAACAAAAGTATAGATAACAGCAAAATATCACTAGTTTTCATGTCAAGTCTTCATATTATGTTGACTTCACTCATTTTGACATAAATGGTAATCATCAAAAATGCTGTTTTGCATTTATCCATCAGAGTTCAATTAAGTAAAAGAAAAGGAACAAAAATGGTCGATATACAGCATACAGTATAATAAAAATTAGAAAAAAAAGAATGAAACTTATGTTTATCCTTGCACCTCCCTTCACTGCTTCCAACCATATAATGTACAGTTAAGAAAATCAGCATAGTGAAAATTATAACATGTTTGATTAATACCATTTAACTGAATAAAGCACTGTATTTAAATACAGTTATGTAAATTTCCCCTTTAACACTTTTGAATTCAACAAAAGTGGAAATATATTTTGTAAGGTACTATTTTGTTTGATACAAATTTACCCCAAAAAAGAGCTTGAGTAATATTCATTCTGAAACTTCCTTCCTATGATATTTGTATTTAACAAAAATATTACCTGTAATATGGTTTATAAATCACTATTTTTACCCACCAGAAAATATATTACTTTATCCTTGTCTTGCCATTTGTTTCTCCTAGACATACATGAATAGCCTCATGATGGAGCTTACATATGTTCACTCCATTGTCATTATTATTGTAGCCATGGCCACAAGAAGCACTTGTAAAAGTGGGTGAGCACTATCTGGCAGAAGTTCCCCTAAGAAGATCTATTAAAGATGCTGTCATTTCTGCTGCTACAGCCACACACCAGACTGCCAGGTAGGTAAAAAATATGCTCTCAGCTCTCATTTCACATAGGACATAGCTTCCAAGTGGTTTGTTTAAGGGGTTTTCTCTTATACGTATAAGCTTAACAAACCATGAGAAAATAGACAGAGGAACTGTACTGTGTAATTACTATGTGTTTTTTTGTGGCTTTCATTTTGTTGGGGTTATGAAAATTTTGGAGTACAGGTACTACAATACTTCAAAATTTGCCTGGGTTATCTTTGGAACCAATGTATAACAAGAGAAAAAGGGGGTTACTATTCTCCTTCTGATGACTTTGCTTCTCGCCCCATTAAATACAGCAAGAAACCCTTCATATCCATGTCTGTACTATTTTTTGTCCACTCAATCTGTAAAATTGTCCCGTTATCTTCTATTTCTTGCAGACAAATGTCAGAACAGATCATAGCAGAAGGAAAATGGTGTCTTCCTGTGACCCCTGCCTTGTATCTCCACCTTCTGCAGGAGTTCCGTAGCCTATTCACCACCCGGCAGGCTCACACCTCCTCCCTCAAAAAGAAATATCTTTCTGGGCTTGATAAATTAGCTTTTGCTGCCTCTCAGGTAGGTTTCTTGTTGTCATCTTTATTTTGTTTGTGTCAGGTAAATAAAATGCTATTTTGTGTGCCTGCATGCTGTAAGTGTATCTAAAAATTATTAAGTCTCGGCCTAGTAACTTATCAAACCATTTAGGAAACTTAATTGAGAATTCTGATCTTGTACTTTACTTAAAGTTCCACATTATATTTCCATCTACAGGTATCCCCTGATTTACGATCATCAGTTTTATGATAATCTGTGGTAACGTTAATTGAGTTTTAACACCCTCTCGCGATTTATGTGAAGCAAAATCCACGTTAATGATATTTATCATTACCATAAACTCTCTGATGTGGAATGTAAACACTGGGGAAGCACATCTTTCCCTTCACTTGTCAAATCCAAGATTGCCAATATGCACAGAAACTGCTTTACCATCCTCCGCACAGCTTCACCAACCTGCTCACCACCTCACAGCCACCATGCGAACTACAGTCCTGGGCTTTGTTTCAATGTGATCGCAACTACCCTTGCTCATGTAACAAACGTTATCGTAATTAATCATTGCGTGTGTGTAACCTTGTGATCGCTGTGATATTCTGCCGTTATTAGTGAGAGGAAACCATTATCATTCAGATACTGCTCTGTTTTAGACTGTGAAGCGATCGATGCACAGTAACTCTGTAATACACACACACACACACACATTCACACTCTGAGTCAGACTCGTACAAAAGAATGAGCTCAGCAGCCTTTTCAGGGGATAGGAAAGGTCGCCTATGTGACATGCTAGGTTCTTGTGTCAGCAATTGACACATGATCCTGTGATGGGTGGCAGCACTGCCGGGCTGACAGTGTTGTCAGAACATAAGCCTAGAGTTTCTTGAAACACTTCATAAAAATCAAACTACTTATACTGCATGTAATGCCATGAGGTACTGGTAGCATTTCATCATGGATATATCCGTGATCAGCGCCAACCGACACCTATTGTTTATCACAGATATATCCGGGATTGACACCCAGTGGGTTAAAGGGTTAATGAGAGGACTGATACAATTCTCAGTTTACCAGTAAACCCAAACTCTTGTTCTTTTATGACTTCATAATATGATCACATTCTACCCCTTCTTATCTAGTACAGTAGGTAGTGTCACTAATTTTAATGGTCTCTCATCTGTTGTTTTTTATCACAGATCTCAGTGATGCAGGAGATGCTGGCATCACTTGGTCCCCAAATAGAAGAAGCCTCCCACGATGTGTCCAAGATGATGGAGCTGATTGAACAGGTCATTCTTTGGTTTTATAATAATCCAGAGGACATTTGTGTGATCAACACAAAAATGAGAATTAAGATTTAATTATCTTTATTTTTAGTTTCTAGTGTCCTAATTCATTCTTATTCACTACAGGCAGATTCACTGAGAGCATAGAATCTACATCTATTTAATATAAAGGTGTCTTATCACTACTCCAATTGAAAATACATAAAATCCTGCACCATTGGACAAGGTCATAAATTAGGGAGAGAATATATAATTTGAGTTAAATTGGCAGTCGATCTTATACATCAAGTTTGAAAACCAGAGCATTTAATTTTATAGTAAATAGAGAAACACACTTTGGAAATATGGAATACTTAACATCTGTATTTATAAACTACAGTATAGGAACTATTTGGTAATACACATTATTTCTGATATATATAAAGATGCAATTCAGAACAGCAGTGACTGTTATACGATGAGAATCACTGTGCAGTATTTACAAGTACCTGTACAGACAAATGTCTTCCCACACACGTGCCGTGCTACACCATCTGCTTGACACCTTGAACATGTGAACAATCCATTCTATGGTGTGTCTATGTGCACAACCTCTTTAAACTACACCATGTATCGATGTTATGAGTTGTCTTAATGTGAGTGCCAGGAGGACAGGTATAAAAAATGCTGCATAAAGAGATACTTAATTTCAAGTTATAGCAGAGAGGGTTCCTGATAGGAGAGATGGTTGGTGATGGTTTCAGATAGCAGGGCAGAAGGAATGAGGTGCTCAAGTCGAATTTTTCCTCTCCTTCCTCCTTATCATCAGTGTCATTACATCATAAAACTAATCAAGCACATATTGATCCATTATATAATGATCATTGCCTCTACCAAAACAGTATTTTGATAAGCAAAAATTAATATATTAAAAGCTTTGATATTTCTTCAGGCATATTAAATTTCTGTATGTGATTTTCCTACTTCTCAGTTAATATTTGTGGTCACTATAAAGTAACGGTAAATAAAGTAAACTCATTTCATCATATGCAGGAATCTATGGAGGTTGAGGCTCGAAGAAAGCTCGTGGCTGCAGAGGAGACAGAGGCTGGAGTACATGCAGCACGTGCCCAAGCATTGAAAGACGAGTGCCAGACAGAACTGAACCAGGCACTCCCAGCTCTACAGGGTAAGTGTCATCACCTGTCTCTGTTCAGGTTTTAAATTAGCATGCCTTTTGGGATTATTTATATAATCTACAGTACTGTATTAGCAACTCACATTCCCCAAAAGATTTTTGCAAATTCTTGGTAACAGAATCACTCAAGGCATCTTTATACATAGATTTCACCCCAAGATAATAAAAATGATATCGTCAGGATGTGGAAAAATTCCAGGGAAATGGGAAATTTACGGGTTTTGGAGAGTCGTCTCATTACCCGGAAATCTCTCATCCCTGAAGAGCTCTGCACCAATTATTTCAGCTAATTGGAACATAATTTTAATATTAACCTGGGTATACCTCTTGTAATGATGATGTCCTGACTTGTTAAAATAACTTAAACTGTATATTCCTGTGAATTGGTTGTTTGGCGATTCATGTTTGTGACGTAAGCGAGGTTCGGCAGAGTGACTTGCTGTCAATTAATGGTGAAATGATATGCTCACCCTACGGCCCAACTGTATTACAAATTCCTGACCTTCACTGTACATTTATACTGCATTAGGCTTGATAAACCCTCTCACCTTCTTGCATTAATTACTGACATACCTGTAAGGACATGTGACTTTCCTTTGTGTATTCATATGCCTGAACTAGTGCATATTTATTCATTTGTTGAATAACTTGTGTCAGAAGTTAATAAAAACTCCTTCTAAGGTTTTTCATCATGCAGTCTTACTACATTTTGTTGAAATACCAGTCATTCAATGTTTACATAGTTGGCCTTGCCTGTACAGTAACCCCTCTCCAACCTCTGATTCTGGGTATCTATGGTTTTTACTTTGTACAAGGTGTATACCATTTCACCAACTTTGGCATTGAATTTCGAATATCTGTAGGATTAGTGTGGCATCTTTATTCCTCAGTGGTCTAATGTATTCTTCAGTAAATATGAGGAATGAATCAAAATAATACAGCATGCCCTTATAATTCGCGGGTTTTTAATTCGTGGCCTTCGATTATTCACGGATGACACCCTGTATGTACCCAAGAATGTCTGCGGGTACTTTTAAAGTGGGTGGCATGTTCGCGGGCGGGACGGGGAGCACGCGAGTTTTGTTGCGTCCTTCAAGGTGTCTCTGTTGTCCCAGAAGGCTTGGCAACGTGTCAATATGTCGATAATTTTGGAACCGGGTAGTCAAGATATAAAAAAAATCTTTATAAAAAATCGCTATATATATACCGAACCTAACTTAGTTAGGCTTTGATGAGTGTTATCCACGGCCATGGAACCTAACTCCCTATTTCCCATGTCTTGATGATTGCGGTGGGGGGGGGGGGGAGGAGGGTGGTTTCGAGAACCTAACCCCCACAGTTGTTGAGGGACCACTGTATCTAAGATAATTTGGACTTGCAGCCAAACAGAAAGTTCAGCTGGATGATTAAAATTTTTGCACTGCTTGCTTTGTAGAACAAGTGGCTTTCCTGAACCCTGCCATTTATTTACTTCAGAACACCAGTAGTTCCCACTAATTTCAATGTACTGTAATAGGTTTTACTGTATGTATTTGTAAATAGCCATATTGTAATAGAGTCATCTATGATCTACAGAGGCAGTTGAGGCCCTCAACACACTCAAGCCTGCAGACATCACAGTTGTAAAGAGTATGAAGAATCCTCCACATGCAATTAAGCTTGTCATGGCTGCAGTCTGTGTCATGTTGGAAATCAAGCCTGAAAAGTTAAAAAACAGCAGTGTTAAAGCGGTAATGTACTATATAGCTAGCAAGAGGGACATGTACTTACCAGAAGGATGTAATATCCTGAAGTGCATTGTATATAACAAGGGATTCAAGGTAACCTTATGAGGGACAGTGAAGGGGAGTGGAGGGATAAAAGAATACACAGGGGCTTCACTGAAACAGGATTATTGAATAGAAAATGGGAAATGCAACGGACCCTGCATAGGGTCCTATGTATCTGGATGTAACTTTTCTTCTTTGCAAACAGCATTTAATTGGAAATCATTAAGATATAAAGTATAAAACTAAAAACACTTAGATTAATTACTTTATTCTTGGATTACATGTTATGCATTTAATGAGTTTACTTGATAAATAAAACTTGCACCAGAAAGATCTGTGGCATAATCTTTTTGTCACAAGAGTAGCTCATTTCTCTTATCTCCCCTCAATATATTTTTTCTGTCAGACATTTGACTTTTGGGGCCCAAGCAAACGTCTCCTGAGTGATCTGAGCTTCTTGCAGCAGCTGCGAGACTATGACAAAGATGACATCCCCGACTCTGTCATGGATAAGATTAACAAGGAATATGTTCGCCTACCAGAGTTTGACCCAACATCAGTAGCTAAAGCATCAAGTGCTGCTGAAGGACTGTGTAAATGGGTCCGTGCCATGGCCTCATACAATGCAATTGCTAAGGTGAGCCATAAAAGTAGTTGCAATATTGTAAAAAACATCAGTTTGTGAAGTGTTTGATTCCCACTAACGCAGAGATTGATGAACGTATTATGTACGTACAGTACTAGAATGTCATAATGAAGAAGACTGCTTCCTATTGTTCCTCTAACCATTTTACAAGACTTTTAACAAAAATGCATCCATTCTTTAATTTCTATATTACAGGGTATAGTATAATGTTTTTCATGTTTCCATTTGATTTTAACACCAGCTGAAGTCAGGATTCAGCAAATGTTTGGAAATAATCACGACCCATCTTTATTGTCCAGATGTACTTGATCTTCAGCAGGTGGTACTGATGATGTGTTCTGTATTGACACTCTCTATCAGGTTTAGGTTTGATGGCTTCCCAGGCCATTCCAGCACTTGAATATCTTGCTTATGCTTCATTAGGAGTGGATTTTTGGTGGTATGACGAATTGGCAGGTTCAGCTTCTTTTGAAGTTGGAGTTGAACCAGTCTGAAACATCCTAAGGTTGTGATGGCTTTTCTTCATTTCTGCTGCAAGTATTGTCAGATTCTTTTTCATTTTTCATCACATAAGCATGTCAGTTGCTTTAGAGGTCTTTCTGGTTCTCCCAGGAGATGATTTCCAAGGTGGAACAAAATTGACAGGGAAATTGAGCTAGTATGACAGCATAGCATGTGTATTTTCCATTACATTATTAAAATGCAACCACCCCAGGATACAGATAAATATACTGATTGTGGGGGCTCAAGGCACCAATGTGTTGATGGATACAAAATTTTGCTCTCAATTAAATTTGATGGGCAGTAATCGGGCTGCATTTTTAACATAAAAAAAGTTTAATTTTGTAACCAGCATCAATATTGTTTTTTGTATGGGATAGTATGAGAAGTGAAGGCAATAGTAATGGAGAGGGAAGCAAGTTTAGTACAGTAAATAGGGATATGGGAGGGAATAAGGTTGTTGTTTGAAGATGACAATGCCTTGGTTAGTAATATCAAATGAATATCAAATGGGGGAGGGTCCAAGAAGTTGTGTGTAGGGAAACATGGCGAGTGCAGCGAGCTCACCTAGTTAAGGGGTTCTGGTGGGGCGCTGTAAGCCCCCAACAGAGATTTAATCTGACCAATCTTATGGGCATTTTGAGGCCATTTTTAAGCCATGTGCACTTGATATTAGGAGATATTATGAAGTCAATAGTAAATACTTTTTACTATAAAAAATGCCTGAGTACAATACTGCATTAAAAAAAAGGTATTGGATTTTTCTGGTGAAAAGGGGGGTCCAGATCCCCAGGACCGCCCCTAGATCTACCCTTGAATTATATGCATGATCTTGTTTGTGTAGCCCATGAATGGTTTAGTGTCATAATTCAAACCACCAATGATTTGGTTAGGTTGTAGCTCCAAAGAGAGAACGTCTGGTAGAAGCTGAGGCTGAAGTGGCTGCCATCATGTCTGTAGTTGAAGCCAAGAGAGGACAGCTCAGGGAATTGGAAGAAAAGTTGGAAGTCCTTCAGCGTCGCTTCTCGCTCTCATGTCGTGAAAAGGAGAACCTTGAGACCGAGCAGAAACTTTGTGCACTCAAATTAGAAAGGGCAAGAAAACTTATAAGTATGTTCATCTGTTGTTCAATTAATGATTTTCATGTTTACCCAAGATACTGTATTATGGTTTTTGGAATACTGCATATAACACCTTTTTTATATATCCAGTACTAAATTGTTTTTGTTTTTTATTAAGAATTTTTTAGCAATTTTTATTCTATATGCTTAAGTAAGATATTTTGTTTAATTTTCAGTACAGTAATTGTAAGATGTGATCTAGATAACTGTTTTACTCTGTTGTGTTACAGGTGGACTGGGAGGGGAGCAGACTCGTTGGGAGGCTGCAGCAGACAATGCTGCTGCAGACCTGGCACGCTTACCAGGTGACACTTTGCTTGCTGCTGCATCGTTAGCATATCTTCCACCTCACCAGCCTGATGTTAGGTGGGTCCTACATCCCCAACATCATCACCTGTTGCACCTATTGATGTACTGTTTGGAGAAAAGTATTCAGATTACAGTAATTAATTTTACCTCATAGATATTCTTTTATTTTGAAATTTTCCAATATAAATTATACTTAGTGAATGGTGCTTATTTTATGCTGACCAGTGTGAATATAATGTTGAACATAGCTAAAATCCTATAGATGTTGCTAGAATTTTTAAAAGAGTATAAATTAATGGAAAACAGATTTTTTTTTCTTTTTAGATAAATCAGGGTAAAAGAGAAGTTAATTTTAAATTTGTTGCACTCATACCCAAGTGATTTAACTTTTTCGGGTGCTTAGTGTGCTTGGTGTTCCTAGAGATCGACTGGTGGAAGAATGGATCTTGGCAGTGAAGGAGGCAAAGCTTGAGGTAACTGATTCCTTCAGCCTGGTGGACACACTCACCCCAGCACTAGACATTCGTGCATGGGGCCTTGAGGGACTTCCCACTGACTCTTTCTCACTTCAGAATGCCACCATCATCAAGCACACTGTGAAGTAAATCTCTTTTCTTATAAAGTGCAGTACTTTCTCCAGAATTTTAGATTCATTCTCAAAAGCTTCATTTGCATATCACTGATAGTTTTGTTTTGTAAAGTATATTAATGTTTTAGTTTTTACATGATTGCCCAGTTGAACCATAGTGTGTGAAACCTGCTCTCAGTGGTTGCTTTGAAAGTCAGCATTTCAACCTTCCATCAATTTTGTGATTTCAACCTCACATTCACAAACTTGAGATACAGACATCACTCCTCATGTATTACCTGTCTCTGGCCTACTGTAGATGACGTATATGTGAAACAATTGATCTACGTATGATGAAAATTTCTTACTATATTTGTTAGCGATGTATATGTGTAAAATGATGTACTGTACAGTATATCAGTACAACGTACAGTTAGGACACCCTGTAGAACTTTATATTTTTAAGTGAGTGATGTGCTCTTGTTGATATACCATTTTGTTTATTCACTGCAAGTTACCATTTCCTCTCTTTCTTGAAGTTTCTTTTTCTCTTGGTCCACCCTTTGCAAATAGGAACAGAAAAAAGATACCAGTTAGGTAATTTTTTTTACAGTTGTTTATGCAGTATTCCTTATTGCAGGTGGCCACTGCTTGTAGATCCTGATGACCAGGGTACACGCTGGATCCAAGAGCATGAAGCTGCCAATAACCTAGAAATCATCCAGGAACAGGATATTGACAAGTTGTCTCCCAAAGCTGTGGGTGGGGCACGGGTAACTGTTTTAGAGGATGTGCTGACTCGCTGTGTTCCAAAGGGTCGGCCAGTCCTTCTTCTTGATCTGTCTGGAGATCCACCGTCTATTCTCACCAACATTATCAACCACACTACAACAGAAGAAGGTGAAAACTCTCACTTAGGTATTCAGAATTATGTATAATAATGTACAGTATGCCCGGATAATTCACGGATTTTTATTTCGTGGTCCTCTATTATTCAAGGATGACACCCTGGATGTACCCAAGAATGTCTGCTGGTAGTTTTAAAGTTGCCGTCATTTTTGCGGCTGGGACAGGGAGCCATTCTTTCTAGACAGTAATTTCCTTTACCTGTATTGTACTATACTGTATATGTGTGTGTGTGTGTAGACACACACACACAAAACATACAAATAAATAATAATGGGAAAATGCTCTCAAAAATAATCAGAAACAAATTTATTAAAAATGTGACAGTCTTCCCTCAAGTCTACTCCGTGCCTTATTAATAACAAAGCATGGAGTAGATTGTCACATTTTTAAATAAATTTGTTTCTGATTATTTTTGAGAGCATTTTTCCCATTATTATTTACCATTTGTATGTGTTTTGTGTGTGTGTGTGTCTACACACACACATATACATACAACAAAATACATATATTTCTTTGTTCACAAGTAAAAATGTACCCCCCTGATCAGCAAATGTTATTAGCGGATTTGGCAATTCGCGGCCATTTTGAGAACCTAACCCCCTCCCTCAAATTTGAAGGGCATGCTGTATACTGCTTTTCTTTACAGAAAGGAGATGCACTATTATCTCCTATGTTTAACACTGTATTTTTGTTTTTACCTTAAGGTGGTGTCCGGGTGGTGAGTGTTGGGACCCTCACGTTGAGATACAACAATGATTTCCGGCTGTACCTAGCCACTCGACAACCGCGACCTCATTTTTCCCTGGAGACTGCTGCTGCTCTCACTGTTGTCAATTTCACTGTTACTGTTCATGGTCTACATGGTAACCTGCGACAGATCCTCGTCAGGAAAGAGCGGTGTGTATTGTGGTTGAGTTCTGTGTCCTTGCTATCAAGGAGAATTTTCCCTGCCCTAATGATTATATCATATAAATTGTAGGTTATGTTTAATTTATATGCATTTACATATTGAAATTTATTATTAGCAATGTAAAGAAATAAACGCAAACATTACTAATATTTTATAAATTAAATTTGAAGCCCTGAATTGGAGGATGAACGACAGAAACTAGTGTTGACAACATCTTCATACCAACGTGCTTTGCAAGGGACTGAGGAACGTATCTTGCATACTTTGTCTTCTGTGCAGGGGAACATCTTGGAGTCTGAAGAAGCCATCATGATACTTCAGGATACTAAGGTGGATAACAGTGATGTAGTTGAGACCATGAATGAGACCATTTTAAATTTTAGTTTTATGAATCATGTAAACATTAGCCCCTCCAGTTAGTTTTGGGGTGGTAGAACCTCAAACTGGTTAAGCTTTATGGTGAAAGTTCAGGTAAACTTGGGGTAAATCTAGGTGATGATCTGTAAAAGCTAAAATTGTGAATGGTAATCCCTGAAGAGTTGGGCGTCTGCCATATGGGCGTTAATCGTCTCGGGTTATCATCATCAGGACATTAGTTATAAATCCAGCTTTTATATTTATAAAATAATAATTGATTCATTAAAAATGATAATCATGTATTTAATTATAATGAAATTTTTCTCAATGCTTATTACTGTACTCGCCAACTATTGGTTTCCGAGGTGATTGGTTGGTGTTTTTATGTTCTTTTGGATATACTCAAAGACTGTACTGTAGTTAATCCCACCAAATTTCAAATCTGAGAGAAAATCATATTTGGGTGAAAATATGAGTGAGTTCAAAGACTGAACTTCAACAACCCATAGAAAGAATAAGTCGAGGCTCCCACACACACATATATACGTACAGTATATATATATATATATATATATATATATATATATATATATATTACTGTAATGGTGTCCCTTGGTGCCCTGGATGGTATGTTCATCTTGCAAGTGAGAGGACCTGGGATCCTGGGATCATTCCTGGGAAGGATGGAACTCTGCACTATTTACTTTGTACTGTACTATTTACCTACCCTGGTCTATCCAACAATACTTTGGGATACAGAAATTAATTTAATAGCAGTAACTTATCAGGTTGTGGAAGCAGTGATTAGTCAGTGCCTGTGTCAAGTTGTCCATTCTTTATGGGTGCTCCCTAGACACTTTAATATGCAGCTCATCAATTAAGAAAGTAAACCGTACATTTACAACAGCTTCTGCACCTTAAACAAATATACTAATGCCAGTCATTCTCATCTATAAGAGGCAAATCATTAATTTCATTGTTTCTTTAATGAACAGCAAATGTCAGATGAGATCAAGCGTAAACAGGAGCAATGCGTGGAGACAGAGGCAGCCTTGCTTCTTTGCTGCCAGCAGTATGAGGCAGTGTCAAGACCTGCAGCTGCTCTCTACATGACTCTGGCAAGCCTCTGCTCTCTCTCACACATGTACCAGTTTTCTCTCAGTTGGTACATTAATCTGTACATCAATGTTATAGAGACAACGTAAGTATACATAACACTGTTGCTGAAGTTTCAATTGTGTGTGCTGGAATACACAAAATTAGGAAAAAGGCAGTTCATTATACCTGATGAGCACCCAGCTTATTTTTAGATGGTCAATGGAGCATCATTGCATATTTGTAAAAATAAGGAATAATGGAACCAGTCCAAATTCTTTCAGATGTGTGTTAATGCACTAAAAAACTTAAATGTACATTTACTTTTACAAAAGATTCATAAACGAAACAAAATTGACACCTCTCATATATGCATTTGTTTGCAACATTATTTCAAATATCTTTTAATGCATTCAGCTTTGTTTTGTTTTTTACTTTTGCATTACTTGATAATTGCATTACACAGAGTGTTTAGTGGAAGGTTCGTTGTCCTCACTTAGCCATCTTTTCTGCTTTATAACAAAACAGTTCATGGAGCTAGGCTGTTACGACATCAGGGGTGAGTAGCATCACACCAACTGTCCAATCTGCAACATATCCAATGCTGGACTAATGCATGATGTCACAGACTCACAGTCCACAGATGCCAGAGCGCTACCATGTACTGAACATGTATACTCCACCCAAAAACTGACATCAGCTGATCACATTAAAGATCAAACTATCAGTTCAGTGCAAAATCCCATCTAGGGGGTTGGGAAAACAGGTGGACTTCTTCCATATGGGCATACAAGACAATCAAAGGGGGCCTCACATGGATTTGGTTGAGGCGCTCTCCCCTAGTGTTACCAAAGAGGGGTCAAAAACCAACCCCCTTACTCACAGAATTTGTAATTCAACTGTAGAAGAGCACTGCGGGACTATCGGGGAGCACATTGCTGCTCGCGACCAATGGGTTGGTGACCCTTAATCTAAGGTATCAGGTGTCTACAAGTATGCAATTTATTATATTTCTATGACAGTCATCTAACAATACATAGACTTTCATTTCTTACACATTACCTGTAATTGTACAGTTATTCTAAGTTTTGAAATTACCTGTATTTTGAATGAATGTTTATGTGTCAGGGGCAGATCCAGCAATATATAAAAAAAGGGTCCAAGAAGTTATGGGTGGGGGAACATGGTGAGCACAGTGAGCCCATCCAGCTGGGGGGTTTTGGGGGGTGCTGTAAGCCCCCAGAAATTGTTTTGAAACCTGACCAATATCATGGGCATTTGAGGCCATTTTGAAGCCATGTGCACTTGATATTAGGAGTTATTCTGAGGTCAATAGTAATTACTTTTTACTATACAAAGACACCTGATCACAATGCTGTATTACAGTTGTATTACAGAAAAAGTATTGGAATATTCTGACGAAAAGGGGGGTTCTTTACTCCCAGGACCCCCTGGATCTGCCCCTGTATATAGGTCAGTTACTTGTCCTTTACTAAAAATTTGGGCAAATAATAAAATTAAATTACATTTTCCTTAGTGGGAAGAGCTCAGTATTAGAGCGTCGCCTGAGCCTGTTGCAGGAATCACTAGTGAGTCACGTCCATTCAGCAGTGGTGTGTGGCCTGGCTGCTGCTCATAGGCTGCCTTTTACTTTCCTCATTGCCCTTCATGTCCTGAGGTCAGTCGTTACTTTAGTAATTTAATATTATGCAGTTTTATTTGTAAAAATAGTAGGAAAAATATGTTTATGTGCTAAGGCTCCATGTACAGTTCTGGTGGACCCTTAGTAGAGAACATTTTGATGAGAATGAGGGGTTTGATGAAAGAGTCACCAATTAGACCCATGAATTTGATGACACACAAATAGGTTAGTAAAATAAGCACAACAGTTGACAGACTACTACACTATAAAGTTACCATCCAAATTCAGTTACAGAACTCTGACTTTTTCAACTCATTGCACTATATTACCATACAGTTATTTCATTATGATGATGATATAGTCTTTCAATATTAGAATTATTCCATTACCACAGATTTTCAGGAGGAGTGGATCCAGGTGAAGAGGCCTGGCTTCATCACCTGGTGGCTACCAATAATAGTGGAGCTCCTCCCCCCTCAGACTGGCTGCATCCTTCACTGATTCCTTCATGGCCAGCCCTTCATCACCTCATGACTCTTCCCTCTTTCAAAGGCAAGTTGGATTTTAATATATTGAATTACCATCATTTCTTGTATCTCAAAATTTTCTTCCAGCTCTCTTTAATTCTTACTTGCCCCTTCATTTTCAAAAGTCAAAATTCTGCTCTTACTTTTACTTTTATCCTCTTCACCACTGATTGGTTTGTTAGCCGTTGGCAAGTACTGGGCATGCACTGGCTCCTGAATGTATCTGAACCTGCTCCAGTGTTGGTCATGTCTGGTCTTCAAAGAGCTCACACTCGGTGCCATCACAACACTCTTTGGCAAGTTGTTCTAAGAGTTTACAATTCTCACTCCAAAAAAGTTTGCCTTTACAGTTTTCTGGACTTGTGGCTTCTTCAACCTCGAGCTGGGACCCCTTTTGGAGCGGGCATCCGCCAGCTCCAGGTATGGATGCTTGACTGAGTAGTGCCCTTTGAGATGTCTGTCCACTTCAATTAGATCACCCCTTGCCCATCTATAGTATAAGCAAGGCAGTTGCAGGTGTTCCAATCTCTCTGCATAATTGAGGTGCTGTAGTGCATACACCAGTCTGGTGGCTCTTCTTTGGATATTTTCAATCAATTGACAGTCTATAGCATACCTCGGGGGCCACACGGGGTGACAGTACTCCAGGCGGGGAAGCACCTCACTCCTGAAGATCGTTACGAGGGACGGACCGTCAAGATATCTGAACGATCATCTTATAAGACCTATTAATTTAGTTGCTTGATTCATCTTCTTCTCACAAAGGCCCGAGAACTTTAGTTCATTGTCAACTTACACATCCAAGTCCTTTTCGAATTCGGTCTCTATAAATGCATTTTCTTCTTCCCGTTGGGACATAATTATGACATGCCTCCTTACCATTGGTATGACCCAGGTGCATCCTCTTACACTTCGTGACATTGAGTCTTAGCAACTATATTTTTTTACTACTCTTGAAGCTCACATAGATCTTTCTGCAGTTTATTTCTTAATTTCCTCCATTGTATGGAGGAATGTATAGCTCATTTATGGAACAAACAAACAACAATGAGCCCAATACACTGCCCTGTGGTACCCTGCTTGTCACGGGTACACATGACAATTTCGCACCATTAATCACCACACATTGCATGTGATCATACAGAAAGTCTCCTATCCATGTGAGGACACTTTCCTGAATCCCGTACTCTTGCAGTTTAATTCTTTGTGCAGGCAAGTGACAATTGCTTTTTTTCATATCTTAACCAAACTATTAGGTGGAATTTTATTGCTTCATGCCTGACCTAGGTGACTCATGTGTATTCATCATCAAGTCTTCAGTTTTAAAACCAGGTAAACCTTCAAACTGATGACAGATACTGTACATTGATTGCTTACACCAAGGTAGGCAAAAAGGAACCCATGGGCTATATCTGGCACTTCAAAAAGATGTAATCTGGCTAGCTAATGATTAGAAATTATAAAAAAACTATTAGACTCCTAATTGGGTGACAGTTTTGGATAACCATACTTTTATCTCCCTCATAGGTCTTAAAGAAAGCCTTAAAGAAGATGCAACATCCTGGGGGAATCTCATGGCCAGTAATCTGCCTGAGAAATCTTTACTTCCCCGGCCATGGAACCGTCTTCCACACATACCTTGGCTTATCTTCATCTCTGCTCTCAGGCAAGATAAGGTACAAGTAGAACTTAACATTATTCAAATGTATTATGCAATTAGTAGAATTGGTGCTGTACAAGTTTTGTACTGTATTACATAACATATACAGTACTACTGTACAATATTTCTTTCCTTTCAGGTTACCTGGGCAGTGAAAACAATTGTTGAGGAAGTTCTTGGTCCCCAGTTTATATCAGCTGCCCCTGCAGGCATAGGCAAATATTTAGATGCTCCCACAACTGTGAGTGTGTCATCTCATATCCCTGGTGGTACTCCTCCAACCCCAGTTCCCCTTCTGTTGGTGACTACAGCTGGAGTTGATGCACTGGAGGAAGTTTTGCTGCTAGCAAGTCGGAAATCAGAAATAACACTTGCAAATGTGTCCCTAGGCCAAGGGCAGGTAAAATAAAAATAAAAAAAAAATATATTTTCCTCTTGCATTTAATGTTAATTATCATTAAATTCTCAAAATATATAGTGTTCAGTTCCACTGACTTTTTTCCTAACTCATTGTTACTTTCTCAATTTTCTTTTTTTTCTTTTTGCTTTTAGTCCAGTGTGGCAGAGGCAGCTCTCAACATAAGTGCTTGTGAAGGTGGATGGGTGGTGCTGCAGAATCTCCATCACGCATTGGATTGGCTACCAACCCTGGCTAACATAATTACACAGCTCTATAGTAAAACCGCTACAAAGAGCCATTCACGTTCTGGTAATGGCTCTCTTAACCCTAACTTTAGGCTGATTCTCACCACTGAGCCAACAGATGAGGTAGTGTATTATATGAGTATACTGGTTGGTTGCGTGAGAACTGTACTGTACTATAGTAAATTATTTAACAATGGAAGGAAATTAAAAAAGGGCTGCCACGAGTGATTAAGCCAGTCATTTTAAGAACTTTCTATTAAGTACTGTACTGTACTTTTATTTTGTAGGGTAGTTTTATTTATCACTGTTGGCTAAATAAGCTAGGACAGTAAACTCTCAATTTCCCATTGACTACCACAGATATTGAATCTGCAGGAACCAAGTTAATGACTTATGGTAAAAAAAGAAATTTGAAGTTCTGGGCTTTGAATTTCCTCCCCTCAGTCCACTAAATTTAATGATATATCTTAACTACTGTACTTCCTTATAGTAAGGATTGAATAAAAATATGCTGAAGCATAAAAAAAAAATTCCACAAAATACATGCACAATAATAAATAATCAACACTCCCAATCCTGGTTGGCAGTGACTCAAACTGGTAACTCATCTAGATTTCTCACCTTTCATGTCAACAGAGTAAGTTTTGTACTGTACTGTACTTTGTTTCCTCTTTGTACTTGTAGTAGGACTAAAATTCACTTCAAATTGTTTAGGAACCATTGTAGCAAATATTGATGGTGATACTCAGTGAAGTAAGATGACCAAGGTCACAAAGACATACCATATGCTGATGTTCATGAGGGATGTGTATTGTGTACACAAGCACTGAGATTAACTGAAAATTTGATTCTCAATACTTTCTCTGCTTTTGTTATTTTTTTATACTCCGTGAGATATTATTTTAATAATTCCTCTACAGTAGGGTCCACCATTAGACAATACATTATGCTTCCAATATCTTCCCAGGCAGTAGCAGCTCCCTGTTTGGTAGCTGCCTGGCGTTACCATGATTTTAGGGTTTATCAAATAGGTGTAGGTTTAATTTAAGTAAGGTCTCAGGTGGCCTGAATATTACTCCAATATTATCTGATTTTCCACACTAGTTTCCCACATCTTTGTTGCGTGGTGTGGAGAAGGTGTACATTGACAGTCCTGGAGATGCATGCCACGCTTTGCAGGAAGCTGTCATAACCCTGGCCCGCCATGCTTCTCACCTCCAATTTGATGATGAGGTAAATTATCATCCTTGTATACTGGGTATTTTTTCCAAATTCTTTAAGAACAAAATATTTGGTACCTGTGTACAGTAGTGTTTTTTATTACTTGTGTATTTTATTGTATCCATCATGTTTAAATTATATAACTGAGCATGATAAGGGGTATCATCTACTATATATGATGTAACCTGTGGCTTGTTTAGAGCCCCTGTTATTACTGGGAAAATGCATGATGGCAGGCATTATCCTTAAGAGCAGCAATTAATGTCAACCCTAAGTCTTTAGTTTGCCACTCCTATACAGGTTGTACCTCTCTAGTCGGCATTTTGTGGTCCGGAAACTCCCGTGGTCCGGAACGATTTTAGTTTGCCCAATAGCCAACATCCCTGATGTACCTCAAATGTAATTTTAGTTACAGTACCATCACTTCACTTTGGAGGCAGAATTATGGTAGCATTAAAGGTAAATGAAATAGTATTTTAACAGTATTACTTTTTCTTATTTATTTATTTCCGATCTTATGTTTTTATGCTTTATGTAGGATGTTTCGAGGGTGAATTTCCATGGTCCGGCACCGGTCAGGTCCCGAGGTTGCCGGACTAGAGAGGTACAACCGGTATATCATCTCCTCTCCATAACTACTCAGCTGTAAAAGAATCTTAATAAGACAGTATGTCTAACACTTAATTTAGGAAATTGTTTGCATATAATGTGCTGTTGCTGGTACCAATACAACTTACACCAGCATAAATCTAGCCCAGGCTTACTGGACCTCTTTATGACAAAGTGTTAGTACTATGGCACACATTCACTGTACACTTGACCATCACTTTATGCCATTCACTGTATGGGAATTTGCATATTAACTATGTACAGAACTAAACAAATAATTTATTTGAAATACTCTGTAACATTCAATGCCGTAATATCCTGACCACGGGGGTTAGTTTTAAAGACTTTCCCCCTGGAAAAGCCACAAATTTTAACAACATATTACTGTACTCAAATGTACTATGCAAATGAACTAAAATTTTTATCTCTTGTGCAAACTATGGGATGTTTATACTCAAATTAATCGTTATCTCCCAAGAATTTCAGCAGTGTCCGTTATATACTGCTAAGTTAAGTCCGTAACACTTATAAGAGAAAAACTTTAAATTTAAAATCACCTTCATCCCATTAATCGTTACCACCCACCGCTATCTGCCTCCCCTGCTGGCTCGGGGAGAGGGGGGGCGGGAGCTGTGGTGGTGCGTAGTTGTCACTTGAAGGGTCAGGAGGGACATGGGATAAAAGGCAGGGAGTTTAATTTTATTGCTTATAAAATGTCACCGACTTGACTTAGCAGAATATAACTCGTATTGCTGGAATTCATGCAAGATGGCAATTAATTTGAGTATAAGCATCCCATAGTTTGCACTAGACATAAAAAATTTATTAATTAACTTAGTGCATTTGAGTACAGGTTGTGATAATTGTAATGTTTTTCCACAACTTTTATAATATTACTGTTGACTTTTAGTAGTTGTGGAACATATCCTAATTTTCCCCATAAGATTAAGTACGTATTCATGATATGCATCCCGGACCATCAAAGCTGCTGGACTATCAGGTCCCGGATTAGCCAGGTCCAACCTGTACCATCAAACATTCCTAAAATATAGAGATTACAGAAAAGGGAGGTGTAACGAATGTAAATATTTTGTGGAACTCTGGAGTAAACACCTGTTGTGTTGTCCCAGGATGAAGAGGAAGAGGCAGCAACGTATCGATTGCTACATGGGTTGGGGATCTTCCACACAGTAGTGAGTGAGAGAGGACGCCATGGTCACCTTGCCTGGGCGAGTCCTCCAACCTTCACCAATGCTGACCTAACTCTATCCATCAGTGTTGTTACTGTGAGTCACTTCATTTATAATATTGTTCACTAGTTTTACTGAGAACCTCTACCTGGCCACAAACCTCTATAGTATATACTTTTTAACCTGTTTATTAAAGGGTAAACTCATTTGGAACATTGGGGGATTAAACGAGCCACCAGCTTTGTTGCCCCATTAAAGTGGTACTGTTTATGAATATAAAAAGTTTGCCTTATTGCAAATTACATTTTTTTTAAATAAACCCAAAGGAAGTATGACAGTGTTCATAACATGTTCATTATCATTTAACTTTAACACTGTATCTTGAGTGTTACCACACTATTGTACTATACAGTACAGTTCAACAAAACTTCATTAGATAACATACATTCATATCCCTGTACTGATTGGTCAGTTGTTAGGTTATACATGTACAGTATTATGGGTGGGACTGTCTTTTCATTACAGTGTGCATAGCAAAATTTCAAATATAGGATCTGATATTCTTACTTAATTGTATTTTTATCCAATATAGGGAATGGCACTTTGTGTAGATAATCAAACCTTTTGTCCACCAGTTGTTCATTCATGTTGGCCTCTTTTTATACTGTGACCAACCACTCTTGTCATTTATCTACAAACCCATGAGAACTTGTTTTCCATTCTTCCTTTATTAATGAAAAGTTATAGATGAAGGGGAACACATTTTCATTGTCATATATCAGGGTGTCTACTGGTCTGGAAAACCTGGAAAAGCCAGTGAATTTTATGTGAATTCAGATCATCTTCAAAATATTGTTATTTTGACAGCAATCTTACCAGAAATTAATGTTGTAGTAGGTAAATTATTAAACTTTTAGGAAAATATTCCAGTAAATAGTCCACTCCAATAACTGAATTGTTTGTGTTCCTGTCATATTTCATGTTAGTGATCAAATGACCAAATATTACAGGTTATACCTACTAATTCTGCAATGAGTATTGTCAGAGATGAATTGTTCTTATAATTACCCGGTAAGTAACTTTATTTACGCGAATTATTCCACATATTTATCATAGGTCATAGAGGAGGATCAGGAGTGTGATTTTTCGTTTTTTGCCGTATTTCCGGCTTTTTTGGAATACAGTATATACCCAGGTCGACCCACATGAATCGTGCAAATCCGAGGAGAAAAATATGGAGGGGGTCAAGGTCTTTGCCGATGTTCATTACTGGGCCTATTGATCATCCTGATACATAGCTGGTTAAATAAAATAGTCAGTCCAATAGCCAGTGGCAATAAAAAAATTTATGAGCAAGTGACCTACAATATTGAGACCCAACAGAGAATTGGCTGTTTAAATTAAGGTTGGTTCCCCAAAGGGTCTTAAATTTCTTGATTAATAATATATATATTATCTTTAAATTTCCCAATAGTATAGACATATTATTGAAAACAGAACTGGAATTTTTCAAATTACACCTGGAAAAGCCAGGTCATATATTTAGGGATGAGGGAATAATAGCAGAAATATTAATGGGCAAAGTTGAGGGTAGGAGGGCCAGGGGAAGGCAGAGACTGAGATGGATAAAAGTAAAAACTGGGTCCCCAGAGGATAAAAAAAAAAACCTTAGAGGATTGGTGTAAAAACTGCCCGAGAACATTTAGAGTGGAGGACTGTGGTCGCCAACCCTCAGATATGAGGACAGTAGTCTGAATGATTGAGACAATAAATGTATTTAACTTTATTTTATTTTAACATTTTACTATTTTAGATCAAATTTTGTCTCCGCTACCATGGTATAATGTACATGACAATTGGAAATAGAAGGCTGGAGGGTGGTCAGGACCCTGTAATACTTCAGAATAACAGGCTTAACTTCTTAATTGTTTATTTTATATGAAATACAGGTGCGGTATTATAAATTTTTCTTTGTAATATTTCTTCAACAGTCCAGTGTTGAGGAGGGTCGTCAGGTTGACCCAGAGACCTTGGAGTACTTGGTTGGGCAGGTGTTTTATGGTGGTCGTGTGCTGAGAACTGAAGACCAGCAGGTCATCACCAGCATCCTCAAAGATGTACTCACAGTCTCTCTTAAACTCCCAGAGGAAGATGAAAGTCCCAGGTGGCCAGATGATTCACAGGATCAACAAGACACTGACATGGGGGATGGCAGGCAAAATAATGCCACTGATGAAAATGATGAATTGGGGCTCTCCATACTGTTTCCAGATTATATTTTGAAACTTGATGATCTTCAGGAATTTGTTAAAGTAAGAATTACTCTCATAAAGAGTTCACACATTTGGAATACTTGCTTATGTGTGAGTAAATATGAATAATATTCCCTCTTCATTTTGATTTGATCTTTCCCTCTCAAAAATTTTTGCAGGTGTTGTAAATTCACCAAATTTCAGTATTTTAGTTTATACTTTAGTTATTTTAATAAGAGATATGATATCCTGAAAAGGGCATTACAGGGTTGGAGAGACCTGAGATATTTGGGCTGCCTTTAGGAGTACAGTATCTTCAGGAGATTGAAACTGGGCAGCAGTTCTTAACATCTCTAGCAACTGTGGGTGGGGCACAGACACTTCAAGGATCAACAGAGAGGAGCGTGGCTCAGGAATTGATTAATCTGAAGAAAATGGTAACTCATTTGTACTAAAAATATGTTTGTTTCGTTTTTCTTTAGATGCTCATCTACTTTGTGTGTTAATTAATATACCTCAGTCTTGTGCTGATGATCTACTGTGTTTCATTAAAGTAATGTAAGATATGTAAACATTTTCTGTTTATTATTCTTTATTTTCTTATACTGCAACCTAGTCTTCCCTAATTACTGTATACCTATACATGGTTATTGATATACTGCAACTAATTTTCAGTCTTTAATCTATAAGTCCTGTATCTGTTTTGCAGCTGCCACTGCCAATTCTCCAATTGGAGGAAGTGAAACAATGTGAGGATAAGGAGTTGGTTGATGTAGTGAAGCGGGAAGTTCATTGCTACAACAGTATATTGCAGACTATCTTGCTAAGTTTAGATGCTGCTGTACAAGCCACAACAGTATGTAAAATCTGATATCTTTCTTTACCAGCATCAACAATATTAAGAGATTAGGAAACTTATACTGTATAAGATAAAATACCAGCAGCTATTCAATAAAATAATACACAAACAACCTCAGAGGAAATTTAACAAAATATATACTGTGTAATGTTAAATTGAATTTATTTAAAAACTTGTTGACAGAAGTAGCCAACAAATAAGCTACAGTACACTGACTTGTTGGTAACAGGGGGTTGGCAGCTGGAGCTACGGGTGTGAGGAAGTGATATCTGCGGTTACACTAGGACACACACCACCTGCCTGGACACAATTGTGTACTTACCCTGTCCCAACTGTGCTCCGTCACTTCCTTCACGACCTGCATATCAGGATCCACTTCTTCAGGGTAAGTGCATTGATATACATTTTTGGTCCTATTCAAATCTTTTGCCAATTACAGTATGATATTTTAATCCAAATACCAGTTCTGAGAACACATTGATGTCTGATAAATATTTTCATATTAACCTCCCCCCATTCAGGAAATGATAATCTTGTGCTTGGGAAAAGAAAAATTATTAAAAACATCCAATTTTCTAAAAACCACTTTTTGTGATATAGTCCAGAATGCGACGTCTAGCTTTACACCTACAGTAGGTATGTAAATGCCTAGCATTAACTCGCCAGGCCAACATACAGGCAATTAAAACATCTAATAATTACTTAGATACGTAATATTAGGAGGACACGTCGCTACCTGGCATTTAAGAAGTGTACAGTCGGCTTAATAGTGGCCAAAATTGAGACCCTCTTAAGATTTCCCAAAGTTTTGTTTCCCAAGATGGGAAACAATAGCTTCCAATGAAGACACTGGAGAACTTAATCGTTCCAGGTTAATTACACACATTTAAATGAATTACAAAATCTGCTTCACTTCACTGCTATGGTGGTAGGGCCCATCATCTGATCAATTTCATTGATATTGAAAGATGAGCTGATATGAAATGCTGCTCTGACTGAAGCATATTAATTGGGATAACTAGTCCTTCAACTAACATGTCATCAGAAATCCAACAAAGTCAGTACTAGAACGATTACGGTACATTTGCCACCAAAACATTTGCCTCGTGTTAAAATGGAAACTAGACCAAAGACTGCATGCAAAATGTCACTGTACATGTGAGAAAAAGAAAGTACTGTATAGGAAACGATATTGCTGATTCCCAAGTGATCCTTGGAGTTTTTGCAGCCTCAACTCTGATCTATTTAGAACCCTATCCATGCCTCAAATGCATCAACCCTCAAAGAAAGGCTGCCTTTACTCTGTTGGAGGAAATCTTAGAAGTTAATTGACATAAAATATTTAGGGCTTAAAGGTAAAGAGAAGACAAATCTGCCGTTTTGACCCTAAATATTAAATATAAATAGATACACAAGTAAAAAAAAATTTGATAACATGAATTCCTTTAATATTGCCTTGCACCTGCTAGATCTCATTTAATAGTAGGTCATATGTACCCTGTTCAATATATGGTATTTTAAGGGTAGTACAGTCTCACCCGAAAGTTCATTAACTCTCCCAGCCAGCTATTGCTGCACTGCCTGCTTGAGATGTTTGAAACTGTCTCAGTACCAACCAGAACATGAAACCCATATGAATGAATCTAAAGGTTCGAAGTAACAGACTCAAGTTCTGAAGCAGGCAGTGCAACAATAGCTGGCTGGGAGAGTTAACGAACTTTTGGGTGAGACTGTACCATTAAGAAGTAATGATAAATTTTCTCTACTTGTTTCCTGGAAAATGTAAAATCTATCATTGAAGTCCATTGGATAGTCAGAAAGTGGAACAAAATTGCTTATTTTACGACATACCAGCGTATAAAAAAAACAAAAAACATACGATCACCCTAGTGTCATAAGGTTAGTAATCTCTGATTGATATTGAATATTTTTTTTTTTTTCAGAACTGGATAGAAAGAGGCTGCCCCTTATATTTTAGGCTTGGTACATTTCAATTTTTGCCAGCATTTTTGACAACAGTGCTGCGCAAAGCAGCTCGTACTTCCTCCAGGCCTCTGCATCATCTGAATTGGAATTTCCACATCACTGATGTTTCTGATGTTCCCCCTGACACCTTGCCTGACTTGGTTCCTGAAATTATTGATGAGGTAGAATCCTTAAATAAGAAAAACCCAGAAAACATTTCAGATGACGGGCAGGGTGATAACACAAGATATGTGTTAGAAACTAGAGCAGAACAACATGAAGCTACAGAGGAAGTTATTGATGCAGATGCTGCACTGCCCAGTGAAGATGACAGTGGACAGGAGCAAGCTCACAAGGCAGTTATTGGCTTGAATACTGAAGAATCCATGAGAAAATGGGAGGAGCTTGGGCAATATGGACTGCTTGTGTCTGGAGTTTGGCTTGTTGGTGCTTCTTGGAATTCTACAAGGTAAGTTTCATAACACAGTGCTCAAAATTATCAAAATGAGGCAAAATAATTTTTAAAGCTTAACAGTATACAAACTGTACTATCTGTATTATAGAGACATTCTATATATCATTTAACAGAGATGAAAGTATTCCTATGACCTATTTAACAATGTTATTGTGGTTATTCACATTCTCAACAAGTCACAGAGACAAATTTCCTGTCACATTTTATTTATAATTAATACTGTAGTACATAAACTTTCAAGTTATGGAAAGAGAGGAACAATATGATGGACTGAAGATAAAAAACATCAGTTGAGCAAAAGAAGTTGACATTGGTTGCAGATCATGGAAAATGGAAGATAAAAGAATGAAAAGTACTGTACAGTACAAGGTTTTGAATTAGAAGGTAAAGATAAACTGGTATGAGTGACTGAGGGTAAATGAAAATTTCAGAGACATGGTAAACTGTTTTGGATTTAGATAAAAAAAAATGTAGGGAAAGGAAATTTTAGGTGAGGTCTATTAAATAAGGAGGGAAGTTGAGAATGAAAGATGTTAATGTTGGAGAGCATTGTAGAAATTTGATAGGAATGTATGAGATGAGAGGTATAAGTACAGTAGGACTAGATATTAGGGGAAAACAAATACTGTATGGTACTGTATAGTGTAGGACATTATACAAGAGGAAAAAAGGCATATGATATAGTAATTTAAAAATGGGTAAGTCGATATGTCTAGATGGTGTGGTTGTTGAAATACTGTAAATGTGGAAAATAGGTACATGAGAAGTGGAAAGCTATCAGAGGATTGGACATATTGTATTTTTTGTTCCTTTGTATAATACTAAAAGTAATAAGAACAAATGTAAGAAAGTTAAGTAGGCCATGCATATGGTAGCTTAATGATTAATTTTGAAGTACCATAGAACCACTACATACTAATGATGAGGAACAGGAAGGTTTTAAGAATTGAAGATATAGTATTGATTAAAATATCTACTCTTCAATTGCGGAAATATGTTTCTACGCCCCCTGTGGTAACCCATGTCTCTAAAAAGCAATGTTGCAGTAGTAGTATCACTGTTTATGAATGAATGGGTATTAGTCGTGTAACAACAGACGTGATTGGTGAATAGGTTTGCTATAGATCATATAGGTTGGGCGTTTGGAGACACAGGTTACCACAGGGTATAGGAACACATTTCTGCACCTGTACATGAGGTAGATGGTAGACAGAAATTTAAAAAAGAAGAAAGCATAGTTCAAGATAATTGTTTAAGTTAAATAGTGTTGGGCAATTGGGCCTCTCATTACAAACTTTAAAATTTTACTTAAAGAACCATTTATACTCCTTGAATTTCACAATCTCTTCTATTTCTAGGTATGAACTAGAGGAGCCATCGTCACAAGAACTGATGGAACAGTTGCCTATTCTGAAGTTGATTCCCACAGTTACTGCAGAGAATGGTTCTTACACAGCAAGAGGACTAATATCTTCATGCACTACTGCACGCTCGTCATCTCAACCACCAGCAACTCACTCGGAAGAGAGTAACGATGTAGATGGCTTAAAACAACAATCAAATCCCTTGGAGGCAACTGAAATGCCTTCCACTCTGCCATTTTCAAGACATGATGGACAGAAAATCTTAGATAAACAACATACCACTCGTTTTTCAGCTAAGGCTCTGGAGCACTTGAATGAAAATCCTTCTCTAGATATCTGTCTTGAGGATGAGATGGCACTAAGCAGTAAGAGTGAACTGCCATCTACAACCAGATCCAGATATTATGAGTGTCCAGTGTATGAGGGAGGACCAGATAGTACCCCTGGATCACCTTTACTAACTATCACTCTTTCAGCAGGGGAGAGAGGAGCAAATTATTGGGTACAGAGACGTGTGGCTATGTACCTAAGTAAACACTAATTTATTATATTAATTCATTTAGACATTCAAAATACAGTAAGAGACTTATCTTTTCTATCAATAATCCCTTTTTCATTCTCACATACATTGGGTTATAAAAGATAACAGGAACTTCAAGAAGGGTAGATCACTATACTGTACTAGGTTCACCGGTACTTTAAGTGGATTTGCACTGACACAGTATAATTTACCACTCAAATTTGTTTTATTTTGCCTAAGATTTACATGGACATGGCTGTACATTGTGCTTTTCATCTTTCCTTGGCATAAATACATCTGCAATAAACATCTAACCTGCCAGAACACTACTAGAGCTTGTTGCATGTAAGGTGTAAGCATTTGTTCTTTTCACTGACTGCTTCATCTTTTTGTCATTAATAGTGTCTCCCCAGCAAAGCATCCTTCTAGCTCTTCTACAAGTAAAGTACCTCTAAAGAAACCAGAGATAATGTTAAAACTAGAAAACAAGTTGGAGATACTAAAGTCTTGAAAATGGTAAAACAGTGGTTTGAGGAAAGACAGTTTGACACAGTGCTGATGCATATTATGGTAAGTGCTTAGAAGAGTGTATTAGGAACAAATTGTCAAAGCTAAAGGTTCATAAGAGCCCAGGCCCTAATATCATGCATCCCAGAGTGCTAAGACAGTTGTGCAACAAGCTTACTAAGTCCCTTAAAATCCTGCTCTGCAGATGCATGGATGAGCAAAAGATACCCAGCCACTGGATAATGGTATATGTGAGTCCTATATTCAAATAGGACAATTGCCTCTCCACAAATAATTATAGGCAGGTGAGCTTGACCAGCATAGTGTGTAAAGTACTAGAGAGCATTATAAGCGATGCTATGATGGTACTACGAAACGACCTGGTACAGGGAATCCCCGGGTTACATACAGGTTCCGTTCCTAAGGACTTTCGTAAGTCGGATTTGCACATAAGTCGGAAGACATGCATAGAAAGGGTCACAGGGGGGCACCGCTGCCCCTAAAGAGAGCACCTGGGAGCGCTGCTGCCCCTGGGAGTGCCGTTCGGGGTGCCTCCACCCCTGGCAGGGCCCCCTGGGGGTACCACTGCCCCTGGCAGGGACCCTGGGGGCCCCACTGCCCCTGGCAGGGTCCCTGGGGGTGCCACTGCCCCTGGCAGGGCCCCTGGGGTGCTGCCGCCCCTAAGAAGGCCCTTGGTGGCGCCGCTGCCCTTGGGAGGGCACCGTCGCCTCTCGCAGAACCCATGGGGGTACCGCCACCCCTGACAGGGCCCCTGGGGGCACCACCACCCCTAGGAGGTCCTCTGAGAGTGCCGTTGCCCCTTGGAGGACTCCTGGGGACGCCACCTCCCCTGATAGGACCCCTGGGGGTGCCACCGCCTGTGGCAGACCCCTTGTGGGTGCCACCGCCCCTAGCAAGGCCTCTGGGGACACCGCTGCCCCTGGGAGGGCAATTGGTGTCGCCGCCACCCTAAAGAACGGGCCCCTAGGAGCGCGGCCACCTCTGAGAGGGCCTCTGGCAGGGCCCCTGGGGTCGCAGATACCACTAGGGATGCCGTTGCCCCTAAAGAGAGCCCCTACGGACACCGCAGCCTCTAAGGAGAGCTCCTGGGGGCGTCGTTACCCATTAATGGGCCCCTGGGAGGGCCCCGACGCCGTGGAAGGGTCCCTGGGAATGCCATCACCTCTGAAAGGGCCATTAGGGGCGCCACAGCCCCTGGCAGGGCTTCTGGGGTCCCTCCTACCCCAAAGGAGGGCGCCGCCACTCTTGGGAGGGCCTCCTAGGGGTGCCACCTCCCCTATGAGGTCCTCTACAGGCGCCTCTGCATCTGAGAGGGCCCTTGGGAGCGCCACAGCCTCTGGAAGGGGCACTGGGAGAGCTGCAGCCTCTTGGAGAACATCTGGCGTAGCAGCCGTCCCTGGGAAGATCCCTGGGGGTGCCAACGTCCTGGACTGGCCATGGAGGCACCACATAAATTAGCAGGCTCCCTGGGGTCGCCGCCACCCCTAAAGAGAGCCCCTGTGGCCGTTGCCGTCTGTGAAGTCCCCTAGGACCGCCTCTAAATAAGGGAGGGCCCGTGGGGGCGGCACAGCTGCTGGAAGGGTTCCTGGGGTCACCACAGCCCTTGGAAGGGCCCCTGGGCCCCCAGGGGCTCTCCTTAGAAGTTGTGGTGCCCCTGGGGGCAGCGGCACCCCCAGCAGTTCTGCCAGGGGCTCTTCTTAAGGGCAGTGGCACTCCCAGGGCCCTCCTAGAGGTGGTGGTGGCCCCAGGGGCCCTTCCAGGGTTAATGACGCCCAAAGTGGCTCTCCTTAGGGGATACAGCACCCCCAGGTGCTCTCCTTAGGGCCAGGGGACCTGCCAGGAGCTACGGTGCTTCCAGGGCCCTCCTAGGGCATATATGACCCCAGAGGCGTTGGCATACCCAGGGGCCCTCCCAAAGGTGGCTGCGCCCCCAGGGGCCCTTCTAGGGGTGGCAACGACACCTCTTCCTAAGGACAGCTGCACCCCTAGGGGCGGCAGGGACCCCTGGGATCCTCCCAGAGATGGCAGGGACCTTTGGGACCCTCCCAGGGGCGGGAGTGTTTCAGCAACCGTTAAAAGGGTGGAGGGGGCCCCTGAGACACTTCTAAGTGTGGTGGGGATCCTCCCAGGAATGGAGGAGGACCCTGAAACCCTCCCAGACTGCAGCAGGAATCTCTGGGACCCTCCCAGGGGCGGCGGGGTCCCCTGGGACTCTGCACAGGCCGCACCTCCAGGGGCCCTATAGCATACTTGGTCGTGGTGTCGTACATATTACATACTTCCATCAATTCCTTACTTAAATGTGATTGGTGGACTGAAATGTATACCCACCAAATTACAGCCAATAGGAGAAGAGAACAGTCGGTCAGCACAACACCCCAACTTATGTTTTCCTGTTGGATATTATTCTCCATTCTGTTTTTAAGGAAGCGAAAATACTGAAAATTTTATGATGGGCATTGTAGTGAGCATCTGCCAGAGTTCTAAATAGCACAAAAACAATTGCCCACAGGGACCCTCCCAGCTGTGGCAGGGACCTCTGAGACTCTCCCAGAGGTGGCAGAGACCCCTGGGGCACTACAGGGGCTGCACCTCCAGGGGCCCTATAGCATACTTGATCGTGGTGTTGTACATAATACATATGTTCATCAATTCCTTACTTAAATGTGATTGGTGGACTGAAATGTATACCCACCAAATTACAGCCAATAGGAGAAGAGAACAGTCGGTCAGCACAACACCCCAACTTATGTTTTCCTGTTGGATATTATTCTCCATTCTGTTTTTAAGGAAGCGAAAATACTGAAAATGTTATGATGGGCATTGTAGTGAGCATCTGCCAGAGTTCTAAATAGCACAAAAACAATTGCCCACAGGGATCCTCCCAGGTGCGACAGAGACCCTCCCAGGAGTGGCAGAGCCCCTGTGACCCTAGCAGGGACTGTTGGAGACCCCAGGGATCCTTGCAGGGGTGACAGGAGTTCCTGGTACCCACACAGGTTCGGTGAGGTTATTCTCAGGGGCGTCTAGGACCTCAGGAACCCCCCCAGAGGCGTCGGGGGCCTCTGAGACCCTCCCGGGAGCAACGGGAGCCCCTGTGGCCCTTCCAGATGCGGCGAGAATCCCTTTTAGGGGCTGTGGGTCCTCATGGGACACTCCCAGAGGCGGCGGGGTCCCCAAAGACTCTTCCAGATGAGACGGGGACCCTCCCAGAGGCAACGGAGGCCCTGGGGACCCTCCCAGGTGCGCTGGGGACCCTTTCAGAGGTTTCGAGAGCTCCTGGGACCCTTCCATAGACAGCGGGGTCACCAGGGATCCTCACAGAGGCGGTGGGGGCCCCTGGGACACTGCAGGGGCCGCACCTCCAGGGGCTCTATAGCATACTTGGTCGTGGTGTCGTACATATTACATACTTCCATCAATTCCTTACTTAAATGTGATTGGTGGACTAAAATGTATACCCACCAAATTACAGCCAATAGGAGAAGAGAGCAGTCAGTCAGCACAACACCCCAACTTATGTTTTCCTGTTGGATATTATTCTCCATTCTGTTTTTAAGGAAGCGATAATACTGAAAATTTTATGATGGGCGTTGTAGTGAGCATCTGCCAGAGTTCTAAATAGCACAAAAACACTTGCCCACAGGGACCCTCCCAGCTGTGGCAGGGACCTCTGAGACTCTCCCAGAGGTGGCAGAGACCCCTGGGGCACTACAGGGGCTGCACCTCCAGGGGCACCTATAGCATACTTGATCGTGGTGTTGTACATAATACATATGTTCATCAATTCCTTACTTAAATGTGATTGGTGGACTGAAATGTATACCCACCAAATTACAGCAAATAGGAGAAGAGAACAGTCGGTCAGCACAACACCCCAACTTATGTTTTCCTGTTGGATATTATTCTCCATTCTGTTTTTAAGGAAGCGAAAATACTGAAAATGTTATGATGGGCGTTGTAGTGAGCATCTACCAGAGTTCTAAATAGCACAAAAACAATTGCCCACAGGGTTGTCCATCTGCCAGAGTTCTAAATGTGGCCACAGGGACCCTCCCAGCTGTCTGAGACTCTCCCAGAGGTGGCAGAGACCCCTGGGGCACTACAGGGGCTGCACCTCCAGGGGCCCTATGCATACTTGATCGTGGTGTTGTACATATTACATATGTTCATCAATTCCTTACTTAAATGTGATTGGTGGACTAAAATGTATACCCACCAAATTACAGCCAATAGGAGAAGAGAACAGTCGGTCAGCACAACACCCCAACTTATGTTTTCCTGTTGGATATTATTCTCCATTCTGTTTTTAAGGAAGCGAAAATACTGAAAATGTTATGATGGGCGTTGTAGTGAGCATCTGCCAGAGTTCTAAATAGCACGAAAACAATTGCCCACAGGGACCCTCCCAGCTGTGGCAGGGACCTCTGAGACTCTCCCAGAGGTGGCAGAGACCCCTGGGGCACTACAGGGGCTGCACCTCCAGGGGCCCTATAGCATACTTGATCGTGGTGTTGTACATAATACATATGTTCATCAATTCCTTACTTAAATGTGATTGGTGGACTGAAATGTATACCCACCAAATTACAGCCAATAGGAGAAGAGAACAGTCGGTCAGCACAACACCCCAACTTATGTTTTCCTGTTGGATATTATTCTCCATTCTGTTTTTAAGGAAGCGATAATACTGAAAATGTTATGATGGGCTTGTAGTGAGCATCTACCAGAGTTCTAAATAGCACAAAAACAATTGCCCACAGGGACCCTCCCAGGTGCGACAGAGACCCTCCCAGGAGTGGCAGAGCCCCTGTGACCCTAGCAGGGACTGTTGGAGACCCCAGGGATCCTTGCAGGGGAGACAGGAGTTCCTGGTACCCACACAGGTTCGGTGAGGTTATTCTCAGGGGCGTCTAGGACCTCAGGAACCCCCCCAGAGGCGTCGGGGGCCTCTGAGACCCTCCCGGGAGCAACGGGAGCCCCTGTGGCCCTTCCAGATGCGGCGAGAATCCCTTTTAGGGGCTGTGGGTCCTCATGGGACACTCCCAGAGGCGGCGGGGTCCCCAAAGACTCTTCCAGATGAGACGGGGACCCTCCCAGAGGCAACGGAGGCCCTGGGGACCCTCCCAGGTGCGCTGGGGACCCTTTCAGAGGTTTCGAGAGCTCCTGGGACCCTTCCATAGACAGCGGGGTCACCAGGGATCCTCACAGAGACACTGCAGGGGCTCTATAGCATACTTGGGGCACTCTGTGGTGCATACTTGATCGTGGTGTTGTACATATTACATACTTCCATCAATTCCTTACTTAAATGTGATTGGTGGACTAAAATGTATACCCACCAAATTACAGCCAATAGGAGAAGAGAACAGTCGGTCAGCACAACACCCCAACTTATGTTTTCCTGTTGGATATTATTCTCCATTCTGTTTTTAAGGAAGCGAAAATACTGAAAATGTTATGATGGGCGTTGTAGTGAGCATCTACCAGAGTTCTAAATAGCACGAAAACAATTGCCCACAGGGACCCTCCCAGGTGCGACAGAGACCCTCCCAGGAGTGGCAGAGCCCCTGTGACCCTAGCAGGGACTGTTGGAGACCCCAGGGATCCTTGCAGGGGAGACAGGAGTTCCTGGTACCCACACAGGTTCGGTGAGGTTATTCTCAGGGGCGTCTAGGACCTCAGGAACCCCCCCAGAGGCGTCGGGGGCCTCTGAGACCCTCCCGGGAGCAACGGGAGCCCCTGTGGCCCTTCCAGATGCGGCGAGAATCCCTTTTAGGGGCTGTGGGTCCTCATGGGACACTCCCAGAGGCGGCGGGGTCCCCAAAGACTCTTCCAGATGAGACGGGGACCCTCCCAGAGGCAACGGAGGCCCTGGGGACCCTCCCAGGTGCGCTGGGGACCCTTTCAGAGGTTTCGAGAGCTCCTGGGACCCTTCCATAGACAGCGGGGTCACCAGGGATCCTCACAGAGGCGGTGGGGGCCCCTGGGACACTGCAGGGGCCGCACCTCCAGGGGCTCTATAGCATACTTGGTCGTGGTGTCGTACATATTACATACTTCCATCAATTCCTTACTTAAATGTGATTGGTGGACTAAAATGTATACCCACCAAATTACAGCCAATAGGAGAAGAGAACAGTCGGTCAGCACAACACCCCAACTTATGTTTTCCTGTTGGATATTATTCTCCATTCTGTTTTTAAGGAAGCGAAAATACTGAAAATGTTATGATGGGCGTTGTAGTGAGCATCTGCCAGAGTTCTAAATAGCACAAAAACAATTGCCCACAGGGACCCTCCCAGCTGTGGCAGGGACCTCTGAGACTCTCCCAGAGGTGGCAGAGACCCCTGGGGCACTACAGGGGCTGCACCTCCAGGGGCCCTATAGCATACTTGATCGTGGTGTTGTACATAATACATATGTTCATCAATTCCTTACTTAAATGTGATTGGTGGACTGAAATGTATACCCACCAAATTACAGCCAATAGGAGAAGAGAACAGTCGGTCAGCACAACACCCCAACTTATGTTTTCCTGTTGGATATTATTCTCCATTCTGTTTTTAAGGAAGCGAAAATACTGAAAATGTTATGATGGGCTCTGTAGTGAGCATCTACCAGAGTTCTAAATAGCACAAAAACAATTGCCCACAGGGACCCTCCCAGGTGCGACAGAGACCCTCCCAGGAGTGGCAGAGCCCCTGTGACCCTAGCAGGGACTGTTGGAGACCCCAGGGATCCTTGCAGGGGTGACAGGAGTTCCTGGTACCCACACAGGTTCGGTGAGGTTATTCTCAGGGGCGTCTAGGACCTCAGGAACCCCCCCAGAGGCGTCGGGGGCCTCTGAGACCCTCCCGGGAGCAACGGGAGCCCCTGTGGCCCTTCCAGATGCGGCGAGAATCCCTTTTAGGGGCTGTGGGTCCTCATGGGACACTCCCAGAGGCGGCGGGGTCCCCTAAGACTCTTCCAGATGAGACGGGGACCCTCCCAGAGGCAACGGAGGCCCTGGGGACCCTTCCAGGTGCGCTGGGGACCCTTTCAGAGGTTTCGAGAGCTCCTGGGACCCTTCCATAGACAGCGGGGTCGCCAGGGATCCTCACAGAGGCGGTGGGGGCCCCTGGGACACTGCAGGGGCCGCACCTCCAGGGGCTCTATAGCATACTTGGTCGTGGTGTCGTACATATTACATACTTCCATCAATTCCTTACTTAAATGTGATTGGTGGACTAAAATGTATACCCACCAAATTACAGCCAATAGGAGAAGAGAGCAGTCAGTCAGCACAACACCCCAACTTATGTTTTCCTGTTGGATATTATTCTCCATTGTTTTTAAGTTAGCGATAATATTTGAAATATGACGGGCGTTGTAGTGGGCATCTCTACCAGAGTTCCAAATAGCGCAAAACCAACTGCCCCCACGTACCCTCCCAGGGGTGGCGGGGACCCCTGGAACACTCACAGAGGCAGCAGGGGCCCCTGGGACCCTTCCAGAGGCGCAGGAGGCCCATGGGACCTTCCCAGGGTTGGCGGGGACCCTCCCAGGGTTGGTGGGGACCCCTGGAACCCTCCTGGTAGTGACGGGAGCCCCTGTGACCCTTCCAGATGCGGAGAGGACCCTTTCAGGGGCAGCGGGGCTCCAGGGACTCTTACAGAGGCAGCAGGGATCCCAGGGACACTCCCAGAAGCGGCGGGGCCCCCTGGGACCCTCCTAAATGCGACGGGGATTCTTTCAGGGGCGGCGGGGTTTCCTGGGACCCTTTCATGGGCGGCGGGGGCTCCTGGTTCCTTCCCCGGGGCGGCAGTTCCCCTGCAACCCTTCCAGATGCAGCGGGGGCCCCTGGGACCCTCTCAGGGGAGTAGGGGGCCCCTGCAACCCTCTCAGGTGCAGAGGGGCCTCTGTAACCTTAATAGGGGCGGCGGGGGCCTGTGGGATCCTCCAAGCGGCGACTGGGCCTCCAAAGACTCTCCCAGACGTGGCAGCAGCCCCTGGGACCTTACCATGTGCGGCATTGGCTCCTATTACTCTCTCAGTTGTGGATGGGGGCCCTTATTAATTTCCCAAGGGTGGCAGTGCCCCCAGCATCCTCCAAGGACATGTGACTTACCCTGGGACCCTCCCAGAGGCAGTGGGGGGCTCAGGGACCCTCCAAGAGGCGGCGGGGATCCCTGGGACCTTCCTAGTGGTGGCGGGGGCCCCTGGGACCCTTCCAGATGTGGCTAGGACCCTTTCAGGGGCAGTGGGGTTCATGATGAAATCACTAGCAACTGTGTGAACTCCTGTTGGAAGGCCCTATGGCCTGAAGCGGTGAATGATTTCACTGGCTTCCCCTCAGTGGAGCCCCAGATGACACACACGGTGCAGGTGGCAAGGCAGGTTGGTGGGGAGGGTTTTGGTGACATGAAACCAGAAAAAATCAGAGAAGAGCTGGTTGGAAACACTGGAGAAGAGTTAACTAATGAAGAACTGGCTTCTTTACTAAAAGAAGATGAACAAGATGATCAGGAACGAGAACTTGGTCCAGTTGATTTTGAGGAAAACATCTGGACATTAGAAAAAATTAACAAAATTTTGACATTCTTCAGGCAAGGAAAAGAAGCACTTCTGGAATTAGACCCATCTCTACGCCACACACTGAAGATAAACAGATGTGTGGACCAAGCACTATCACCACTCAATGAAATCTACAAGGATTTAAAGCGACAGAGATCTCAGCTCCCCATCACACTATTCTTCTCCAGAGTTCCCAAAACACTAGCTTTAACTCAATCTTCTGCCACTTCATCATCAACTTCTTAGTCATCACCTTACGTCCAGCTAGGGAAGAGTTGGCAAGGATCAAGAGGAGTCGACACCTTAGGACAGTACAGTATATGTTATTTCATGTTTATCATATTGTCTTATGCCCATCATCATATCATTCATTACATATATGGGATCTGTATTAATCATCATTGTCATCATAGGAAGAAGATCCAGGATGACTGGCGAGTTCAGATATTCAATGTTTTTGTCTGTCTTTGTTCATAATACCTGTACATATAATTATTTTGTATAATTAAAATTAAAGTAACCATACAATGAGAATTTTACTTACCTTTCATTGTTCTTTCTTGAGGTGTACAATCAGTCCAATAGGAGATCATCACACCTCAAATACTTCATTCCACAATTTAGTTTTCTAATTTCTATCCACATACTCTTTCAGTGACTTATTATATAAAGCAGGTCTATTTTGTACCATACTAATTAAATTTTCAATACAATCCTTATCTGCATTAAATTCCATTTCAAACAAACCAACACACTATCGAGGTACAGACGGTGAAGACTTCGCCTTCGGAATGAGGTGAGAATCGGCTGACAGTTCACTGCCAATGTGCTCGCACACGTTGAAACCTGCATACACAAGCGAGTTGGCCAACTATTCCCTTGCAGACAAGTTGTAGCATATCACACTTTTCAGTCGCCCAACTATTGAATTGCATGTGTGAGCGCTCCCATTTGGCTCTATGGTTCTCACTTATGCAATTAAACTGTTGGCTGACTAAAAATTGCATGTGCGTGGGGGACCTTAGTGTTGGTGATGGTGAGTGGTGATGGTGGTTAGTGTTAGTGGTGGTGATGATGGTGGGTTTTGGTGGTGAGTATGTTAGTGTTGGTGGTGATGGTGAATGTTGGTGGTATTGAGTGTTAGTGGTGGTGGTGAGTGATGATGGGGAGTGTTGGTGGTGATGGGGAGTGTTAATGATGATGGTGAGTGTTGGTGGTGATGGTGATTGTTGGTGGAAGTGAGTGTTGGTGATGGTAAGTATTGGTGGCGAAAAGTGACCCAAGTGGTCATAACGACTTTCGGCTTTAACGGACCAACCTTCCACCCAATTAATCCATTATATTGGGTGTTTACTGTACTGTACTGCTAAGCTCTGCCATCATTTATTTAGTGCTGAACGTGTTGGTGTATATACTCAACTATTTTATTCGTTGAATACTATTTGCTTGTATTTAGTTATAAAATTACTAATAGTTTATGGATGAAAATTTAATACGGTACAGAAATATTGTCGATAGGTGGACAACGTGTACACAAAAGGAAAAAAGCTTAGAAAGCAACAAAACAGAAATAACATAAAATAAGAACTGTACATAATCTTTTCACCATATCAAAGCTAGCTCTACATTGATTACTTTGCTTCACAGTATGGAATTAATTCTTCATATACAGATGAAATGTTGTGCTTTTGTATGGTGTGACCGCATACATTACAAAATGATCCTACTTCAGTACATGGATGGGAAACTGTGGCCCATGACCACTGAGGGTGTTACAGTGGCCTGAGATCATATTTGAATTCAATGTCTTATGAGGGCCTGTTTTTTTTTTTAAATTGGTTCATTTTTTTTCCAAATGTGTAAAATTACTCTGAACTAAGAGTCACTTTAACATATTAAACACCAGTGTATGGTGTAAAGCTACTAGTTTTAATTTTAATTTATAAAAGAAAGTTTGTTTACACCGAACAGGCTATCACACAGTATGGATACTGCAATATATGAGGAGTATTAATGGGGCTGAGCTCCACAGTATTTCTGCCAAAGTACAATGTGTGTAATTAAAAAGTACTGGAATGAGATGCAGTTATTTTTGCTACCATTAGATGCAGTTATTTTTGCTACCATTAGTCCTTTTTGAATAAAGAAAATATTTAATTTTTAACACTGAAATACCTTTACAGTATTCCAATAACTAAATTCATTCAAAGACAAAACTGAAAGAATAAAACAAAGTTGTTGGTAAAAAACATTTCCACACTACAAAATTAATTTTATTTACAAGTCATCACAATTGAAAACATCATACTGTATGTATCGTCGAAACAACAAATAAAATGTTAAATTACAACAAAATTCTAAACTGGATTTACATATTTTTGACAACACAAGCCATAGTTTTTTTCTCTGTGTATGAATGATGTGGGGAATCAAGAATGTTAACAAAAGTAAAAGTAAATAATGCCATTTGTGCTATGACATTGCATTTTTATCACTAAATGGAATACAATACCCAGTAATAGGTCTAACGTTTGGGCAAACCTCACAAGTTAGTTTCTTGTCTATCTTCCTTTTTCTTAACTTCTTCAGCAACATTTTCCATTTCTAAGTCTATTCTTTCCTTAGCACGCACAATCTGCAGTAATAAGTTTGAAAATAATTACAAGTATAAATTCATGTAAATGCACTGTATAGTAAATGTATTGTACATCCTCATGAAACAATGATCCTTTGGTGGATATTCTGAGGAGGCATTAATTGATATGATTGTCCCTAGAACACATCAATATTTACCATAATGTGCAACTACATTATGTGAAGGTTTTGGAGAAGTGATTAGCATCCATACGTCTAGTTGACGTACGGCTGCTGAAAGAACATCTGAAAACAGTTCTGTGTAAGATCACTCCAATCAAATTTAGGCACAATTAATTTACTAATTATGTATCGATATCTATGCATTACCTAAGTCAATGCAACAAAGTTAACAAACTATTATTTAAATTACTTTAATCAAACATAAAATATATACTGTAGACAGGTATCACTGAATATTGTAGTAATATCCCTGATTGCCAGAATAATTGGTGAAGAAAGTTTCAGTGTTTGAGAGATTTCCGGGTATTGAGACGAATCCTTATCCCGAGAAAAAATCACTTTACAGAACTTTTCTCGGCACTGCTAAATGTTTCTGAAGCTAAACTATACATCTGGTATGGAGCACTGTTGCTAGGGAGGGTTAAGTGCAGTCAGACAGCCACATAGCTGTATTCAAATAAACAAAATATACTAATGTATCCATTATACTGCACTCACCAGCAGATGCAGATGCTTGAGCTTGTAATTCAGGCAGGCCAAATGGTGATATGATGATACAGAATGGCTTGTCTTTGTGGTGTACCATCTACTGTACTGTATTAGGTGTTGCTAACTGTCACTTATATTCCATGAAGGAGGGATTGTACATGTGCTGCATACTGTACATACACCCTCTACACACTAGCCTACATTAGGCATACAGTACACTGTTCACTTTGCTATATACTGTATGCACAGTACTTTCACACTTACTGAATGTACAGTAAACATGGGTCCCCAACTTATGAACAAACGCTGATACGAACGAGGTTAAACTTTAAATATACAGTATTTTATTTACCTGAGGACTTATTGTTTACGTTCATTTACTGTATTTTGTCATTCTATATCTTCTTTTCGCTTAAATTAAGTGATTTTAGATGTAAATAAGGACTTAGGCTATGATATAATGGGATATTAAACATTGTTCTGTAAGTACGGCAAGCACATTGCATGTGTTTTGACTTACGTACATTTTCAACTTAAGAACGTCCACAGGAATGGAACCCATTCGTAACTACAGTACAATAATAAGTTTTTACGTCTTAATGCTGCTTTAACAGTATCCTTGCCAGTTGTATCCTGGTACAGTAATGTATAATACTGCACAATGCAGATCATGTGCATGAGCAACAATAAGCAAACAAACAAAGTTTGTACAAGAGTAGAAATGGCAGCAGACAATGAACAAAAGCGTGTCATGATGCTAGAGTTTGAGATAAGCTGCGAGATACATCAGCCAATCATAGGTATCCCATACAGTCACATGACAGTAGTAACCAATCACACCATACAAGAACTCTGAGCTTACAACCTACATTCTCCATGCAACTAGCCCGCCCACACACTCAGCACATGATGCAATCTCTCGGAAATTCATTTGCATGCCCAAAATAGAGAGGTTTTTTTAATTTCCTGGAATGAATATTTCTAGGGAATGAATATTCCAGCTATCAGGGATATTACTATTATCAAAAAACAATGTCAACCGTTCTGAGATGCATAGCCAAAAGGCTACTCTACCCATGTAATAGTTCCCTATTGTTGACTCGCCACCAATAGATTTACCTTACAATGGTTGAATGATGATGCCTTGGATGGCTGATCCCCTAACCAGAGATATGTTACTGTAATTTAAAAACAGTGCAAGCAAGTAAATAAGAGATTGACATTTGTGTATAAAGTACTGAGTTTTCATCTTACTGAGAATGTACTTACTTTGTCAGTGGTGGTAAATGTACAAGTTTATGCTTATAAAGTCCTGGAAGGAGTGAAATAAGGGTCATATGTATTAAAATAGCTGTCAAACCCCAAATGCGTGGTTCAGACCCAATATATACTGGTAAGGTATAGCCTTTTGGAATTCTTTTAGAACGGAACTGAGTTTGTTTTGCATTCCGAGAATTACAAAGGCTTTTGACAGAGACTGCAAATACTGACTCAACTTCATCCTCAGACAATTTTAAGGAAGATGGGTCAATATGTCCTACATAAGCTAGAACTCCTCTTATGGAAGTCTCTCCTAACTTGCTGGGAAGAGGGGGCATCATTCCCCAAATATCAACAGTGGATCGGTTGATACCAATTTCTTCCTCAGATTCCCTTAGAGCAGTAGTAATGAGGTCAGGATCACCTACATCAGCCATGCCCCCTGGAAAACTTACTTCTCCCCCATGATTGTTTAAGGTTCTGCACCTCACAGTTAACAAAAGTGACAATTCTCCATCTACATGACACATAGGGATAAGTACAGCAGCAAACTTCTCAGGATCATGAGCAAAATTTCTGGAAGCAATCGTCTTCTCCATGCGGCTGACACACCTCTTTCGATTGGCCTCAGACAAAACTGTATCCCAAGTAAGGGGAGATGTGGCAAATTGTCTAGCAGGGTAAGTTGAGACTGGGATAAGAGACTCTGTTGCCCTTGCCCACAACCCTGAGTAACCTGCTGGTGAGATGGCCAAGGCACCGACCCTCTTCCACGTTCCTTCCATGGACATCTATGAGGAAAGCCAGGAATCAGCTACAACCAGTTGCTTACTTAAGGAATGAGCTCATATAATTGGTTTATTGCAATTTCGTTTTTTGCATATATTAATTTAAAACCTACCATAAAAAATTATACTTGTAATATCTGCCAGCCACTGACAAGACCAAATAAAAATATTCTGAAATACTTCAAACATAAAAGAGAGTTAATGCCTCTGTATGAGGATGCTACTCTTAAGTCTAAATAATTTCAGTCAACTTTCATTTATACCAAGAGAAGGAAGCACAGCAACCAATACCTGTACTCACACATTAAGAATATTCATCACTCTTGTCATTTTACCATTTATGACATAGATCAAGTGCACTTACACTCAACATCATTGGCAGTTGGCACCTCTCTTATGCTAAGTTTATCAACAATTTGCATTTTTACATGTCTAACTGGTCTGGGGTAAATACATACGTCCTGTACATGACAGTTGTATCAAGTTATTACATATTTTCATTAATTTCACTCTACAAAGAATCCCAAATAATTCACAATTTTCTCACAAACCCTTGTGGGTTCCATAATATGGTTCCTGAACTACAGGTTGGGGACCACTGCTGTATACAATACAAGTATTCCTCTGCAAATGAGATCACCAGTTCTTGAATCTCAATATAATTTGACAAACTATCAAATTGATTTATCTCTAAACTTGCTTATTCTAATATACTCTATCCAAATGTTCCTCCGAAACGTAAATTTAAATAACGGAGAGGTGCAGCCTGGGAATCAGCTTGGCGACAATTATGTTCCACCATATGCCCAGGAAAGTACCCTCGTTCAAGGCACAAGATATCACCCCTCCTCCCAAGCTCCATTTGCTCTGTATTCGCTGTAAATGAAATGCTCTCTATTTATCTGTGAATATGCCCGGCTGGAAAAATGAAGTACATGGCTCTTTATTGACTGTTGTACAGCCATGCCAGGCATGCAGCTTAAGAGAGAACATTACTTACTTTACTCTGAATATAAAATGATCCTCCTTTAGCTTTGTCGTTGATACTGAAAAGATATTCATAATTCTTCTTTATTCTCTCTAAATCCAATTCTTCAACATTAAGTATTTGTTTGGCCTCTTCTAAGCTCATCCCCAATTTTTGATTTGTTGCCGAGTGCTTGGCACCAGCAGCTCCACCACCTGCTCTCTGTGCCGCTGCTTGGCTAGCTGGAATGGAAAATAATAATCATATTAATTATTACAAAGTACTTATAAACACTCAAATTTTAATACATGAGGCAGGACAGTAAATTATTTGTTAATCAGTAAGGGAGATGGACTATATATACTGTACATGAGATATCTACTCAGATTGTGTGTTTAGTTGCGCTCCTGTGTGTTTACAAAGTGAACAAAATTAACTGATTTCTTTTCAGAATAGGCTTTCCAATCTGGAGTATTATGAGTCAAGAGAAAATTTTAAATTAAATTTGAGGAACCACCAAGTTGTTTCAAATTAAGAGGTAAATCAGTTTTTAGAAGGATTACCGTTGTTCCTCAATAACTTAAACATCACAAATTTTTAAAACTTATCAGTTACATATTTTAAGACCTGTTGAACAACAGGGATATGGTAATACTGTACTTCCTTTGGGTGTGCACCTAAAACATGTTTTTTTTTTTACTAATATTGTTCAGGTATTGAAAAACTTCTTTCTTACCTCTAGACAACCACAAATCCAGTGCAGGAATTCCAATTTCTGTACCTTTATTTTTCAAAAGATTTCCATCCACAACAATGGATCACATCAATCCGCCACCCCATCATTGTGCTTCAAGTATTGTAGACCTACCAACGCTTACCAGCGAATGTTCCAATTGTCAGTCAAAATGTCTACCCACCACTGAAATAAGATAATAAAACAAACCCTATCCTAATCTAATCATCATACCCCCAAATAAAATATTTTTCATCTTTGTTTCATTGTTGGGTTAGGTTTCATTGGTTCATGTTACCGGTATCTTGAAAGTAGTTGGGTGCTAGTAAGATTTGGGTGATTATTGATGACTGACCCGCCGCTGATTTTTCTTAGAAAATGATTTTAAAAATGCCGCAATTTCACTATGTTTTACAGTGGACATTAGCATTTATAGCAAATAAGTTAAAAAGTAGTTATTTCAAAATTAAACATAACCTTGCCTTAGTAGATAAGAAAAACAAGCAGCAGAATGTTGTCGGAAGACTTCACCAACCTAACTAACATTACCTAACTTCCTAGCTGTGGGGTTCTGTTCCCCGGCATATTAAACAGAAAAAACTTACTAAGATATTGTGTAATTTTAGTATTTTGTGGATGTGAGAGCAGCCGCCTGGACTTAGAGTGGATAGCGTCAATATGATTGGCTGTTTACATCCGGGACACCGCATCACTGTCGCATTGCCACCGAGAAGACAAAGTAAATGTGTGCCTAGGCGCCTAATTATCTACCAAACGAATAATTTTCCAAAGAAATGATTATCATATCAGAACTCACTGATGAAAATATAGTAAGAAAATAAACATCAAAACAAATAATGCATCAGCTGATTAAGTCATCAATATTAGCCAAGATTTGTTTGTAAATATTACGGGAATTGTACAAAATGGCATAAGTTGGATGTGGTCCATTATACACAGGGAGAAAAATTATAAAAAAACAAAATACAGTACTGTGGAAAAATTACAATTCCAGTAGTACTGTACTGTACTGTACCGTACTTGACATACAGTTTTCTTGAGGAAAGAAAAATGTTTTTACACAGCATTACCGTAATCAAAAATAGGTGGTGTAAGTGCACACTCAAGGTAAGTAATACTGTACCTTTACTAGGAATATTACCTGCAATTTCTTGCCGCAGAGCTTTGGCAAACGCCCGACCCACCACTTGAGCACCAGCAATGACTAGTTGAGCTATGTGCTTTGCCTGCAGAATAGACAATTAGTGCATTGTTCACCTGAAGTAAATGATTAGCACTAAGATAGAACTCCAACACTGAAGTTAAAACAAGTGGTCAGGATTTATTTCGGCCACTACTCATGGTTAATGGTCTGAAGAATAAGTTAGATATTTCAAGTGTAACTCATGAAAAAAAGGTAAATACTGCACAGTGAACTGGAAGACAGTCGTACACATTAACCAGCAACTTTAGGACATTTTTCTAATGAATATAAGTGACTTCACACTCCATGAAAAAGCCAGAGTTTGGGGGAAAAATATTTTTTAATATTATTACACATTATTTTTTTCCCCAAACACTGTTCTACATCTGCATGTTACAACACCATATCCACTGTTTACATATAGGACATTTTGTTTCATATAAGGAAAGTAACAAATACTCCTACATTATATGATTTATTGGTTATATTATGAAGCAACCTAACCTCTCTAGCTTCTTAACCTAGATTAGATTACTGTGGCTATGGCATGAACAGTCAGTGCCCTGGAAGCACTTCTGTGGATGAAATGAAACTTCCTGGATGTAAACATTAGAGCTATGGTATCCTAGTGCATACAAAACCCCACTATAACAAGCTACAGTTTTCCTTAGTTTTCATAATTTCATACAACAATACTAGAGATAAAGATGGGTGAAGGGTGCTGTATTTCAATGTAAGAACCTGATGGAGAAAATGAATGGTAAAGATTAGGTAGACAGCCACAGGTATATAGGGATATAAAGCAGAAAATAAAAATAACAATAAGTACTCTACTTTATTTTCTTCAGAAATATATATTTTTAGATTCTTTTGCTTTTTAAATCGCTTACAAAACTTTACCTATTACAGAAAACTTTAAAAAGCGAACAAATTTAGTAACAGGTGCCAAGACCTATGTTAAGAAACTTTTCAATTTAAGAAAATTCTTCAGTTTGTCAAGAACAGCCCAAAATATGGTGGAGGAAATAAAGTTTAGCTAAACAAAAAGTTCATAAAAACCTAACCTAACAGCTCACATATCAGTTTACATGACTTACCTAGGATTTTATTCGGTTTAGAGTAACCTCCCGCTATTTTACCGTGAGCGCACTCTGGCTAATTGTCCATTAACGGTGAACAACACAAGAACTATATTTGGCCTGACTCTGGTGGCATTTGGTATTATTTCGCCATAAGTCGATAATTTGTAGCTGTAAACATACCTAATCATCTTTGTTGTGCACGGAAACTTATTATAAAAGAAGTGAAATTTACTAAAACCTAATAGAACCTGACCTAACCAACCATAAGAAACTTAGCTGGTTACAGTAAAATATCCACAACGAAAACTTTGAGGATTCTTAGTTTTGCTTTATCTTCCTGAATACAAATCAATATAGGGTTCCATGATTGTCCTCTACCGAATCTTACCCGAGTGAGCCACTATTACAATACATCAACTAAATCTAACAAACTTAACTTAAAATAACGTAATGAATTCCAAGACAGTTACTAGGACTAACATCCAGTACACGGGCCTTGACCTGTACACTTGAATTATAGTTAGCGTCTTAGTACATATAAATACTTACCATTCTGATGTGTAGAAGTTTCCGTGGTTCCCAACCTTAGTATACGAATATAAGTCTTTAGAATCTATTGAAACATGTCGAAATTACACGGTTTGTATGTTAACAAGGCCGCACGTCGTCTGCTAACGGTCTCACACAGTTAATGGACTTTGACAATTTTGTAACTGTAGTATTGTTGACCAATGTATTTCTCTAGCAAATTCAAGGTTAGCTTTCAATAGGTTTTAATGCAAATAATTGGTGTCATCATTTAGGAATTAGCTAAGCAATAAGACAAAGAATAAAAGATTCAAGTAAGCTGAAGAGGATAAAGGTAAAAGTACTCACTCCCGCACAACAGCACGAGAAAAAGTTGTTTTATGTTAAAATATATATATGAGATTTGATGTTTTAGCTAATTAAATAAATCCCACTTTTTTTAAGGAATATTAATGACTATTGTACGATAAAGATATAAGAAACCGCACTCGGGAATTAGGTAGTTAATCCAGTTGTTTTTCTCTATTTACAAGAAAGACGATTTAGTAAATAGATTTCAACTAATAATTTTTATGGTATTCAATTATTCTAATAAAATATCCAAATGATAATATAATTTACCCATATATTGTTGCGTAATGTTAGGAAACTGTGTTTGATAACTAAAGGTAACACTCGGAAGACCAGCTGACCTTTACTCTTACCGTGATCCAAGGAACATCATAAGGAACTAATATTAGTCTTACGGGAGTAACTCAATCCCTATTAGTTATATGCTTATCCGAGAGATGGAGCAAAATCGCTGGTGTGTCGCCTGTCCTTCCACATATTTTGCCCTTCAAAATTGGGTAGGTGGCGACCGTGGGTGGCGGACTGGCGGTAGATATAAATATGGTTCCAAACGCCATCTACCGTTGTGGACTAACAGAGGCAATAATCGAGAGCTAAGGTTTCATTTCTTCCCGAACGACAGAAAACGGTAAGTTCACAGTTATGTGGTTGATTCATAAGCAGTGACGATTAAATTGTAGTTTGATTGATTGATTGATTGAAACATATTATTTAGCCAGAAAAAATACAGATACAGAGTGGATAATAATAACAATATTAACATGGCTGAGCCAGTTGAGAGCCTGAGCTCTCTTTGAGGCACCTGATATATACTATGCATTTATCTTAAGGAAGTATTATGTAACATTTAGTATCATCTGGAATAGTACAATAGCATGGTAGTAATAAGTACATCGCATAATGTTACCACGGTTATCACTTCAATATTTATTTATTTTATTATATATATATATATATATATATATATATATATATATATATATATATATATATATATATATATATATATATATATATATATATATATATATATATATATATATATTAGAGTGGAATTTAAAAACATAAGTATATTGGGGAGCAGTACAATCTGGGCTGTACAGTGATAAGGTTGAACAAGAGGACAGAGCTTTCAGGATTATGTCTAGTTGGCAATTATGCTTATTGCAATGGTAATTACTTATTTATTTACATGGTAATTTCCGATAAAACGGATTTGGTGGTACAGTAAAAGCAGATACTGTAAATATAGTAAGTGTTACAAGAAATATTAATACTTCGACAATAGATATTTTTTTAGAGATGATTTAAAGGAAGGAAGCGTAGTCTTTGCTCGGATGTGTGGGGGTAAGTTGTTCCACACCTTCACACCATGATATTTTATGGAGGTCTGGGACTGAGAGGAGCACACGGGGGTGGTCTTAGTAGCTCTGGGTGCCTTAAGTTGTATCTCTGATTATTCCGGAACTGGAAGTAATTATTGTCAAGCAAGTGATTGATAGATTTGTAAACAAAGAGGGCACAGCAGTAAGTGTTAATATCCTCGAATTTTAAAAATTTCAATATAGCAAATTTTTCGTTTGTGTGATCTGTTTTTTTCAAGTATGTCATTGTCCTTACAACTCTCTTTTGTGCAGTAACCAGAGATTGTGTTTTTGAAGAGCCAGAGGCCCCCCATAGTGTGACAGTGTATCAGGTGTTGGTAACAAGATCATGATAGATTTCTTCCATTGCTGTGAGAGTGAGTGACTGTCGAGTGTGATACATGATACCGCACTGTTTATTGATTTTACTGTGAATGGCTTGAATGTGGTTTCTCCAGTTAAGTTTCTCATCAACAATAACTCCGAGGAATTTAGTATTTTGTTCGCGTTTGAGGACTATATTATCATTTAAACACTTAGCTTACTGGCCATTCGGGCAGCAGGTCTTATTTGTTACTTGTTTTGAACTTTACTTTTACTTTTATCCTCTTCACCACTCATCGGCTCGTTAGCACTGGCTCCTGAATGTATCTGAACCTGCTCCAGTCCTGGTCAAGTCTGTCCTTGAAAGAGCTCACACTCGGTGCTGTCACAACACTGTGCCAGGTTGTTCCACGAGTTCACAACTCTCACTCCGAAAAAGTTAGCCGTCACTGTTGATTGTTCAGTCGCACCCATCGCGTAAACCCCTCCCTTTTATAGTTGTTTCGGTTAACGTTACTCTTCAGTCCGTCCACGCTCTTGGCAACAACACACCTCTATTCCGCCATCATTTTTGCTTCTATTGTTTTTAGATAGTCAGGGCTGGACCCAACTGTGTGCGGCTGTGCAGAGCCCCCATCCATCACTTAGAGGTCCCCTCCTGTAAACAATATACTTGTTGTTTAGTAGGATTCCTATTTCAATTCCGAGGTGTCGTGTGGCGTGCCCATCTTAAAACTACAGGCAAGAACGTTTCAGCTATTTGGCGCCATAAGTTTGGGTTATGGCGGTTTCTGTCTATAAAAACATGGCAACTGATACTGATTTACCTTCCCTTTATATATATTTGCACGTATGTTTGTATAACAGTATCAAGATTATGTTCTCATAGAAAATCAGGAATATTTGTGAGTGAGGGACTTGGCACGATGGGAGGAAATCCTTGGGAGGAGGGGCCCTCAACCATTATCTTGCACAGGGCCCCCTATAGAGCCGGTCCTGGATATAGTCTTCTATTGGGGAAATGCTTTATTTCGGAGTTAGGACATATATTATATAGCATGGTAATGCGATTCAGACCACCCGCTTGCTACATCCTCTTCCTCCCATGGCTCGTCGTAGAGAAACGTTTACCTTCTTTGGTAACCAAACAAACATTTGAAAACCTTTCCTAACTTGTAAAAATGTTAAGTATCGCTTTTGAATTTATGGATCTCATCTGAGCACCGAAAACAACACCATGATCACCACTGTTATATATGTGTA